GCTATGGTTTTTCCAGTGGTCATGTATGGATGTGAGAGTTGGACTATAAAGAAAGCTGAGCACCGAAAAATTGATGCTTTTGAACTGTGGTGTTGCAGAAGACTCTTGAGAGTCCCTTGGACTGCAAGGAGATCCACCCAGTCCATCCTAAAGGAAATCAGTCCTGGGTGTTCATTGGAAGGACTGAAGTTGAAGCTGGAACTCCAATACTTTGGCCACCTCATGTGAAGCGCTGACTCATCTGAAAAGACCCTGATGCTGGGAAAGATTGAGGGAAGGAGAAGGGGACGACAGAGGATGAGATGGCTGGATGGCATCACGGACTCGATGTCATGGGTTTGGGTGAACTCTGGGAGTTGGTGATGGACAGGGAGGCCTGGCGTGCTGTGGTTCATGTGGTCACAAAGAGTCAGACATGACTGAGTGACTGAACTGAAACTGAAATTGTAGGGGGATTTTGCAATAAATATATTTCCATTTATAAATAAGTTAAATATAAGATATGTGTAATATTTTAAAATATTTTTACAAGGATTTTTATATTCTAAATATATAAAAAATTTTTAAAAGTCTCTGTCCTCTGGGGACTTCCCTGGTGGTCCAGCAGTTGAAACTGCAAGCTCCTAATTCAGGAGGCCTGGGTTCAATTCCTGGTCCAGGAACTAGATCCTGCACACCACAACTAAAGTTCCCACAGCCCACAACAAAGGTTTGTGTGCCGAAATCAAGACTCGGCACCGCCAAATAAATAAAAATAAATATTTAAATAAATAACAAATAAATACTTTTTAAAAAGTCTATGTCTTCTGACCCCACAATTTCACTTTCAGGAATACGTATGAAAGAAACATTTTGACAGGTGACCAAAAATAAATCTTTAAGAAATTCACTGTGGCAATGTTTATAGCAATGACAAATTAAAACCAGACTTGTCCCAGATAGTGGCTTGAGCAAAAATGTCTGCATATTGGAGTACCAGACATTGAAAACAATGATGTATTAATAGATGCTAATACTGCAAAGCATTCTCAATACATTGGTAAATGAGAAAAACAAGTTACAAAGCAGTCTGATAAGGGAAGGTGTGTGTATTTCCACAGGAGGACGTACAAAAGGATACATATCAAAATATAAAAAGCACTGAATGTAAGAATTTGGGGTAATTAAATGTTTCCCAATTTTTCTACATGGTATTACCTGCACATTTTAGAATACAGATTAAAAAAAAAAACAACTCAGCCAGTATCTTCCTTTTTACCAATACAGTCTGGCTCATACATTTATGACTTTTCAGCTGGGATCAGAAAAAAATATCTCCACACAACATAGCCAAGCTGTTATGAATTTCTTAACTGCGTATTGTGAATACTCAGAAGAAGTTAAAATATAACCAATCTTCTCCCTCTCAAGCTATTTCTGTAAATTAATTTCTACCCAAAAAGCTAGAGCACTGACAGAGCCTTGTTTGCAGAGGAGAAAAAAGAGGCATAGTCTTCATCCTTTTCGAGGGGCAGCCAGCCTAGAGACATGAATACACACTACCAAAATTCAGAGCTCTCCCACATGACTGACCATATGATTTTAAGCAAATTACTTTTTGTTTTAGTTTTTCCACCTATGAAATGAGGAAAATAGTACTGATCCTCATTGCAGATACAGCAGTTATAACCATAAAGCCCTTAGAACAGTGCCCCAATAAGATCAACCATTGGAGAGTACAGAAAGGACTCCACAAAATTAACTGACATAAAATCAATATTTGTTATAATTTTTTTAAGACCACGCTTCATTCCTTGCCTCCAGCACACAAACAGAAAAGCAGAGAGACAAACCCGTAGCCCAGCTGAGAAGACACCCAAACACCAGATTAGAAGTGGCTTCTAGGCACAGAGCCACAGGCACACAGGTCATAGTTCTCTAGGCCAGCATGCAGGGAGTCAGCATGGTGGGCAATCATCTCCCTACTAGGGAAACGGTCCTAGCAGCGGTCCTTCGGGGTCAAGGGAGGACGTACAGCCTTGACAGAGCGTATAAATCTGTCAAGAAAATATTCTGGGCAAGGAAACAGAAAAAAACAGATCTGGACATCAGCATGATGTACTGTCTTCAAGGATCTTCCTGACAGATGCATTCAAAGCAATCTGGGTGTGGTTTGCCTCACCTGAGCAATGCGTTGTGCTTCAGAATCTCACAGCTAGGTGAGAGCAAAGGAAAAGGATGGCAAATCTGAACAGAGAGAGGAGCATGTTCAAGAACTGTTGGGGAGTTCGGACAGGACTCTAACAGCCTGGGCAGGGGACTGAGGAGGGGAGTGAGGCAGGAGCCGAGGTATTGGGTAGGGAAGTAAAAATGGGCAACTCTGGGCTGAACCTGACAGAAGCTGGAGGAAACGGGTGAGCAGCAGGCACTGCTAGCACCACACAAAGCCAGGGGTGCAAACCCCAGGGCCGTAATGGGAGATGAGAGAACATCACTCTTCCCAGACGTGTCTTCTTTTGGTCCCCATCTTTTCAAAAAAGTAAGACCAGTCATCTCCTTGGTTGGGGGCGAAGAAGAGAGAGGGCTTTTTGAAGTTCTGAGGGTGAAGAGAGGCCCCGGACAGTTCAGGATCTTTCTAGAAAGATCCACCCTCGTGCCTCTTCTACCTCCCAGAAGCCTGGGATCTTGTTGCCGTCACTCTACAACGGTAGCGCCCTCCTAACGGCACCGCATGCCACCCCGAGGGTCGGTGTGACTTCCCTTTCCTGCCACTGCACTTTCAACTTTTTTCTGAGGCAGCACGCGGCTCACTCCCTGCGCACGTGCCCTTTACACGTGCGACACCCCTATTCCCGCCTCCACCACGTTCACATCTAGAACACCCGCGAGGCAGCACTGTCCCTAACGGTCGGGGAAGAGCTACGCTTGCCGTGAGCGCAAAAAAGGCGGGCAAGTCTCTGATTGGCTGAGAGTTTGCGCCGCCAAATCTCCTGGCCTCTCCTCCCTCTGACAGCTGCACAGGCTTCTTTTCAGGCACCTTTCGCCAGAGGGGATGAGGGCCCCACGACGGCTCTCGGTGTGGCTCTGGTTCACTGCCATCCTGCCCAGGCCCCCTCCTGCCGCCCCGCAGATGGGAAGGGGCGGGGCCTGCGCCAAGCGGTTGGGTGGGGTTCTGAAGGGGAGGCGGAGATTGTGGCGCAAGGACCCGGAGTGAGTGGCCGCTGGTCACGTGAGGGGCCTCCGTCAGAGGACCCCACAGAGTCAAGGTTGAGACAGAAAAAGTGGGAAAGCGGGCGGGTCCAGGGGGTTGGCTCCGCCCCCAGAGCGCTGAGGAGTAAGGGATGAGGCGGTGATCGCCACAGCCAGCCGCAGTCTTGGCCGCTGTTTTGTCACCCCTGCCTAGCAGCCCCGCTGCCCACGAGTATGGACTTGAATTGGTCCTGTCAGGAATCAAAATTAAAAGCGGGATTTTCCTACGCCCTTCCTGACCCAGGTCAGAAAACTGTTGCCCTTTGGAGAAAGAGTTCGAAATGATTCCTCACTTCTCCTGAGAGGAGCAGAACTCTCTTCCCCCAGGTAAAGACTGAAATCAGAGCCGATTTTTTGTGAGGCAGCGTCCAGGAAATGGTGCAAGAGCTGGTTGAGGAAATCCAAGGGGTGATTTCGACCCCGAGTGAGTCCGTTCCAGCTCCAAGATGGAGAGAGCCTTTGTCTCTGTATCTCCCATCATACCTGCCCTGCCTCCTCCAAAGGGTGATTGTGAGGATCAGGTGATACATTTTATCAGAGTTGCTTTTAAGACTAAAATGTGTGTTTGCTTATTTCCTTGAACTTCACCAATAGCACCAGAGGTCTTCCAACAAAAGGATGTTAACATCTGGATTACCTACCATATATTTCATCAAATTTAAGATGTTGTCAGTTATAAAATAGGGGCTTCCCAGGTGGCTCAGAGGTAAAGACTGTCTGCCAAGCAGGAGACACTGGTTTGATCCCTCGATCGGGAAGATCCCCTTAGAGAAGGAAATGGCAACCCACTTGAGTGTTCTTGCCTGGGAAATCCCCTGGACCAAGGAGCCTGGTGGACTACAGTCCATGGGGTTGTGAAGAGTCAGATACAACTTAGCAACTAAACAACAGTTATAATATGCACCATTTTAAAGTGTAACTCTAAGGGGGAAAAGCTGCTAAATCAACTGACATCTGTTGTAAGATGTATCCTGATTTCAGAAATATATATGTGTATACATATATTTTTAAGTATGACTACCATAGGAATGGTGTGAAGCAGTGGAACAAGCATCGCGCATTGCTCTCTAGGTCCTGTCCTGCACTGTTAACTAAGTATATAACCTTGGGCAATATGATCATGCTTCTTAGACTTGTTTCCTTATCTGTTTGAAGAAAGAACTAGAAGAACTCTTAGGTTTCTTTCAGCTGTAATATTTTATGTTTGCCAAACTGTCTCTCAAATCTCACTTTTCTCCATCTCCTTGAGGCTCTAATTCCGGCCTTCGTCATTTAACTTGAATGACTGCCAAGAGCCTACTGACCTCACTTCCTCTAGTCTTGACCCCCCACCATTCATTTATGCCTTAAGATCATCGTACAGAACGTTGAGGACCCAAACACAATTGCATATGGTTGTCACATTCAAATTCAGAGAAATAATGTGCAGTTAGAGTTGTGTTATTTGCTGGCTATAGTAGAGAGTGTAAACATCATAGAGAAGAAGACTGATTTAAGTTCAAAAAAGACAAGAGAAAAGCTAGTTTAAATTCTTAACTCTTAAAAAGTCTTCAGTGCAAAATAGGCAGGTTTCTAGCAAGATGGATCCACTCCTCTCACAGCTTTGGTTTTATACCTTTATACCACATCCCTCAAGGTCATGTGAAAGATCTATAACTCATTTTGGATACAAAACTCCAGGGAATAATGCCTGGTGACCAACTTCTTGCCAACTGAAGATGAACAAAATTTTTCCATCTCTAATTTCTGTGTCTGCTTCTTACCAACATGGTCCTGTCTCACCCTCCACATGAGTGAGATGATGTAATAGCTAATTTGGCCAAGGATGAGGAGCACAAATAAAACACAGTTCAGACAGTTATTGTTTAAAGAGCAATGTTTAGTTGTACAACACATAAAGTCTAGCAACATTTACACAACCAGTTTGAGTGTCTGTTGGCTTACTTTCAATTGGGAAAATTAACTGTAATGTCACCAAAAGGTTGGCTGGGACTGGTAACATTTAAGAAATGGGTCGTTCTTGCATCCCCTAGGCTTGGGCCTCTTGCTCCATCAGGACCTGGTTGTAGATGAATGGCCCACAAGTCACCAGCCTTTGAGCAAGTTGTGTCCAGGTGGAAGTGGTTGGGCAGTGGGCAAGGGTTAGTCCATAAAGACTCAGTGCAGGGGTGGGCAGTGGCAGCCGACATTCGCAAACATTCATGCATCTGATGGGAGGGCTTTGCCCTCCACTGGGGATTTTCCACTAGCCTGCAGTAACCGACTGTGGCCAGGCTAATTCATTACTCACATTAATGGAGTAGGGGAGGGGTGGGGTGTAGGAGTAGCAAGGGTAGGTGGGAAAAGATTCCCTCTTATTGCTAAGTGGACAGAAGGGTGCTTTTTTCCTTCCTAGAGTTCACATTTCGTGAGCTTCTGGAATTCGGTATGTGTGTTTAGTTCTTATTAAAAATCTAAGGATAAGGAAGTCAACTCCAGGAATGTCGCTTCAGGAAAACCACCATTCCTAAATGGCTGCTATATGGGGTAGGGAGGGTGTGTGGCTGCACTCTGGGCCAGTCACCAGCAGTGATTTTTTTTTTTTTAAAGTGATCCTAGCCCTTGCTCCCCCACATCTGGAGTGACCCATCCTTACAAATAAGCTTTAAGCAATGAAGGAGACACCCTTGTCCCACGTTGGGGCTCACACAGCTGACGTCAACAAATCCGACAAGCAGAAAAGTTGCCTTCTTGACCCTTTAAGGAAGTCAAGAGCAGCTCATGCAGATGAATGGACAGGGAGCAACGCCATATCCCTTGGAGATGGTTACAAGTAGCTGATATGGGTTTGCAAGGGCAGAAGAAGCTCTTGGTGAGTTCTTTCACCCTATGGATGGGCTAGGACCGGCTGACACAGACGATGGAGGAGGGCAATGCTGGCAGGAACTCCATTCCAACTGGGAGGAGAGGGGTGGTGTGGATAAATGGAAGCAGCGACTGTCCTAAAGAGGCAGCTGGCCCCTCCCATCTGCTGAGGGCTGAGAGGGGCTGTGGTGGTGGGCCAGACACGCACAGCACTAAAGAGCGCATGGCCCTGCAGCCAGAAGAGCTGAGGAATGGAGGGAGGAGCGGTGCTTGGAATGGCCTTCATTCGGCAGTGGGGCAGGGGGTGGCTGGCACGGGTGGAAGGACAGTGCCCAGGAGGCCTTCTCCCTGCAGGGGGGGTTGAGAACGGTTGAGGGTGTGGAGACCGGCAGCTGACAGCAGACATACAGAACAGCTTCTCCAGGGAGGCTGAGATCGTGGTTTAGGAGCACCAAGCATTATTCTCCTATTCTCTTCCTCAGCCTCACCAGTGCCCCCCGACTCCCACCCCAGATCTTCCCTGTGAGGTCAAGGTGTCTAGTCCCACGTCTTCATATAAGCCAGGGGTCCCTCTTCTGTTGAAACTTAGCAACCTCTGGACTCTAACTCTGCGCTGTTCTGCTCTGACTGGTGCCTAACCTGGAATAACTGTGTGGGTGAGGGAAGATGGGGGTTGGACTGGTAATGAGCTTCCAGGAAAGATTGGAGACCGTGAGTTTGGGGCCACTAGCAATCTGATCACCCACCTCTTTCTCCTGGTCTGCTGAATCTTGGTCTTAAGTCTATATGTTTTCCTAGCACCTGAGTGATAAGGGCCTATAAATGCTGGGATTTGTAGAGGACCAGTAAAACACCTCGGGTTGGACCAGGAGATGAAACAGGAGGTTGTAAGAGGTTACTGTAAACTGTGTCAATTTTCCCCTTGCCTGAGGCTAAATTGTTTCTCCAGCTTGAAATTTTAGCCACCTTACAGACTAAAGGAGAAAGAGTAACTTGTGTGTCAAACAACATGGAAAATATATGCATTAATAAATATGGGGCTGAAGGGGAAGGCAAGAAAAGGCTACATGTAGGCTTGTGAGTGTCATTGGGCATGTCTAAAGGGGTGAGGAAGAGGAAGTGCAGAAAGCTGAGAAAGACAGACAAAAATGCAAGTAGCTTCAACATGAGAAAGAGAATAGAAGAGAAGGAAAGGGAGGTCAAGTATATACAAGAAGGAGGAGAACAGAAGCCAGCTTTAAGGAGGAAGAATCCTAATGGACAGAAGGGAGATGAGGTTCAAAACTGTCTCTGAAGCCAAACGACCAAGAAAGACAAACACTGTATATTGTTCTTGATACTTCTTTAGACTCAGTTCTGCTAGGACCTAACACCTAGAAAAAAGGTTGTCTCGCTTGACCAGCACAGGTGTTTCTTTAAGCAGACAGTGGGAACCACATAGCTCACTGTGTCTGCTCCTTCGCTGGGCTGCCCACAAGCTCAGGGCCCTTTTCATCACTCAGCTGCAGAAACTTTGTCTCCCGTGCATTTCTACAGATCTGATTCCCCTTGTAATCTCCTTTGTTACTGTCCAGTGACTTTACTGGGGATGTTAAGTGGCCTAAAGTCACTTTTGGAGTAAACTTGACATAAATCCTAAATATAGAAGTGCAGCTCAAGTGGATTAGGCTAAAAGGAAATGAAAGAAGTCAGAGGGGGCAGGACAAAGGAAGGAGGGAAAGGGGAGAAAGAGAGAAGGTGGGAGCAGAGGAGAGTGAGGCGGGGGACGGGGGGCGGGATATGTGGAAAGCAGCAGTCTGCGACAGAGACAGGTGGTAGCTTCTGGACAGTGAATGCCACACAGACCGAAGGGTGGAGCTCTCTCCTCCACATGTAGGCACTAATTCTGCAGGAGCCCAGCGCTGGCCAACTTCTCTGCTCTCCACTGATCTTTCTTTTCCCAAAAAGTCCTAGCCTCACCACAGATCACCGGGCTTACAGAGAGGGTTAAGTCCTCAACTCGCCCCCGCCCCCCCCAATCCCAGGTCAAGCTCCACAGACCGTCTTTGGAGAATCTCTGTGGTCCCTGCTCACAGGTGGGTTCAGAGATAAGAAAGCGTTACCTGAGGCTCACCTGCTCCCATCATTTTTAAATGAAGCCTCCCCCAGACCTCTTGAGTGAGGCACACGCCTTGTTCTGGGACACAAGGAAAGGAGACAGATAATGGACAGCCATGGAGGAAGCAAACTTACTAGGAACTTTCCAGGGAGGCAGTATAAACACCTCAGCCCTGCACGGGCGCACACACATACACACACATGAGCGCGCGCACACACACACTCATCTCTCGCACACACACAGCACACACGCACACTGTAGACAAGATGCTCCACAATTACCAGACAGGCCTGTGGGACAGAGTAGAAAGGAAGAAGGGGGTGGGTGGTGGTCTGAGGATGTGTGTGTGTGGAGAAGTGGGTATGTGTGATGATACAGAGAAAGGGTCGTCATGGGTGACTGTCGTGGCTTTCCTCTGTGTCCACGCTCACCGGAGGGAGGCCTCCGTTGTCATTAAGACGCTTGGCCCTGTAGGTCTCGTAGTGGATGTTGTGTGTTACTTCCTTGAGGTCCTGGAGGTGGGTCCTGAAGGACACAGGGCAAGAGAAAGAGGGGTGAGATTAGGGGCAGGAGGAGGGAGAGAGGACCCACGTCTGAGGTCAACACGTCGCTTCCAGGGTCTGGACCCAGTGACTGGGACCAGAGAGCCAATGACACCTCTTAAGCCCCTTGTCCTTCAAGATGAGAGCTGGGACTGCGGCAGAAGCTCTGTCAGAGAGACCTGGGGACCGAGGAACTGGATCTGAACAACTGGCCTCTGGACCCCAAATAATTAAACTTGCCGTTGGATGGGAGGGGTGTGTCTTACCTGATGACAAAGTCTCGAAGCAGGGCAAACTCACAGTGGTTGAGGTTTTCCACTGTGAACAAACAAACAAAAACAGGTGGTCACTTCACTAATGCAGATACCAGCAGGTGAATTTCTGTTCAGGTCATGGACTGAGCCATGGGCCGGGCCACTGTCACCTTCCAGAGGTGTGCTCATCTTGGCACTTGAGTGCACTGGAGTTTACTCATTGAACAAGGATTCATGAAGCAGCGACAAGGGCACAATACTATTCTAGACTCTGTGGAATAATATCTTATATGTAGTATTATATTCCCCATTTTATAGGAAAAGAAACTAATACACAGGGAGTCTAAGAAATTTGCCCAAGGCCGAAGACACAATTTCTATCTTTCAGGAGCCTGTAATCTGATTGGAAGACAATAAACACACAGACAAAATAATCGAGCCATCTTAAAAAGGTCATGATGGCTTGATAAATCTAATTCAACATAGATCGAGTGCCTACTAACTGCAAATCACTTGACAAAGATGATGGAAACCGAAGAGAATTAAGTCATGAGCCCTCTTTCTCATAATCTATGGGTAGGACAGATATTCTTATAATTTCATTCAATGCAAATGATGAGAAAAAGGCTATTTTTAAAAAATCCCAACAAAGGATAGAAAAATGAGAGACAACATGATATAATGGGAAGAACTTGGTTTTGAAATCAAAATATCCAGGTCTAAAATCCAGGTTTCACCACTAATAAGTCACATGATCTTGGGCAGGACACTTAATCTGATACCCAAGTGCCTCAGGCAGGATGATCTGAGAACAGTCATGCCTACCCTGCCCCTCTCCAAGGGTATCATGATGAATTCATCACTGAAGTGATTCTCTGAGAGCTCTCAGAATCACTGTGACCTTCTCAAGGTCACATCGTTCCTAATAAAATGAAAATGGAAACATCTGAACAACCCTTCAGCAGCTTTTCAGATCATGCCTCCTTTCATGTGAAAACCTTTCTCTGGTTTTTCTGATCCTTATTAATCTCTCCATGTTCTGAGCTCCTTTGACCCTCGAGCTAGTGCCTCCCGGTCAGGTGCTAAATCCATCTTTTATTGCTTCCTGCTCATGAGTCTCAGCTTCTCAATTAGACTGTAAGCCCCTTACGGCAGGGTCTGGCTGGCTCTGGCTGGCATTCATTTTATATCTTGCATCCTAGGACTGTGCCTTGACCTACAGATGCTTAATTAATAAGCATAATTGACTGGCAACCAGTTCTTCAAGAAGATGCATTGAATTACCTTCAATGATGCCCCAGGGAGTTTTTCTGCCGAGGACCCGCTTGCCATTCACTTGGTACTCCTTGTCACTTCCCACCACAGCGAAAGGCATGCTCTCCTGCTGACAAAGCAGACACATACGCATGTCATCCTTCTACTCTTTGCGCCTCCAAGGGTAGGATGGCATACGGTCCTGGGTCTCTAACCTTGAACTGCACATTTCTGAAGTTCATTCAGTGATCCCACTGATGGCAGAGGCCAGGCTCTTGTCTCTGAAAAAGAGCACTGGACTGGGAGTCTGAAGTCCTGGGATCCAGACCTGATTACTCCCCTGCCTGGCTGGTTAACCTCAGTAAGTCAGCTTTCCCACAACTGGAGAATGCTTTGTACTCTTTAGCACTTTTAAGAGGTTTGGTTTGATTTGGAACAACTTTGTGAGCTAGCCAAGAAAGACAGACCTCTTAGACAACACCCACCCAGTGGACAACCAAAGTAATGAGTTTTACATGGTCTCCCACACTGGCAGAGGCCCATACCTGCTGCCCTGCCAGAGTTCCAAGGCCACTTTCTGATGTACCTAGGCTCCTCTACGCCAGCAGGTGTCTGTTCCCAAGTTGATCTGCTTGGTGTGTGCTGTTATTGCATCTGGATAAATTAACTGTTACATAAGCTGAGGACATATCAGTGTGGAGATCTGTTTCTTTGAAAATGGAATGTTTCAGAAAGACTTGATAAAGCTGAGTTCCTTTTGCATTGAGTGGATTTAGCAGGACTTCCCTACTGGTCCAGCGGTTAAGAATCTGCCTCCCAACACAAGGGACGTGAGTTTGATCCCTGGTCAGGGAACTAAGATGCCACAGGGCCCAAGCGCCTCAACTAGAGAGCCTGCATGCTGCAAATTACAGAACCCATGTGCTCTGGCCCCAACTGGAGAGAAGCCCGCACGCTGCAATAAAAAGCCTGCATGCCACAACTAAGACTAGATGTAGTAAAAAATGTATTATTATTTTTTTAAAAAGCACGGAATAGTGGACTTATCTCCAAAGAGGACTTGTCTCTATATAAAAAGAATGCTTAATGAACATGATGTGTTTTTGATATTTTAATTTAATAATTCAGTAAAACATCTATTTTAAAACATTTAAGATTTGTATGCATCATTTTTAAAATTATTTCTTCAATTGATTTTTTCAATGAACTACCTGTCTCAACTATATCAGGCTTCTCCTAGGTTACCACACTTGATGGAGAAGGAGACTCAAGGCCAAAGTGAGGGATTTGTCCCAGGTTACAGTGATTAGTGGAAAAGCTCAGACTAGAACCCAGTATTCTAATGAGGAATCACAGAACAGTAGAAGTTTAGAATTGAGAGGGATCTTGGAAATCATAAAGGTCAGGGGTTTCCCAGCCAGGTTTCATGAAGCCTTAAGATTCCCAGGAAACACCTCAGGGGCTGCTCAGAAGGCAGGGTTGAAAAGACCCTGATGCTGGGAAAGACTGAAGGCAGGAGGAGAAGGGGGCAGCAGAGGATGAGATGGTTGGATGGCATCATCTACTCAGTGCATGAATTTGAGCAATTTCTTCCAGGAGATGGTGAAGGACAGGGAGGCCTGGCGTGCTATGGTTCATGAGATAGCAAAGAGTTGGACACGACTAAGCGACTGAAAAACAACATACTGGAGTCTGACACTTAGCTCTTTCTAAAGGGTTCTTCTAGGGGAGCAAAAGTGCCAATAAGCCATTCATCTAGCCTGATCTCTGAATTTTAAAGAAGGAGAAACTGAGGAGGAGCTCTGCCTGAAGCTTTTCCTGCCTGTATTCTTCCACCACCCCTTACTCTGGTTTTGCTTGGCCCAGTGGGGGAACTAGAGGCTTTTGTTGGCTCTGGGCATGAACAGGAGAATTCGGCTTTCTGGGTGCAGGATTCACAGTCACGGCCAGGGCCCCCAGTCCTCATCCTCTCCCATGCCACTTCTGGTCTGGGTCAGGCAAAGTGGGGCATGGAGTTTGGAAAGGGGAAAGCAGGAGGCAAAACAGAAGTGGTACATGATACATATCCCAGGGGGACCAAGGCGGGCATCTATGTGATGAACAGAGTCCTAGGCACCTACCCGGATTTTGTCATTCTCTGTCTTGTCCTCCAAATCCTCATCAAATTCCTTCTGGGGATAGAATTCAATGCCATTCACTTCAAGCTCCTTTCGAACCTAGAGGCAGGCAGGAGAAGCATGATAGCCAAGCATCAGGATTGAGAGAGAGCTATGTGTGCATGGGCATGCGTGTGCAAATGTGTGCACACTGAAGCCAGAGGGGTAAATGGCAGTCTGGTCATCTTTGAACTCTGAGGCCCTGGGCAGCCGGAGGATCCTGAATGAATGGGCACCCAAGCCCTACAGTTACCACTGCCCACCCCAGCCTGCCACGAGGAAGAATCTGGGGATGTGGTCTGTTCCCCTCAGGGTCTGTAAGATCAGGATCCAGACAAGCAGGACCACTGAGAACAGACTCCACGTGGGCAGTGTTCATGCCATACTTGTTTCACGCCTCTTGGCAGGGAAGAGAGGCCCAGCTCGCCACCAGCAGCCTCTCCCCATTTGTCCTCTTTCAAAGCTCAGCTTAAGTCTCCTCCTCCAGGAAGCCACCCAGTGCTTTTCAGCAATCTCCTTGATGAAGTTTCTTAAAGGCATCAACCGTCTTTATACTTCTCCGTCATTTCCCCAACACAGTCCCCTGTGTGTCCAGCACAGGACAGAGCTTATGCAAAATAACGATAAAGAACCAGTAAGTGGTTGATTAATTAATCTTGTCCTTCAAGCAACCTAACAGTGTAGAGTGGTTTCTCACGTTTGAGGTGATTTATGCATTTAGTGGTATTTGCAGGTAAGTTTGGAGGGCGAGAAGGCTGGAGCCGCACTAACTTCTCTTCTCCACCAGTCTCGCCTCTTTAACAGTTGAGTAGGAGCCGGGTGGGAAGGGGTAGGAGGTGGATGTGGTAAGAGAGGAGAGGAGAGGGCTTGGACCCAAAGGGGAGAGGCAAGCATGAGGACAGGAAAAGGAGAAAAGGCCTTCTCACCCTTTGCTTGAATTCAGACTTCTCCTCCAGGGTCATGGTGTCAGCCTTAGCAATGACGGGGATGATGTTCACAACTTTGCTGAGGTGTTTCATGAACTCCAGGTCGAGAGGTCGCAAGCTGGGGCCCAGAGAAGGCGGGGTGTCAGAGCCACCAGGCCCTCCCCACTCAGCCTCTGCCACCACTCCAGGGGCACCCTTGGGACAGGAGGACTGGGCTGGGAACTGGCTGGGTAGCCACCATCTCCTGTCTGCAGAACAGAACCCAACTCTCTACCCACACGTGGTCCACCAACTCCATTTCTCTCTCCCTTGGCTCTGGGGCATATCCTGGCTTCTTTAAGCCCCACTCAAACCACTCCTTCACAACACCTTTTCTGACCTGAGATCTCCTTCTCCTGGGAACAGCCATGGACTGCTGTCCCTACCCATGCATCCTCATGTCATGGTTATACGTGTGTCTATTCTGCCTACGGGACAGCACTTTTGGACAGGCCTCCCCCTGGCCCCCAAGCAGTCTTGCAGGGATCCAGCTGGGGCCTGGCCCCTCACTTCCCCAAGGGCCTCTGGACTCTGGGGCCCCGATCTGGCTGTAGTTTGAAGTCCACCAGACTCATTTAAGTCAGGCTGCCTGCTGGCCTGCTCTGACCTTGGGTCCAGGCTCTAGGGAGGGATAAACGCGAACCTTCCTGCTGAGTTCCTGACCTGCACCGTCGAAAACCTGCTGAACATCTGGCTCCTCCAAAACTGAGGGCCTGCCGCACTTGTGCCATCGTCTCAAGAATGAAATTCTTGCCTAGCCGCCAGGTTCAGTGACAGTTGGGAGACCTCCCCAGCAGGAAGGTGGCCTGCTAGTCCATTTGCATGGCTCAGCCCCACCTGATACTCACAACCAGAGTTCCCAGCATGCCTTGCTGGTTGTCAGCCTTCATCGCTGGACACCTGGCTCCTCTTGCTGGGCTCGCCACCCTCCAAATGCCTACAGCTGGGTCCCCCCTCCCCACCTCTACCTAAACACCAGCCCCAACCCAGTAGCCCAGGCCCTCCCCATCTCATCCTTCTTGCTGCCCCTGACCCCAGGCCTCTGCAAAGCAGGTATCTATTGAACAAACGAGGAGCCCTTTGCCCACAGCAACCAACTTCTGTTTGCTGGCACAGTCATGCTACGGTGCTAACACACGGATGGGCAGCGTGGGGGCTGAAGGTGGTCAGCTTCTCTCTCCCGTCAAGAATCTCTGGGGACTCCCAGGGCCATGACTATGTGGGGGCCCACCTGACCTCCCTAGCTGAGTCTAGATATTTGTCATTCACTATGGGTTGGGATCAAATGATGCAAACCAGAGGCAGGCCCAGGGACGGGGGCAGGACTGATACATACGAGTGTCCGGTCGGGGAGATGAAGTAGAGGCAGCAGTGGACGCGAGTGTCAGGGATGCGTTTCTTCCTGGCGATGTTCACCTCCTCCTTCAGGAACTTCTCATACTGCTCATTGATGTACTTCTCAATGGGCTCCCAGCTAGAGGAGCGGGGAAGAAAGCAGATGGAGGTCCCAGAAGGACACGACCTGGGAGCTCCTCTTACCAGGGTCAGGAGTCAGGCTCTTACATTCATCTCATTCCCTGCCTCCCGAGGGCTCTAGGTGACCTGTTGATTATTCTCCCTCGGCCCCCATGGATGGCTTTCCCTGTTATCAAGGGCAGAACTCCTCTGGGGTCCGAGCCCTCTGATTGACCTATGGGAACCTGCAGAACCCCACCCTACTCCTGAGAGCAGTGCACACTTTCCCCACATCCATCACTTATTAGCTGGGCCACTCTGGGGAAGTCTCTGCCTTTCTCTGAAGCTCTTTTCTCATAAGTGAAAAGAGAGTAACAACAGGTGCCTAGAGAGATTCATGTAAGAATTAGAACAGAGGTTTAATACTAAACGGGGCTTCCCTGGTGGCTCAGTGGTAAAGAGGCCGCCTGCGATGCAAGAGATGCAGGTTCTATCTCTGGGTCAGGAAGATCCCCTGCAGAAGGAAATGGCCACCCATTCTAGTATTCTTGCCTGGGAGATCCCATGGACAGAGGAACTAGACGGGCTACAGTCCAAGGGGTTGCAAAGAGTGGACACGACTGAGGGACTAAACAACAACAATACCGTACAGAACAGAGAAATGGGACATAGAAAGTGCTCAATCCTGGCATTATAATAATTCATATTATAATCATAGGCGTACAATAACCCCAGCACAATAATTCATCATGGTCATGGCTGTTGCCATAATAGTAACCTTTCCCTGTCTAGGAGTATGTGGATAGCCAGAGAAGAAGGTGACCAGCCACTTTCTAAGATCAACACAGCCAATTCCAAGGTGTGTTGTTGACAGGCCCTGTCTGTCTGGGGCAGCCCCAGGCTCCCTCACAGAGGTACAGCTGTCTTCATCCCTGTCTGGGAGCAAACTTCTGCCCAGAACCTTCTGTAAAGCAAAGAATGTCACTTGCCATCTGGTTTTACAAGGATTAAGTCATTAGCCACTGTAGTCACTGACCTACAATATATCCTGGAAGGAACAAGATAAGGCTCTCCATGCTTTGGGGAAAGAGGCCCTTCAATAGTTGTATTTCAGGAAAAAACAATTTGGACCCAAATTCTTGCACCGTCCCCTATTTAGAAAAGCACTAAAATCATTAACAGAGATCTCTGTTCCTCTTGACTGGCAGTAGCCTTCTGCTGAGATGTATGCTTGGCTACACGCATCCCATCAAAAATCACTCGTACACTGGCCTCCACCCACCTTTTCAGAGCAGGTCCTCCGAGCTATCTGGGAGGCCGGCTCTCAGGCTACAGTCCTCAGCGTGTGTGTGCGTGCATGCTCAGTTGCTAAGTCAGGTCCGACTCTTTGTGACCCCAAGGACTGCAGCCCGCCAGGCTCCTCTGCCCATGGGATTCTCCAGGCAAGAATACTGGAGAGGGTTGCCATTTCCTTCTCCAGGGGATCTTCCCGACCCAGGGAATGAACCCACGTCTCTTGTGTCTCCTGCATTGGCAGGCAGATTGTTTATCACTGAGCCCCCTGGGAAGCCCTCAGTAAGAGTGTGAATAAGACCCAACTCAGAACTCTTACATTCTGCTTTTTCTTCTTTTTTTTTTTTTTTGCTGCACCATGAGGCAGGCACTGTGCATTCTGTTCGCAGCCAACACTTCCATCCTCAACTGGGCAGTGTACTTCCACCCTTTTGGCTGGACACTGGATCCCCAGAGGCTCTCTCCTCATGGAAATTGCCCTCCCCCTTGTCTTCCTCCCATCCTGTTTGTTCAGGTGGCCAACACCTGGCCCTCAGGCTAAGCTCCCTGCCACAACCTCCAGGTCCGCCTGGGTTTGCACCCCAGTTTCCCTGCTCCGTCGCTCCGGCTCCTGACCCGCTCCCATCTCCAGGCAATGCCTCGGCTGACATTGCCTCTGCTATGTCCCCTCTGTCCTCATGCCCGGGCCCCATTTGGTCCTCTCCGCTTGCTTCCTGACAAACCCCCTCCCCTCTTTCAGCAAGTCTTGCCACTTAAGCCCTCAACATGGAGGGCACAGATGGTTCTCAGTTTGAGTGAATCTGCTCCGCATTCAGTGTCTGCCTTGCAGTCTTTAGAGTGGAGGTCTCACACACAGGCAGACATACCAGTTTTCATTGTTGATCTGGTCTCCAAAGCCCGGGGTGTCGATGACAGTCAGCTTCATCTTGACACCACCTTCCTCGATCACTGGGGAGCAAACAGAAAAGGCACCCAGGGGGTCACTCCTCCAGCTGAAGCCAGGTGCCCCACTGCCTACCCGCTGGGGAGACCTGGGCTCCTTACTTCTACAGGACCAATGACTGGAAAAATCAAGTTCAGGGTCCTCAACACTTCAACACCTTTGTTCATACTGTTCCCTACACCTGGAATGCCCTCCTTACCCCTTCTGTCTGTCTAAATCTACCCAGTCTTGGGACTTCTCTGGTGGGCCAGTGGCTAAGACCTCATGCTCCCAATGCAGGGGGGCCCAGGTTCAACTCTTGGTCAGGGAACTAGGGTTGCAGATGTGAACTATGTATGCTGCGAAGAGTTTGTGCGCCCCACTAAAGATCCCTCATGCTGTAACTAACACCTGTTGCAGCCAAATTTTTTAAAAAAAAGTATTTTTTTTAAATTAAAAAAAAAAATCCACTAGGCTTTATCATCCCACTCAAATCCTACTTCATTCCTCTCTAATTCCCTCACCCCCTTTTCTGGACTTACAGAACTCTAAAGAGTTGGCTCCATCGTGTTCAAGGGCTTAATTCTATTCTGTCTTCAGGTTATTTTTCATTTATCTCATCCCCCAGATGCCCCATTCTTCCCCTTTTCTGGCAGAGGCCCTTGGAACAATGCCCGTCAGGGTCCCTGCCGGGTCCTCACCATGCCCAATAGCTTTGATCTCCACCGTCTTGGGAATCTTCTCCTCCCGGTTCCAGCTGGAGGCCTTGCGGCTCACTTGGGATTTGAAGAGGGTGTTGACCAGTGTTGACTTGCCCAGCCCACTCTGACCTGCAGCAAGACAGGAGGAGGATGAGAAGGCCGGGAGACCCCAGGCCCAGCTCCCAAGCCTGGCATCTCTCCCCTGAGCTTACAGAATTCTAGAGCTGTGACCCAGGTCCTTGACTGAATGCTCACTGGAGAGGCTAGAGGCCGAGCAGGGACAGCGAGTGGGTGGGAATGCTTTCCTACTTACTGATGAAGGACCTGGGGAAATGTCAGTCGTACTGCACACTCTCTCCTTCTGGAGCCCTGGGAGCAGTGGGCAAGGGGCAACCTCTGCACTTGTGTACTGGTTTTCCATTTCGTTTTTGCTTGACCTAAGTTTTTAGTCTTTAATCACACTTTAAAGATGGAATTACTTTACATACTGACACTGCACTTCTGAAGAAGATTTCACTCCAATGAAGAGCTCCACAACTAAAAGATAGGTGAAAACCACTGGTCTGAGCAGTGTTTCTCAAACATGCCCAAGAATCACAGGATAATAAAGAAGGCTGAGTGAAGAATCGACGCTTTTGAATTGTGGTTCTGGAGAAGACTCTTGAGAGTCCCTCAGACTGCAAAGAGATCAAACAAACCCAAAGGAAATCAACTATAAATATTTATTGGAAGGACTGATGCTGAAGCTGAAACTCCAATACTTTGGCCACCTGATGCAAAGAGACAACTGATTGGAAAAGACCCCGATGCTGGGAAAGAAGGCAAAAAAGAAGGGGGTGGTAGAGGATGAGATGGTTAGATTGTATCACTGACTCAATAGACATGAATTTGAGCAAACTCTGGGAGATAGTGAAGGACAGGGGAACCTGGTATGCTGCAGTCCATGGAGTTGCAAAGAGTAAGACATGGCTTAGCGATTGAACGACAACAAAGATGCTACATGGTAAGTGCTAAGAGATGAGTGGAGAAGTAGTACCAGGCCAAGCTAGGAATTCAAACCCTTAAACTTATGAAGATTGTTAAGTAGGATGGGTGATGATGAGCTTTGCAGGCTGGAAAAATTATTCAGTCACTGGTAGACAATGGATTGAAGAAGACAAAGAACCAGAAGAAAGAGAAGTTATGTCATCACACACGCTGTCTAGTTTAGCCAGTGTGTTTTAGAGCAAGACATGCCAGATGATTTACACTCTGGCCCAGATGTATGAGCAGCTCTGAGTCAGGGGACCGTGGTAACCCAGGGTAGTAGCAGCTGGTAGCCTAGGGTGCTGCCAGTGGAGATGGAGAGGGTAGACAGACCGGAGAGATATTTGTGAGGTAAAACTGACGGTATTTGATGACTGACTGGATTGGGGATAAAGAAGGAGGAAGAACGATGATTCCCAGATCCCAGTTTCAGTAACTGAGAGAATATGTCACTACGATCAAAGGCAAAGGTCCCTCCCTGCTCTTATACTCTGTGGCCCAGTGAGCCTACTTAGTGACCAATGTCCTGAAAATTCTCTTCAATCTTGAAAGCACTACCAAAGATCATAAAGAAGACCACCCTTCCTCTGATCCTCTCCCAAACTTGAAGGTGGGGAAGAACAAGGGTGATGCTCCCAGGCCTTGAGCACAGCTATAGGGCAGCCTGTGTACAGACGGGGGGTGACGGGGCCAGACTGACCGTCATCCACCCACATCTCCCACCCTCAGAGCAGCCAGCCTTGTGGGGAGAGAGGAGTCAGGCCTTTGTGATCAGCACGCTCAGATCTTTCCTCTGAGGAAGAGCTCATTCTACAGAAGCCAGGGCTGAGGCCATCCTAAAGAAAGAAGTGGGATTCTAAAGGGTACTGCCTGCCACCAGGGTCTGCAGGGAGCCCACGGCCTCCGTACCGACCACCATGATGTTGAAGTCAAAACCAGTTTTCATGGTCTTCTTGCGCATCTGTTCGATGATGGTGTCGATGCCGATGTAGCCCAGCAGGTTGGGGTTGATGCCAATGGGCTTCATGGGCACTGCCGGCTTAGGCCTGGGCTCAGGCACCAGCTCTGACATGGCTGCGTCCGTCCTGGTCTCCGGGAGCCCTGCAAAGCCAAGGTGGGAGAGGCAGGCTGAGGTCATGTGGACACCACAGTTTTATTCTCTGGATACACAATTACACAGAGTTAGGCCTGGATGGGACCATGGATGTCCTCCAGTACAGGTATCCCATCTCACAGATGTGGAGACTGAGGCCTGGGGGTGGGAGGCAGTAGTAAGGGCTCGCCCGAGAACACAGAACAAGTCAGATGCAAAATCTGGACCAGTACCCAGACCCTCCAGTTGCTGGGGTACTTTCAAATGCACCTCACTGCTCCAAAGAACCAGATCTGTGTCTCTAACCCAGGGGTTTCTTTGCCTTGGCACTACTGACATGCTAGGTCAGATAATTAGAGTAGGCAGCTGTCCTGGGCATTGCAGTCCATTTAATGACATCCTTGGCCTCTACTAGCTGCCAGTGCATGCTTAGTCACTCAGCTGTGTCTGACTCTTGGCGACCCCTTGGATTATAGCCCACCAGGCTCTTCTGTCCATAGGATTTTTCAGGCAAGAATAGGTGGGTTTTCATTTCCTTCTCCACTAATAGATGCCAGTAGTAGCTTCCAATTTAATGATCAAAAGTATTTTCAGACAGTGCCAAATGTTGGCTGGCACTGCCAATAGTTGAGAACCACTGACCTAAGAGATGTCTGGGGTTATTCCAACCTGAGTCCTGCCTCACCCAAATAAAGGGCAAAACAAAGACCTTTTAGGATTCTGGACCTAACATCTATTGACTGCCTGTCCCTGACCCAGTTGCTCTGTCTTTTAGAAACCCATGGGTCTGGGACGTCCCTGGTGGTCCAGTGGTTAAGAATCTGCCTTGCGAGGCAGGGCATGTGCATTTGATCCCTGGTAGGGGAACTAAGATCTCACGTGCTGAGGAACAATTAAGCCTGTGCACTGCAAAGAGAGCCTGTGAGCTACAATGAAAGATCCAGCATGCCACAACTAAGACCTGATGCAACAAAGTAATTTTCTTTTAAAAAAGCAGCACATGGGGCTACCTCAACTCAGCAGAGTGAGCATCACTCGTGTCTCCCAGTCTCAATATCACCTCTATTCCATTGGCATTGCTGCAAAGTAGGGGTCTCTGTGCCCTGAGGAGTCCCAGACAGCCTCCACACCCTATTTTTAGTTTTTAAGTTGTTCATTGCTTTCAGATTTTTTGTTTGGCTGCACCGCATAGCATTCAGCACCTTAGTTCCCTGACCAGGGATCAAACCCATGCCACCTGCAGTGGAAGCATGGAGTCTTAACCACTGGACCACCAGGGAAGTCCTCTACAAGCCGTAGTTTTGAGTCTGAGGAGGAATAAGCCTCCCCTGCTGACCAATGAGGAGAGGATGAGGCCCAAGTAGGGGCAGTCACAGGCCTAAGATGACATGACACTCTGTGTTCTTGGCGTGGTGGGTAACAGGAGAAAGGAAAGCCTGAGATCACAGCCATTCCCCAGGGGAGGAAGGCAAACATCCTTCCAGGTCTGGCACATCATGGGTATGCTCATATGCATGAGAAATCTGTGTGTTCATCAGGGCACTGTCCTCCAGGTGGGTTTCGGGACATGGCATCTCCACTTCCCTCCCCATAAGATGCAGGTGTGTGGTGACGTGGGAGGAGCCTGGCTCTGTGACTGCCTTCTCCACCTCGGGTGAGCCGCCTGCCCCATGTGCCTGCTTCCTCTTCTGTAAACTTCTTAGGATAGTGATTAAGGCTGTGGGGAGCCCCGCATGTGAAAGGCACCCCCCGCTCTGCCTCACTGCTGCAAACCCTCTTGGTCCTGCCCCTTTCCGGTTCACAGTCAGGAGGGGGAATGAAGTGGTGCATGTGAAAGCACTTGTTAAAGGGAGGTGCCCTAGATGCTAATTACCCAGCGCAGTCACTGTACTCCACGCTCTCTGGAGGCCCCCTTCCAGCCTGGCCATTCTAGAATCCTATGGCTCCTGGTTACCCCCTGCAGGGTCTCTGGCTCCCAGGGAGAAGTGATGGAGCCGCAGATGGGAAAGAGAGAGAGGGGACAGGTGCACCTGCCTCCCCCACCCGCAAAGCCAGCCAGGAGTCTGTTCTTGCACCCCCACCACCTGGTCCCTTCCCTGGTCCTGGCATGACTTTCTCTCCCCACTGGAAACCGTTCTTTCCTTGTCATCCGCGGGCACAGCCAAATCTGACGGAGTCTCGGGACCTCCCCAGGGCCTGGCGTGGTTCCCTCCTGCTTCCCAGGAAGTTGTTGCCAGCCAGGCGGCTCCAGAAGGCACCCAGATTGGCTCAGGCCTGAAGCAGCTGACTATCAGCAGCCTGGCCTGCGCCTCCACTCTGCACGTGGTTCCCGGGCCCGACTCAGCACACCTGCACTGGGGCCAGTGCCCCGATTTCCCTGTCCAGCTGCTCACCAGGCCGGTCCTCTTCATCCCCCGGACGCCTCTATGGCCAGCCCACTGGGTCGCCGCAACCACTGTTGTGAGATGGAGCCATCTGTGTGCATCTGTGTGTTTTGGTGGGGGGGGCAGGGTCTTACTCTACAGATCTGGAAATGAGTCTGGTATTTATTTACGGGAGTGTTTATAAGGGTTTTTATAAAATCTGTATCCTCACCCCAGCCTGCTCAGCCCCGGCCTGTCAACCGCAGCATCCTCAAAGACCACTCCCCAAACACAACCCGGTTTGGAGAAGAGGCCAGCTGACCAGATTCCCGGGCAACTTCAAGGGGCTCCAGCAGGCCAGGGGCAGAGTCCACTTTTATTCCTTCATCGAGCCCCTGTTACCACCCACAGAGCTCCTGCTGGCAAGATGTCCCTCCCAACCACACGGCGATTACATGCCAGTCATGTGCTAACGACAACCACCCATCAGCCACAAGCATTGCAAATCTGCAGCGGGTCACAGTGTCATGGCCTTTGCTGGAAGACCCTTTGCCCGCTCTAGCCCCTGGAGACCTCCCACTCTTCCTTCACTATACAGGAAAGCCTCCGCTTTCCCATCTCACATGGATGCCTCCCTTCTGTGCTGCCTCAGCCCCCTGAGTACCTCTGTAATCATTGCATTCATTCATTCATTCATTCACTCACTCCATCCCATCTGGGCCATTCTATAGGCCCTCCAATGAGAGCCGACTCCAGCCAAACCCTAGACTAAATGCCAAGGACACTGCTAGACCCCAGACAAGGTCCTTGCCTCATACTGTCTGGTGAGGAGACCTCCAGAGCACAGGGTGTAGACAGCTCCAAAGTTGAATTCTGTAGCTCCCTCCTCTGCCCCTGCAGCCCCTCCAGGTCCGGCCATGCCAGCTCCAGATGGGCAGCTGGCCCATCCTTGACTCCCAGCCGGCTAGCCTCTGGGAGCCTCAGTGTTCTTCTCAGGAAGACAGGGACAGTCCCGACCTCACTGGGTTTCTTTGATGCTTACACAAAATTGTGGGCACAAACTTGGCACTGAACACATGCCAGTTGCCACCCTTCTTCAGGGCAGGAGCCATGTCTTATGGATTTCTGTGCCCCGATATACCTAGTATAACAAGGCATTCAGCAACGAATGAATGAATGCAAGCCTCACTCAGGAATATGAATGAATGAATGAAGGTAAGCCTCATTCAAGCCTCACTGCAAGGCTGATGTTACTCAGAGCCATCACCTTTCTCCTCCTTTGGATGCTGCTCCCTTGATGAAGCGGCTGACAGCAAATGGCTCTTGGGTGGGCCCCAGGCACGGAGACAGACTCTGTTACGAGACCTTCTCCCCCCTCCACAACAGGGATTGGAGGAGGGGGTCCCCAGGGGTGGGGAAGAGCTCCGGATGGGCTCACAGCCGGATGTAACTCAAAAATGCCATCCTGCCTACGTGGTTCCTGGGGCTCCTTCTGAGCTCCCAGCTTTCTCCCAGCCCTGCCTGCAGCACCTCCTGCTGGGAGCCACCTGCCCCAACCGTGCTCTGGGGAGAGACCCTGTCCACCCCCTGCTCAGCGCTGGCTTAGTCCCCACAGAAACGGCAACATTCTCCCCCCACCCCACCCCACCTCCCTGACAAGCAAGGGCCCTGGTGCTTTCTCTTACAGGGAAATGAATGGGCTTTGTCTTTGTCCGGCCGAGGGACCCCACCCCTCTGCTGGGAAGGTGGCCGCAGAGAGGACCTTTCCAGAATAGCACCTGCCTTCCTGGCTTCGGGGGACCCAGGGGGTGGGGAGGCTCTTCCTTCCGGAGCCGGAGATCATTCCCAACCCCCAGACCCCAGCAGTCTTTAAGACTCCACCCCCACCCTCAGAGGCAATTTCAGTCCACCCCTAGCTCCAGCCCCTGGCTCTCAGCAGGAGAAATCACAAAAGCTATCTTAGTACTTTCCCATTCACAGAACCAAAGGACCCTGAGATATATACCCCTTCCTCCATCCCAGTCCTCCGGAGGCCAGCGAGTTCCCTTGGAGACCACCAGCTGGTGCCTGTCTCAGCGTGCGCCCGCCGCCCCTGTGTGTGGGGGAAGGGGTCTATGTGTCAGCGCACAGGTCTCTGAGCCCGGCCGTAGGTGGTCCCGATACCTGTGCGCGGTGTGCATGTGTGTGCACGTCTTAGTGTGCTCCAGCGCGCATCGCGGTGCCCGCCTGCGTGTTCGGGGGTCTCCGTGTCTCTCCGCCTTCCCGTCTGTGCATTTCTCCGGGCTTGGACATCTTGGGGAGTGTGCCCCCGTGTGTGTATCCGTGCACATATGTCACCGTGCGTGGGCTCCTTCGTGCATCAACCCTCCCCCTGGTAGCATCTCCAGCTGGGCTGGTAGGGGCCGCAGCCTCCGCCTCCCGGCGCGCGCTGATGGCCCGGCTGGCCTCCTTACCTTTGGACATGAATCCTCCTTTGTCTCCGTTTCCTCCGGGAAGATGCTCAAGGGCGCGGGGCTGCAAGGCTGAGCGGGACGCGGGCTCCTCCTGGGCCGAGTAGCCCCTGCAGCCGGGCCTCGCCCTTCGGCGCTCTCCGCCCACCCGCCCGTGAGCGGGGGCGCTGGGCCTCGCAGTCTCGAGATGCCGGGCGGGGGGCGGCGCCCCCATCCCATCCCTCCGCCCGGATCCGCTCCCGGCCTATAACTCTCTGAGGCTGGGGTGGGGTGGGGGCGCGGGAGACCAGTGACAGCTGCGGGATGCGGTGCGCGAGCGAGCGTGAGTCACGCGGTGGTTGGGATGTTGGGCTGGTTCCGTGGGGTTCTGCCCAGGCGTGGGTGCCAGTAGAACCCTGCCTGATTCAGGAGCCCGGGCCTGGCTCTGGGATGACGAGCCCTATGACCTTGAACTGGTCAGGAACTTTCTTTCCTGGGCCTCAATTTACCGGTCGGGAAAAAAAATATCTTTCTTGCATTTAATCCACATGAATGGATAGCATATTGCCAGGCCAGGTGGGCACAGGAATGAGGACCATCGTTTATGTCCTCAAAGAGCTTTGGGTCTGGTGGGGTAAGACAGAAAGCTGGACTGTCCTCATACAGAGAGTGGGGTATGCACAGGGAAACTGTGGGTGCAGGGAGGTGGGCACCCTGGGGAGAGGGGTTTTGTAGGATTTCTTGGAGGGGGTGAGGGCCGAGATGGAAAGACAAATGTAGGTGGGAGGGAAGAAGGGAAATCATTCCATGGAGAGAAGAGGGCTGAGGTGAGGAGACCAGAGGTGAGAGCTGCCTGGTGCTGGGGACAACAGGGTTCCTGGGTGCAAAGAAGCAGGGAAAATTCCAGACAGGGATACAGAGCTAAGAGAAGTCCACAGCCTTGGGAGTCAAGCTAAGGAGCTGGACTTTAAAAGAAGATAATGGTGAGCCACCAACAGCTGTTAAGCAGAAGGTGCTCCCATGAGATGAGTCCCTCATCTCATGCCAGTTGAAGGGGGCGAGTGGCCTCGCAGGGGCAGAGGGATGGAGAGAAAGGGACGCAGAGCCTAGGACTGAGGAGGTTGGGCCACAGAGTTGGAATCAGACTGGCTGGGATGAAGGAGAGAGAAAGAGGAGGATGCCCGGGTCTCTAGTGGGGTGGGGCAAGGCCGAAGTCAGGAAGTAAAGGGCTGCCTTTGAACCTGCCTGGAAGCCGTCTGGGTGGAGGGGTCTGGCAGGCCGCTGGCTGTCCACACCTACATTTCAGAAGAGAGGGCTGGGCTGAAGATGGAGAGAGAGCTGGAAGGAGGAGGGAAGACGAGAGCCTGAGTGGGCTCCCCAGATGGAGTGTGCAGAGTGCAACGGGAAGGGGGCTGACAACCCCCAACCCCAGGTAAGCCACAGGACCAGATGCTTTCTGAGCATCCGCCAGACCCAGAATCTCTGAGCTTTTGCAAGGTTGGGAATGAGACTGCCAGAAGAATTCCAATCCCTAGGTCGCCGTTACCTTGCATGGTGCATGCTAATTTGCTCTAGTCGTGTCCGGTTCTTTGAGACTCTATGGACTATTGCCCACCAGGCTCCTCTGCCCATGGAGTGGGTTGCCATGCCCTCTTCCAGGGGGCCTTCCCATCCCAGGGATCAAACCCGATTCTCTTATTATACATCTCCTGCACTGAAGGCGGGTTCTTTACCACTACTGCCACTTTAGACATGCCAGCTATGTGATGTAGGCAAGTCACAGCCTCTCGAAGACCGAATGAACTTCTGGCCCTGTGTTGACCTGTTTATAGTTCCGTGTAGGACTTCCAACATGAAATCTCCAACTCAGACTGTAGGACTACAGTGCTGGGGCTCGGGGACCAAGAAAGAATTCCAGGTAAGACACTTTTTAAGCAACAGCTAACAGGGCTTTCCCCCCAGTGGCTAAGACTCCAAGCTCCCAATGCAAGGGTTCTGGGTTTGGTCCCTGGTCAGGGAACTAGATTCCACGTGCTGCAACTAAGAGTTAAAATCTTCCCTCCCAGGACTTCCCTGGTGGTCCAGTGGTTCAGAATCCACCTTCCCATGCAGGGGACAGGGGTTGAATCCCTGGTCAGGGAACTAAGATCCCACATGTTGCATGTGCCACAACTAAGACCCGGTTCAGCCAGATAAATAAACTAAATACATAGATATTAAAAGAAATGTCATTCTCACCTTAAAAAAAATCTGCCCTCCCTTTCCAGATCTAGCCAAGCATAATCTATCTCCGGGTCCTTACACCCCTGCCCCACCCCCACCCACCGCAGTCTGGTGCCTCCCCAGCCCAGCTCTTTGCACTTACCTTTGGTTTCTCTGGCCCGGTCCAGCTCTGTGGCCCAGTCCGTGGCAGCATCTGCTGTAGGGTGGCCCAGGACTGTGTCTGTGCTTTGGCTCAGCATTGATGCGTGGGTGGCAACGTCTGGTGTCATCAGGTTAATGACACTGTCCAGTGTGGTCTCGCCAGCGGCCAGGTCTGGGGTGACTGGCACAGCTGGACCCATGGCTATGACCAACCTGCTTGTATCCAGAGCTGGAGAATTCGTAGTCACGCCCAGCGTGGCTGTATTCGCCAGCATGACTGTGTCCGGCCTGGCTGTGCCCAGCTTGACTGGATCTGGGGCTGCCCGTTCCATGGCTGCACCCCCTGTGGTTGCTTCTGGCTTGGCTGTGCCTGCTGTAGCTATGGCTTTGCCCACCTTGTCTGGGTCTGGGGTTACCGAGTCCATGCCCCCTCCGGGCTTGGTTGTGCCTGCTGTAGCCACATCCATAGCAGAGCCCAGATTGGTATCCAGATCAGCGGACTCAATGCCTGTGTCCAGTCTGGATGGATTTGGTGTAGCCAAGTTGACAGTCAAGCCGGGTCTGTTGGTGGCCCTTGTGGATAAACGGCTGGCTGTGCCTGGCCTCTTATCCAGAGCAGCCAAGTCCATGGCCATTGTGGGCCCCGAGGTAGGGGAGGCCCTTTGGAGATGCAGCCGGGGTCTTGGAATACCTCTGCACCGGGGCTTGCCTCTTCCTGGAGAAGCTCTGGCAGGCACGTGTGCAGTCACTGGGACAGGGTGCTTCGGACCCACTGAGCCCGGCCCCGCAGGACCTGGTGGACTCGGAGCTAAGCGGGACTGGAACGGTAGGGTCAGGTATGAACTCACCAGGGGCTTCTCCACTGTGGGCATCCTGCTGGGTTTGGCCATACCTGGGTTCCCTGGGCCCTCAGAGTGGACCCTGTCCCCTGGCACTAGGGTCACCGATGAAGAACCAACTGTGGGCAGCCTCCCTCCTCCATGGGTGGCCGCCTCCTTGCCCGGGCTGGACAGCTCTTCCCAGTGAGAAGGTAGGGGGCCCAGGGGCCGTGCCTGTCTGTGCGGATGGACTGTTAAGGAGATGGAGCTGAACTTCCTGGATGCCAGGCTCTTGCCAGTCTCCTGGGAGGACATGCTCCAGGCCCTCACCCCGAGGCCCGACCGGCTGGAAGCCTGCGGGATGTGGCTCGGGGGAAAAGCATCCAGATGGAAGGTCTTCCTGAGAACAGGGGTGAGAGGCGACACCCCACCGGGGAGCTTCGAGGGGCGGGCTGGGCGGCCCAGCAGGTGGCTACGGGAGAAGGAGTTTCCAGGGCCGGGGGCCACATGCGGCTGCATCTCAAAGTCGTGGTCCATCCAGGTCTTCCACCTTCCCCTGATCGACAGAGCAAAGGGGCCAAGCAGGGGTGAGGTGCCCAAGCCTGGAGGTGCCGGCCCTTCCCCACCTGTCCAGCTGCTAGCCCTTCTCTGAAGGGGCCTTATTTGGAGGGGGCAGTCAGGTCCTCAGTGGGGTACATGCATCCCTTCCTACAGCTCCCACCACTGCATGCCTGCACACGCCACACACACACACCCCTACCTGGACGCCAGGTGAAGGTGGCACCCAATGAGCATGCTGCCTGGCATGATGGATGAAACCTCTCTCTTTACCTGGGCCCCTCTCTCTGTGGACAGCTCCGTGGAGGTCACATATACATGTCTGGGTACCCCAGGGGAGGACAGTGGTTATTGGAGGCCTGTCTGCGTCTTCCAGAAGGAGCTAGAGGACTCTGGGTTTCCACTCACAGCCCCCAAAATAGGAGTGCCAGCGTCTAGGTAGGAGGCCGAGATGACCCCTTTGGCTTGGGAACAGGGTCAGATCTGGGGCTCCTCCCAGAACCAGGGAAGAGCCCGGGGCTGCCTGCTGCTGGAGCCGAAATGAGAGCCGTAATTGGAGCTGAAGCAGGCCCTGGAAGAGGGGAGGCTTGGGAAGTGCAGAAGTCACGAGCGTTCACGGGAGACTCGTCTGGTGAACACAGCTCTGTCCCCTCCCCAGGGAACCTGTGGTCCCCAGAGTTGCAGGGCAGCGAAGAAGGCCGAGCTACATCAGAGGTGAGCCCTGTGGTGGAAGCGTTAGCTCAGCCTTTGGGGTTCAAGGAGGGAGGCTGACCTGGAGCTGGGGGAATTCACACGGAGGACCCAAGGGCAAGGAAACGTGGCATCTTTCTAAAAACCCTCCATGGGGCTTCCAGGCTGTGTCTGGGGGAGAGGGGAGGCCAGACTGCAGGTGTGCTGGGACCTGGGCCAGGCCACCACGATGCTCGGGCCCTGGAAGGGGACCTGGTGGGATCTTGCAGGTGGTTACTCTGCGGCTGTGTGGCCGAGAGACCGGGGGAACAGAAGAGGAGGCAGAGAGGGAGTCCCCTGGTGTCTGGTGGTTAGGGTGTGCTGCTTTCACGGCCGTGGCCCCAGTTCAACCCGATCGGGGGGACTGAGATCCCGCAAGCTGCACGGCAAGGAAAGATGCCTCTCTGTGGGCTGGGCTGGGTCTGGAGAAGGCTGAGCGGCACAGAGGAAGAAGCAGAGGGACCACCTGGCCACGGGGAGTAGGGGCAGGGGTGGGGGGCATCCAGGAATCTGGCTGGTGGTCTGCATGGGTGAGCCACCCCCTAAGGGGAGCTCCTGAGTGCCCAGACGGCCAGCTGGTGCACACGCTGGGCTCAATGGAACCCTCCTTCTGGAACAAAGTTGTTTCTGTTGCTTTCAACACAGCAGGCAGGGATGTGATGCTGGGGGGTGGGGGTGCAGGGCTGATAGCAGGGTTCACGAGGGAGTGTGACTCTGTGGCTAAGACCCTAAGGTCTGGAGCAGGGACAGGGCAGGACACCAAGGGGTCTTCATCATCCCTCATGGCAACGCCCCAGCCCCGCGTCCCCTCCAGTCGCATATTTGTCCCCAAGGCTGTCCCGGCCTTTATCACCTCCCCACTTGGCATGTCCCCGCAGCCCTGCTTGTGGGCCCTTACTCACAACGACACGCACCTGGGCACAGGCGTGCTTACCCTGCACTTAACCACAAACATCTACCCTCGGTGTACACACACATGAACACACACACGCGGCTGGCCAGAGGACAGAATTTCTGAATCTGTTCTAACGTCCCCAGATCCCTTCCCCTCACTGAGCCTCCCCCCAACCCCCATCAATCACTTGGTCCTGTCCTCCCCCCAGCCACACTCACCCGCCTTGATCAGAGAACAAGGAAGGTCTGATGGTTCTCGGTCTGGGAAGCGGACCCCAGGGCAGGGCCCTCACCTCCTCTGCACCCAGATTCTGGCCAGCTCAGGTGGCGACTGGTTCAGGGGCCTCATCCCTCTGGTCCCCTCACGGGCTTTCGCTCAGCGTCCAGGCTTGTGGTCTTGGGCCCAGGGCCCAGCACTCTCCTGACCTGTCCCGCCACCGACGTCCCCGGCTGGGCTGGGCTCCAGGGTAGGGAGGGGCTGGCTTCTCGGCAGTGGGCGTCAGTGAATGGCTGCTCTGAGCCTCTGGAATCCCAAAGGGCCATGGGAGGCTCCTAACGGCAAGGCTGGGCTGCCCTAGACTCAAGGGCACCTGGGGGGTGGTGCCCTTCTGTCTGCCCTCCCCAAATCTCCTCTGTCTCCCCCAGACCCTGACCCTTGGAGAGATGTCTGCAGTAGGAACAGGGAGACTCCAAACACGGCCACACTCTGGTGGCCCCAGAGCTGACCTCTCTTCTGCCTGCATTGCCACGCACCCTGATTAGTTCTCTGACCCTCAGACCGTCTTGCCCACCCGTCTGAAGTCTTTTGTGGAGCATGCTGGAGACTAAAGGGGCCGTCTGCTTCAACAACTGTCCCCCTGAGCCTGTGCTCACTTCAGCTGGACCCTGTACTGAGCCCCTGAGCCTGCGAAGATGACCGTCCCCTGGGGTTGAGGAAACCCACAAGGCCTTCCAGCCTGGCGCTGGCATTGCGGGCTGTCTGCAGACCCTGGCCCTTGGGCTGGGCTGGGTGTCTTCTTCTGTCTGTTTCATAGGAATTAGTTCAGTTCAGCCTCTCAGTCATGTCTGACTCCTTGCAACCCCAGGGACTGCAGCATGCCAGGCCTCCCTGTCCATCACCAACTCCCAGAGCTTACTCAAACTCATGTCCATCGAGTCAATGATGCCATCCAACTATCTCCCCCTCTGTCATCCCCTTCTCCTCCCGCCTTCAGTCTTTCCCAGCATCAGGGTCTTTTCCAATGAGTCATAGGAATAGTCATAATAATTATGGTGCTAATGATAGCTACTATTTACTGAACACTTACTATGTGCTAGCACTACATCAGGGCTGGGAAGAAGCATGCAGCCTGCTCAGAGAGATGATGTAAACAATCCTTACAGTCACTGTAGGGCAGTGACAGCCGACATTGTCTGAGAACTGACCCCGAGCCAAGAACTAGACTCAGCATTCTTCCGGCATCTCCTTCACTCTTTGCCTCATCCTCTGCTTTCTCCTGATGAGGACATTGTGGCCCACACCATCCTGTGTGGTCTGGCCCATCTTCCTGTGTGTTGCTCCCCTTAGCCAGCGAGCTTCTGGAGCCACGCTGGCCAATAGAACTTTCTGCAATAATGGGAATGTTCTATATCTGTGCTGTCCAATGTGATAGCCGCTGACCACACGCAGCTGGTGAGCACTTACCATGTGGCTACAGTGACCATGGAACTGAATGTTTATTTCATTTTAATTTATGGTTATCATATTGGACAGCACAGTTCTGAAGGACCTGGATTTTATTCTTCTCTGGGTCTTCCCCCAGGGCCTGGCAAGGATTAGCCTCTTAAGTTTCTGTAGAATACATGAATGAAAGGGAAAAAAATGATTCAATGAATGTCGGATATGTGGACCTAGGAACTGTCCCACTTCTTACCCATCCTCTCCCCCTCCAGCTTTAAGTTTTCAAACTTGGCTGTGCTCTGGTTGCCAGGGCAACCTGCTGGAAGGTTGGGTAGAGGAGGGGGTCTGCCTGGAGTTCTCCCCGCTTCTCCCCTGCCTTTGAGGCCTGAGGACCAGCCTGGTTCCCGGAAGAACAGAGGAGGCTGGGGGAGGGGCTGGCACAGCTCTTTCTGGATAGGTTGTGTGTGGGGGCAGATTTTACTGCCCACCCCACTGGATCGCATTATCTCTGAGATGCAGAAACCCCAAGCTGGAGTCAGGGGTCTTAGCTTCTCTCCTCTCTTCAGCCAGTGACTCAATAGCAGCTTCTAGCAGATCTCTTGCCCATCTGGGCCTCAAGTTGCCTTTTTAAATAGGGACCAGATGCCTTCATGTGGCCTCTTGAAGGCCTAGAACTCCTCTATCTTGCTCCGTGCCAGAATGTTAGGGCCTTGAAAGCAAGGTATGAGTCTTGTTCATCTCGGTATTCCTACTGCCCATCTTCCCCAGCTCGCTCTTCCGTTCTGAGGGTCCTAGAGAAAACTGCCTGCCCTATAATTGCAAGCTTGGGTTCAGCTGCCCTCTAGTGGCCCAAAGTAGCAATGACCATCCCCCCCCCCCCCCCCTTGTGCCTGTACCCGTTTCTTTGCCACTAAAGGAAAGATTGACAGGTCTGAAAGCGGCCTCAAAGGACAAACCACCCAAGCAAAAAATCCTCGTGGTAGCCTCCCAGACAAGTGACACGAGCTCTAGAGTCTCCAACCTGGGTGTGTTACAGCTGTCCAAGATTTTGAACAAGTCATCTCTGAGCTCCTGTTTCTTCATCTCTGAATTGGAAACTGTATCAGTCAAGACAGGTTAAATTATGTCACAGTCACAAACAATTCCAAAATCTCAATGACTTGTAATATTGAATGCTTGTTTCTGACTCATGCCTGTGTCCACTGTGGTTTGGGTCTGCTCCGTGTCATCTCAGGGACCCAGGCTGATGAAGCAGCCACCTTCTGGAGCTGGGCTGGTCATTGAAGCAAAAGGAAGGAAACAGTGGTGAAGCGTGCAGGAGCTATGACATGCATTGGCCTGGACTTTTCGGATCACAACTCACCAGCAAGAACTAGTCGAATGATCCCAGCCATTACCAGGAAGCAAGGAGATTAACCCTACCGTGTGCAAGAACTGAGCAGCCAGAAGTATTTGGTGAGCAGCACTGCTGGCCCACACGCACGGCTGTGAGGATGCAGTGAGAAGTGCCAACGCATTAACCATCACACAATGAATTGAGTCCTTCACCATTGAAATTACTGTCTTGGGGACTTCCCTGGAGGTCTAGTGGTTAAGACCTCCCCTTCCCATGCAGGGAGTGTGGGTTTAGTGCCTGACTGAGGAGCTAAGATCCCATGTGCCTTGTGGCCAAAAAACCAAAACATAAAACAGAAACAATGTTGTAACAAAGTGAAGACTTCTAAAAACAGTTTACATTTTAAAAAAAACTCTTTAAAAAAGGAAATAATTGCTCATAATTCTGATTTCTTCTTTTATTTACCCTTGTAATTTCCAGGGACCTCTGCATCAATTCCAGCTGTTTACAGCTGCAGATACAGAGAGGGTAGTGGACTCACCAGGCTTTACCCGATGAACGAGTAGCTGGACACCTATGTCTCCAGGGCTCCAAATTCTGAGCCCTGCATCCCTCACTTGATGGGGTGTAGGAGAAGGGGCTTTGCATTCCCAGGGTTCTCGGTAAGGATGCTGGCTGACCGTGTGATGGTCTTTTGTGGGGTTGGGTGGGGGGATAGCTGCCACTCTCCTCCCAAAGCTGGTCCCTCAAGCCTTCGCAAGGCTGGCTCACTCAGTCCAAGTGGAGAACGAGGGGGCAGAACAATGAGCAGCCTATGCCGCCCTCCGGGGCCAGAGTCCAAACATTGCAGCCAAGCCTACTCAGGGACCCTGCACATTCCCGCCTCCTGTCCTGGGCCCAGCCCAGACACACCCACCGTATCCTGACAGCAACCAGATGGTGGGAAAGGAGAGCCCACAGGCTTCAAAACCTCCCAAAGTGTTTTTAAAACCTTCATAACAACCTGACCTCTAAGAAGCCTCCAAGCCTCTCTAAAATCTTTGTCTCTCAGCAGCTGAGCAGCCCCTGGCAAGACAGAGATGGGTGCCATTCATCCAACAAGCATGATGCCCTGTGCCGGCTCTCCATAGATGCATGCACAAAATCACAGCACAAGACTGGGGCCAAAATGGGGAAAGCTGCTGGTGGGGTCAGGGAAGGCTTCCTGGAGGAGGTGGCAACTAGAGAGTGATCAGGTTCTCTCCCTGGACCTAAGCCTTACTTGAAACACAACTTTCGGCTTGTTCAGCCTCCTCTCCCACCACTTACGCACTGGTATTCTGTGCCGCGACCACGTGACACCCCTCACAATCCTCAAAAAGGACTGGGTCCTCCCTGACCTCCACGGCTTTGCACTTGCCGGCTCCTCTTCTCTTTACAGGGAAAACTCTTATTCAGCCTTCAAAACCCACATCGGCAGTCATCCTCCTTGATAAACCCCTTCCCTGGGATTCAGTTCTATTTTCAGTTTCTCACCCATCCTTCTCTTGCTACAATTACAGTTGTTATTTGTTTCCATATCCATCTGCCCCTCTAGTCTGTGAGTTCCTCTGATTGGGAGACTATATCCTGTCTGTCTTTGAATTCTTGGTGCCAGTCCTAGTGCTGGCTTCGAGCAGGTATGTGACATGCCTCTGTAGGGTTCAGGAGAAGAGCTATATTCTGTATACCATTCATACACTGCTTTCTGGCCAACTATCTCTTTTGACGTTTGCCACGACCCAGTGAGGCAGGCAGGGTGGGAGCAATATACAAATAACCAGGGCGCTATAAGAACCTGACATGAGCTGAGCACAATGCCAGGCACTGCAGGGGGCATTTCTCTGAGTTTTAAACATCTATGAAATCTCTGTGCCTGGTACACAGAAGTGCTTGGTGAACTCAGTTGTGTGTCTGAGAACAGGAAACTTGCCCCCCAAAATGTAACTGATTTTTATTTATTTTATTTTTGGTCACACTGGGTCATTGCTGTGCACAGGTTTTCTCTAGTAGCGGTGAGCAGGGGCTATTCTTCATTGTGGGGCACAGGCTTCTCACTGTAGTGGTTTCTCTTGCTTCAGAGCACAGGCTCTAGAGCACCGGCTTAGTAGTTGTGGCTTTCAGGCTTATTTGCTTCTTGTTGTGTGGGATCTTCCCGGACCAAGGATTGGGCCTGTGTCCCCTGCATTAGCAGGATTCTCAACCACTGGACCACCAGGGAAGTCCCCCTAAAAACACAATTTAAATGAACAGCTTTATAGGATTTACTGTTGTCGGGCCCTGACATCAAGTTGCTCCCTGGGAAGCCCTGGCAGATGGAAAAATCTGCTTCCATGGACTCTGGCCTATGTCTGTGACCTCTGCCATCTGGGTCAACCTTGTAAAAGTGACGCTGAAGGCGCCATCTACTGTGTTGCTGTTAACATCCCATTTGAGACATTTCTTTTTAATATTTAGAACCAGATCACTTGTCTTTCATTAAGGGTCGACCTCTCCCTCCTATCACCTACTGGGAATAAAATGACCTCTTTGTGTTTCCTCTTTCCCTCTGGCTGCCAGGAAGCTCAAAGACAAGGAGCAAAAATACAGCAGGAGTCTGAGTCAGAATATTTCCTTCTCACCCCCGTGTACGTGGCTCCTTCAGCTGAAACTTCTTAGGTCCTTTATGGGAAGAGCACATATAAATAAATACTTGCATATACATGGAATCTAGAAAAATAGTACTGATGAACCTATTTACAGAGAAGAAATGGAGATGCAGATGTGGAGAAGGGACTGATGGACACAGCAGGGGAAGGAGAGGGTAGGACAAATTGAGAAAGTAGCGTTGACGCACGTACAGGATCACGTGTGAAGTGGATAACTAGCAGGAAGCTGCTGCCTAACACGTGGAGCCCGGTCTGGTGCTCTGTGATGACCTAAAGGGGCAGAAGGATCTTTGGAAGGGCTGAAGCTGGAGCTCCAATACTTTGGCCACCTGGCGCAAAGAGCCGGCTCCTTGGAAAAGACCCTGATGCTGAGAAAGATTGAGGGCAGGAGGAGAAGGGGGCGGCAGAGGATGAGATGGCTGGATGGCATCACTGACTCAGTGGACATGAATTTGAGCACACTTCGGGAGATAGTGAAGGACAGGGAAGCCTGGCGTGTTGCAGTTCATGGGGTCACAAAGAGTTGGACATAATTTAATGACAACAACAGCAAAAAGAGGGAGGGGAGATATATATATACACACATATAATTATGGCTGATTCTCACTGATGTATGGCAAAAACCAACACATTGTAAAGCAATTGTCCTCCAATTAAAAAAAAGAAAGACTAAATAAATAAATATTAATGTGATAGGCCCTGGGGAGAGCACTGGGAAAGGATCCAAGCTTAAGAGCAGAAAGCTTGGGTAAATCCCCTACCCTCTCAGCCTCAGTCTCCTTGGCAACCTGAGATGGTAGATTCTGCCAAGACTCGTAGATACAGCCAGCCTTACTGTGAAGACTGGCCACTGCTCAGGCCTCGGGTAGGGTCACAGTCAACCTCCCCGTTTCTGTACACCCATTTCACTACCCGCCCAACCCCGCTCAGGCTGTGAAGCTCGTAACCTTGAACACCTTCACACTTTAGATCCAGGATGGCCAGGATTTTTATTTTTAAAGAGGAATCGGGATTTTCCAGGCAGTGCAGTCGTTGGGACTCCATGCTTCCACCCACGTAGGAGGCATGGGGTTGATCCCTGGTCAGGGAACTAATATCCTGCAAGCAGTGTGGTGCAGCTTAAAAAAAAGGGGGGGGGGGTGAGTCAGAAAAAGACTTTCATGTGAAATCTCCTGACTTAAAAAGGTTGCCAATTAATTTGCATTTGTTCAAACTTGGCTGCAGGCCAGATCGAGTCTGAGGCCTTCCCTGACTCAGTCAGTTAAGCCTAATAGTCCAAGAGGGACTGTCTGATGAGTCTGGACCAGGGGTGAAGGGAAATTTCCATCATTCCTTCTGAGCCCTGGCTTCCTTCCGTAACATCCCAAGAGACCTGACGGCAGGAGCCGGAGTCAGGTTCTGAGAGGACCTGAGCTCAGGTCATGTGGGCGGGTCCAGAAGACCCTATTCCAAGCTGGACCTTACAGAGGACCCTGCCCTAGTCTCAGGTGGTGAGTTTAAAATGGGCATCTGACCTAGGATGAGCCATGAATCCTTCCCGAGATATATGTGCTTGCAGCCAGAGACTACGTGCGTGCGTGCAAAGTCGTTGTAGGCCACCGGGCTCCTCTGTCCATGGGATTCTCCAGGCAAGCATACTTGAGTGGGTTGCCATTTCTTTCTCCAGGGGATCTTCCCGATCCCGGGATTGAATGTGCATCTCTTATGTCTCCTGCTTTGGCAGGCGGGTTCTTTACCACAAGCGCCCCCTGGGAAGCCCTGCAGCCAGAGAGAGGGACGGGTAACTCTCTCTCCAGTGCCTAGAGCTGTAAGACATAAAATTTGCCGGCAGTTGGCTACTGCATTTTCCATGATGGGGGGCAGCAGGGGTGGTTAGTGAAATGGGTATACAGAAACACGAATAAAAAATGGTTTGAGGGGACTTCCCTGGTGACCCAGTGATTAAGACTCTACACTTCCACTGCAGGGGGCATGGGTTCGATTCCTAGTTGGGAAACTAAGATCCCACAGGCCACATGATGTAGCCAAAAAAAAAAAAAGATTTGAAAGAGAGTCCTAAGGGGGAGTGCCTGTCTAGCTGTCCTGAGTCCCTGCCACTCTCTTGTCCTACAGGGCTGGACCACCCCAGTGTCTTTGTGATAACTTTCCCCTTCTTACCCAAGTCAGTTAGTGAGTCGGGATTTTTCTGTCCCTGGCAATCGTTGGTCCTGACTCATGCACGTGGTTTCTGTAGGGCACTTTCCTCTTTCCTGATAAACAGAGGCGGCACCCAGCTCCTAGTCCTGGCCTCCCAGCCCCGTCCCCCTTGCCTCACACCTCTACCCACTCAGCCTTGTAAAGGAAGACGTTCATGACCACCCCCCCTTCAGGGAAGAAAGCTCAGAATACACTGGGGCTGGCGCTGCCAGAGACATGGAGGCGTCTGGAACTGGCTACTGAGAGGGTGGTGGGGGTGGTGCTGGGTCCCCCCTCTTTCTGGTGTGGGGCGATGAAAGACACCGGAAGGGCCCTGCCCTCCAGTGGGTCCCCACAGAACCCACTCACCTGCTCACCTACCTCTGCCGTGCCCTGCCTGCCCTGAAAGTCCGTACAGAGAGCCCCGACTCACATACCCACCAAACTCTGAGGGTTTCCGTCCATTCTCCCCATCCCAGACTCCCAGTTTCAAACCCAGGTGCTGGTAACCCCCTGGGTCACCCTGGTTCACTTCTCTCCACCCTTGTATCCTCCTCCATAAAGCAGCAGCCTCAGTCCCTCTTGGTTTTCACCCAGCATCCCTTCCCTTTCCCCTCCCTTCCCTTTCCCTTTCCTTCCCTTCCAGCTGCAACCTACCCCTCAGACTACGAGATCAGCAGAGCAACTCCAGCCCTGTCCCCTGTGGTTGGAGCTGGAGCTGCCTGGTGATCAGCGCACCCATCCCCTGGGCTCAAGAACCCGGGGGCTGATGGGAACTTTTTGCTTGAACACGACGTATGCTCCCTCCTGAGATCAATGCACTAGGGCTGTGTGAGCCTGGGACTGTCTGGGCAACTTACCACCTCATGGAGAAGAAAAATCCACCTGGATGAAGCCTGCAGGGCTGAGCGAGATGGGGAGAGAGAAGGATGGCTCTATGGAGCACTGGTGACATCCTTGAGCCCCAGGGTCCAGCCGAACCTTAGTCTAGGAGCAAACCCTTTTATTGCAGCTGTTTTCAGTTTGGTGCCTTGTGGCTGCAAGAGTCTTGGGCGGTAGTGTGGTAGAGTCTCTGAAAGCTACAGAACACTCTGCTGGGTCAGATGGAGGTCAGGGCGGTGAAACTCAGAAATAACAGAGCTGGGCTGGGTTGAGACAAGAGAGGTGCCCAGCACTGGTGCCCCTATTGCCTCGCTCTAACCTGGTTCTGCAAGACAGCCCCTGCAATTCCTGGGTTCGCTCCAGGGGGGGAGGGTAGCCCCACCCTCAAGGTAAGAGAAGATAGCTTTTGTCCTGGCTGACTCCTAAGATGGGGCTTGTTCAAGAGCAAGCCTAGGCCTTGGGTAAGGAGATCTGATCCAAATCTCAGCCCCTTGCCCTGTGCCCTTGGCAAATCCCTATGAAAACAGGATGGCAGGGATTCCCTGATGGTTCAGTGGTTAAGATTCTGCCTTCCAATGTGGGTAGCATGGGTTCAATCCCTGGTTAGGGAACTAAGATCCCTGGTTGCAGGATCCCTGATCCTGTGGGGTACAGCCAAAAATTTAAAAGAAAAGATGGAATGCCAGCTGCCTCCATGTGTTCTCCCCTTTTCAAGGAGGGAGGACTTTTTTTTAATCTATTTATTTTATATGGAGTATAGCCAATTAACTCTGCTCTGGTGAACAGCGAAGGGACTCAGCAATACATATATTAATACATGAATCCATTCTCCCCCAAACTCCCCTGCCATCCAGGCTGCCACATAACATTGAGCAGAGTTTCATGTGCTAGACAGTAGGTCCTTGTTGGTTATCCATTTTAAACATAGCAGTGTGTACATGTCAAACCAAAATTCTAAAGGAGGGGGACTTTTTTTAATGAAGATACAGCTCTTCCCAGACTCCCTTGCAGCTAGGAGTACCCATGTGACTAAGTATGGGCCAGTGAAGTGTAAAGGGAACTAAGGGTCCAGCCAGCCACAGTATCCCTCAAGAGGGCAGGTGACCACTTCCAACCTCCTTCCACTCTGCTCCTCAGGGTACAGAAGACCCCCCTGTGGGCGGGGGGGTGCACCAACCAACAACATCCCTTCAGCAAGAGAGGAGCAACTCGGGTCCCTGAACACTGCGTGGGCCTGGCCACCAGACCAGTCTGGATAACCTCCATATGAAAGAACCATGAGAAAGAAAGGATGTTCTATTTGGTATCAGGCTGTATTGTTTTGCATCTCTGTGCCTGAACTTATGTCCTCACTGGTTCTCTACCCCAGGAATTCCAGTTAGCATTTTTGGTTGTCCCAGGTCAGGGGAGGGCACAGGGCTACTGGTTTCTACTGCATGGAGCCCAGAGGTGCTCACCACCCTACTGCACGCACAGGACAACCCCCCACAGCTAAGAATGAATGATCTCATCCAAAAAGTCAACGATACACCCGCTGAGAAATTGCTCTTTCCTTCTGGCAATTCAATTCCCATCCCCCAAATGGGGGATATTGAACGATCATGGGGTTTTTTGTTTGTTTTTGTTTGTTTCTGGTTGCACTGGGTCTTCATCGCTGGGCACGGACTTCCTCTAGTTGCGGCAAATCTGGGCTACTCTTTGCTGTGGTTCTCGGGCGCCTCACTGTGGTGACTTCTCTTGTTTCAGGGCACAGACTCTGGGCACGCGGGCTTCAGTAGTTGCAACACTTAGACTCAGTAGTTGCGGCTCTAGAGTGTGGGCACAGACGTTGCAGTGCATGGACTCAGTTGCTCCGTGGCATGTGGGATCTTCCCAGACCAGGGATCAAACCCATGTCCACTGCATTGGCAGGAGGAGTCTTATCCACTGCACCACCAGGGAAGTCCCTGAACTATCATGTTTTTTATGAGGATCCAGTGAGATGACAGACATGAGCCTACTTTTAGGAAAGGAGACAGTCCTGCTGAGATAGTCATGGAGTCTTTATTATTGCAATAAATTAAGGTGGAAGCCCCAGAGAAGGGGAGTGAGGCCAACAGATGTCCAAAAAGGAAGGGTGGTGCTCCACAAAGGAAGGGGCTCCAGGGTGGGCTTGGGGGGGGCAGCACAGGACCAGGAGAGGAGGCAGGGCTTCTGCCAGCAGCCTCAGTCTTGGGAAAGGAGAGAAAGGGGGAAGTCCAGACAAGGAAGGGGGGCGGGAACTGCTGCTGGTGGCCCCCATAATGCCCACGGAACTCACCCCGCCCCCCACTTCTCACCCTGCCTGGGGCCCCCCTCTCCCTCTCACACATACATGCTTCTCCCCCCCACCCTGCTGTCTCCAAGGCTGCTTACTCCTCCAAAACTTTCTCTCCCTCTATGACACACACACACATACACACACGTCCTTCCTCTATGGTCTGGCCCCTGGCACGCCCCATCACACACACTCATCCACGCTAAGTTTGGGCCCAGAGCAGTAGAGCTGGGCTGCCCTGAGCTGACTTCCCTCCAAAGGGGGCCCTTTCCTTTCAGCAGACTTGAAGCCTGGCCCGTGGAGCTGCAGGGTCGAGACCATCGGCAGGAGCGGGGAGCTGAGTGTCACCCAGGACCCTGAAGGGACGTGGGAGACCTGGAGACTCAGGACCGGCAGAGTGCCTGGCTCTGGGTGGAGGGCCAGGAGCGCCGGGCAGCACAAAGGCACTGGGGGGAGCAGGATGGTGTCCCCGGAGCTGGGGAGGGCAGGCGTGGGGTAAGCAGGCTTGACCTGGAGAGCAAGCCCTAGGGCCATCAGCAGCAGCGACATCTCAAGGCACCCAGGTGCCCCATCCCTGCACAGCCGAGTCCTCCTGGAGCACCTCCTCCTGGAAGGAGCCAGGCTGCAGAGCGATCGCCCGGAGGACCAGGGGTAGCCTCCCTCTGCCCCAGGGTCTCCAGGCTGGGCGGCGCGGGAGAGGGCACCGCCCCGCCACCGCCGCCAGCACAGGTCAGCTCAGACCTCAGGGCCCCCGAAGGCCAGGTTGTCGCGGACCATCAGCGTCTTGCGGAAGTCGCGGTCCACCAGGGGGCGCTGCATGCGCCACTTGTGCGCCTCCTGCAAGCCGGGCTCGAAGTAGTAGATGCAGGCGCCGAAGCCCACCAGGATGAGCACAGAGATGAACAGGTAAACAGGCACGAACCAGTCCAGGAAGTGCGGCATCGCGGCGGCCTTGGCTGCTGAGACACGGTCGGTGAGAACCAGCAGAGGGGCGGCTCGTCCACCCACCCACCCACCCTCCCTCCCAGAGGGGGCACCCGCGGTCTTCACGGAGCCAGGTGGCCAGAAAGAACATCACCTCGCAGGTGGGTAGACACCCGGAGAGTGGGGGGCAGTGACTCAGCACCCTGGGCTCTGAGCAGGCACACAGCCAGCCACCCACCCACCCAGGGGCCCGCCCAGCTCCTACTCACAAGGAAGCTTATAGCGGAGGGCCCCCTATGCCTCAGTCCCTCAACAGAACTTGTGGCCTCAGGCCAGTTGCCTAACCTTTCCGGGCCTCAGCATTGTCCCCGGCAGAAGGGGGGACAACTACCAGAGACTTGAGGGGACGGGGTGAGGTGACTGACCTCTCAGAGCTCTCAGTAAAGGACGACTCGGTCAGTCCTCCTTTGAGCCCCCTCTCCCGGCTCTGAAGCGTCTGCAGAGGCTGCCACTTGCCAGCCCCCTCACAGATGAGTGGGTCCCCAGCCACCCGTACATCCTGGCCAGGGGTTGCTTGGTGAAAGCGTGGTGAACAGCCACCCATCCCCAGGAAACCTGGTTGATATCAACAAGGTCTGCACAGGCTCCTAAATTCAGGCCCATGCCCCATGTCATAATTATAAGAGCATGGACAAGGGCAGCAGCCCCCAAAGACGGGCCTTGATTTCCACATCCATAAAAATGGGAAATTATAGGGCTGTTGTGACTGTTAAAAAAGATAATTTATATAAAACGCTCGGAACCAGTGCCTGATGCTTACTGAGTGCTACATAGAATAGTACTTTGTTCTTGTTCTCTGAGCCTCAGTTTTCTTATCTGTAAAATGGGCATAGAAGTAGGACCCACTTCTTAAGGTCTCTGTGAATGTTTAACAAGACAATGCCTAAAGTGCCTTTAGCATCATGCTGCCTGGAGCAGAATCAGCACTTGATGAATACTAGCTGATGTTATTTCCAGGGCACCAGAGGTAGGGAGAGCAGGAAATGGAAGCTGGCAGGTTTAAGGTGATTCACAAGTGTTACATGTATCCAGCTCCTTAGAGTGGTCCACCCCTGCTCTCTGCCAACCTTGCCAGCCTCATCTCCCGCACTCCACGCCATTAGAGGGAACCACTTGGCAGTCACCTGCGTGTGCCTGCATGTGATACAGTCTCTATCTCTGCATGTGCTTTCATTTTCCTGGAATGTCCTTTGCATTCATGTTCATCTGGCAAACTCCTATACATACTTCAAAAGGCACACCACAGATTATCTCCTCCAGACATGGGACAAATCAGGACCCATTTAATCCAGCCTCGAATGGTTCCTGAAGTATGAGAAAGGGGTAGGGTGAGGAGCCCCACCTCTGCCCACCAGGCAGGGAGACCACGGTCAGAATGGAGTCACAGACCTTATAACAGGTCTCTGGGGTAAGTATCATTGTTCACATTTTATAGATGAAGAAACTGAGGCCTGGAGAAGCTCGCTAACTTGCCCTGAGTTACCCAACTGAGAAGTGACGGAGCTGGACTCCAGTCCCCCAGCGATGTCCTGAGGTTTGGTGGGGAAAGACACCTGAGCTGAATGAAATGAGCCAAGGCCCACCTTGTCTTCTCGGGAGGGAAGAGTGACCTCCAGGGCTGGCTGAGGAGAAGCCCCAGGTTCTCAGACCTCGGGCTCCAGACTCCAGTCCTCTCGCCCCTCTGCTGCTGGGTGGGTCTCCGAGGAGGGCTATGGCCCCAGGGGAGGCAGAGGTGCTGCTCCCCAATCCTGCATCCACCCGGAAGCCCTCCTGCACCCTCCAAGGTCCCCACTGGCCGCTCCAAACCACAGTGTCTCAAGGTGCCCTATTCTCTTCACGGAGGAATAAAATGAAGAGTGTGCTAACGGCCCAGAGTCAGGGCTAGAGCCTGTCCTCCTAACCATCTGCTTTTCTGGAGAGCCAAAGAGAGGGTTCTGAATTGCTTGGTGTGGCCTGGGTTTGGGGGAGGTGGAGAAGGGGACCTACGAGCAGGAAGTCTGCTCCAAACTAGCCTGACTGAGACCGAGAGATTTGTGCCCCCTCCCCTGGCCCACCCAGGACCCCAGGCTCCTTTGAGCTTAAACATGAGGATGGAGGACTTGGACAGAGCAGGAGCCGTTTCAGCCTCAGTGCCGAGGGCCTGTGGAGAGGTGGTTTGGGTCTCCCACCCTCTCCAGCCTTGTGAAGAAAATCCCAGGCATTCTGGGGCAACCGAGGACCCCAGACCTTCTCCTGGCTTCTCAGAGGACTGGCTCAGCTGAAGCAGAACCTCCACTGGCTTCCTTGTGACCTTGGGTCGCTCCTCAGCCTCTCTGAACTTCAGCGTGTCCCTGCGCAATGACGAGGTAGGCATGGGGGCTACCAGATGACCTATAAGGAATTTTCTAGCCCCCATTCCAGCAACAGTCCCATCCAGGACAACGCGAGCGTTGCAGACCTCCTTTCCCTGCCTCTCAAGCCGCTGGTACCTCTCAACCTGGCAGCCCAACCCCCGCACCCGCAGACCCACCTCAAGCCCTGCAGAAGCCTGTTCCGGGGGCTCTGGGCTGAGCGCACCGCCTCGGCCCAAGCAGCTCAGTGTCGGCCCGTGGACTCAGTCGTAGCTGCTGTCCCCAGAGATGCTGCCATCTGCAGCCGCCCTGGGTGCGGGAAGCAGAGAAGGGGCGAGGCCAACACACACACCCCCCCCCAGGAGAGACAGTTTCTCATGCCCAGGGGCTCTGCCTGGGCGGAGGGGGGAGGTCCTGGGCTGGGCAGCCTGTACCTCTCCCCGCCCATTGGAGACCCTTCCCTCTGCCCCCCACCCTCAGGATAGCAGGAGGTGGGACCCGCCTCAGCCAATCAGCAGCCTGGCAGAGCAAGGGCTTTATCCTCCGTTGCCCTGGCAACCAGCCTTCGCTTCTGGATCCCCCGCACTGTGCACGTGGTACAGAGATGACAGGCAGGGCAGGATAAATTTGGGACGGATGGGAGTCACCCAGCAGGCTGCTGGACCCCAAGAGGAAGCGGCCCCGACCGAGATAAGTAGGATGATTTGTAGGCTTGTCCTCTGAGGGTACGGAGAGACTGGGGTCCCTGGCATGGGGGTGGAACACCAAAGCAATAGCAAATAAAGCCAATGAGGGTCATATGCTAAAGAGGGAAGAACCAAAACTGAGAGTCTGGACACACTGGTCCGATGTAGTGTTTATCATATGCCAGGCACTGCTTTAGTGCTTTGTTTATATTAACTCATTTGTTGGTCCTCCAAGGTCACATGGGAAGAAAGTCTCAATGCCAGGGTCAGAGCCCTAGCCTGGGCTGCAGGCTCCCTCGCAGGGGCTGGGTTCTTCCTCACCAGCCCCAGAGTCCCCCAGGCTGGGGCGCAGCCTGAGGTGGTCGTGGCTTTCAGGCACCGAGCCCTCCCTGGCTATCCAGGCCTTGCCCCCACATCACTTCATTTGCTCCTTCAGCTGGGTGGGTGTCGAAGCCCATTTGGGGGATGATGCAGCTTCAGTTCAGAGAGGTGCAGCAGCTTACCGTCTCCTTCTCCAAGATCATTCAGCTTCTCAGTGACAAAGCCAGAGGGGCCGGGGGTGGGAGAGGGTCGTGTGCAAGCCTGGGTCCTCCCTCCTGTGCTATAGACAGAGTGTGTGCAGAGTTTCACATGCCTGGTGAGCATTCCGTGAACAGCAGTGGTTACTGTCTCAGGAGGAGAGAGCAGCCCCGGAGGCCCACAGGACAAGGAAGAGGCTCAGAGGAACCATCTCCCTGGGGAGTCCATTTCCAGAAGCTGAGGACAGGCATGTGGGAATGGCCATAGGTAAAATGGTTTTGGGTCTCTGGGTCCCCCACCCCATTCCACACACACCCTGCCAGCTCTGAGACCACCTGGGAGTCCTGCAAGGGTCCTCTCCCCTATATCCAAAGGGAGTGAGTTTGAGTTTCCAGAGGGATTTTTTTTTTTAAATAACGTTGACATCTTTTTGGACTTCCCTGATAGCTCAGTTGGTAAAGAATCCGCCTGCAATGCAGGAGACCCTGGTTCAATTCCTGGGTCGGGAAGGTCTGCTGGAGAAGGGATGGGCTACCCATTCCAGTATTATTGGGCTTCCGTTGTGGGTCAGCTGGTTAAGAATCCGCCCACAATGCGGGAAACCTGGGTTCAATCCCTGGGTTGGGAAGATCCTCTGGAGAAGGGAAAGGTACCCACTCCACTATTCTGACCTGGAGAATTCCATGGACTATACAGTCCATGGGGTCACAAAGAGTCAGACACAACTGAGCAACTTTTCAAAGACTTTTTAAATTAATTTTTAATGTTTGTTATTATTTTGGCTCTTCTGGGTCTTTGTTGAAGGAAGCAGGGGCTACTCTTCCTTGCTGTGCAGGCTTCTCATTGCGGTGGCATCTCTTGTTGCAGAGCACAGGCTCTAGGCAGACAAGCTTCAGTACTTGTAGCACACAGGTTTAATTACTCCACACCATGTGGAATCTTCCTGGACCAGGTATCGAACCCATGTCCCCTGCATTGGCTGGCAGATTCTTATCCACTGTACCACCAAGGAAGTCCTCCAGAGGGGTTTTATTAAGATATAAGGTGTGAAAGTATTAGTTGCTCAGTCGTGTCTGACTCTTTGTGACCCAATGGACTGTAGCCCGCCAGGCAACCTCTGTCCATGGGATTCTCCATTCAAGAATACTGGAGTTACCGTTTCCTTCTCCAGGGGATCTTCCAGGCCCAGGGATCAAACCTGGGTCTCGTGCATTGCAGACAGATTCTTTACCATCTGAGCCACCAGGGAAGCCCAACTGAAGCCTGTAAAATGTAAACCTAGTGATGAATTTTTACCTGTGTATACACTTTTGCAAGCAGCACCCAGATCATGTCTAGGGTGTTTTCATCATCCCAGACAGTTCCCTCCTGCCTCTTGCCAGTCAACACCACCTTCCCACAGGCTCTCAGTGATCTGATTTCTGTCACCATAGATCAGTTTTTCCTGGGCTTGCATTTCACATAAATGGGATCTCACAGCCCGTGCTCTTTTGTGTCTGACTTCTGCTGCTCAGCACAATGCTCACTCCACTGAAAATGCTGCCTGTACCAGCGCCCCACAGCTTGTTTATCTGTTCACCACAGAAGGACATTTGGGGCATTTCCAACATTGGACTCTGATGAGCAAAGTTGCCAAAGTGCTATTCAACATTTTGGAGTGTGAGGGCAGAGAGGAGGTGGCGGAGGATGACACAGGGGCACAGAGAAGCTTTGGAGGTAATGGATATGCTCATTATAAAATGATTGGGATGGTGCCTTCCTGGGTGTATCTTTATGTCAAAGCTTATCAAATCGTGCACATTAAATATGTGTAGCTTATTACATGTCAATGACACCTTAATAAATCTGTTTTTTAAAGTGATCAGTGGCCCTTGGATATTGTTCTAGTCACATGATTCTTTATTCACACAAAAGGTTATTATACTTTTTATTTAGCCATTTATTTTTGGCTGTGCTGGGTCTTGGTGGCTGCGCCAGCTCACTCTCTAGTTGCTGTGGGCAAACTTATGTGGTGGCTTCTCTTATTGCGGAGCACAGGCTCTAAGGCACAGACTTCAATAGTTGTGGTACACAGGCTTGGTTGCTTCGCAGCATATGGGGTCTTCTCGGATCAGGGATCAAACCCTTGTCTGCTGCATTGGCAGGCAAATTCTTTACCACTGAGTCACCAGGGAAGTCCCACACAAAAGTTGGTGGGAAGCTCAATATGCAATAGAGATAAAGCCAGAGCTGCTTCTGTTAAAAGGTGGGATGAGGTTTCCCGATCCCACCCACTCAGCTTCCCCCTACCCCTCACGGTGCACGCCCAACCCCTGCCCACCAAGGCAGCATCTCCCCAGGGTTCCACAGAAGTCAGTTCAAAACACACTGGCCCAGAGGGTCTCTGATGGCCCTTCCAGTTCTGGGTTCTGATATTACTACAAGAACTTCCAGGCCTGGATCTGGGTTTCCTACCAATCTCTACCCTTCATCACAGGATGGATCTTACACACCACTGTTTTCTATTGCACTACCTGCAAGGGGGACAAGCATCAACTCACCTTGATGCCTCAACCGACTGTCAGCAAAGTGTAACGGGGCTATCCCCAGGGAGCTTTAATGCACCTTCATCTGGGCTGCAGCTGCTTGCCAGGGTGACTCTCACTCACTGTGCTGCCTTTCGTTGCTGTTATCTGTCCGTCCACCCTGAAAACTCCGGACAGCAGGAAGGACACCTCTGTGCCCGGGTCAGCCCAGCACCAGGCCCAGCCCAGGCAGGCGCTCCGCACAGGTGGGACTGAATGGGTCTCAGCTCAGCCCCTCCTGGAAGATGATGAGCAGGGTCCAGAGTCTTTCCTTGACTGTCTAAGGGCCTCAGTCACCTGGGCCTCGATCACCTCTCTACTTCATCTCCACTCCTCACCTCACCTGCTTGAGCCACTGGCCACCTTGCTGCCTCTCAGAAGCCTCAGGAATGCTCTCCACTTGGGGTCTTAGCACTTGCTGATCCTTCTGCCTGAATCCTCTTCTTCACTACGTTTAATTGGCTCCTCTATCACTGCATTCAGGCATCTGCCCAAACATAACCCTCTTAGCAAGGCCCCCTCCAACCTAAAGCAGCTCCTCCAGCCCATCCCGTTCTATCTCCTAGGCCGCCTTGCTTTATTTTCCTAGTACTAACTACTAACTGGCTGTCAGGGACTCCCCTCTATGCCGCAGGCCATGGGGAATCGAAGCGGCATCTGGGCTGGGGCAGGAGCTCCACGCATCCGTGTACCTTCCTGCTCTTTCTAAACAAGGTTTAACTCATTTGATCTGTAGGGGGGAAGGATTGACTAGACAGGAAATGCCCCCTGCTCTTGCAGATATCACACTGTGTGATCACTGTCTGACTTCTCCATCACACTGAGCTGGTCAGTCCTGTCTGGTTCATCTGTGTTCCCAGGGTAGGGCATTGGGTCTGCCCTAGGAAATGAGTGAACGAATCACTGCTGAGAATGAACGAATGGATGTAAATCAATCAATTCACTCATTTGACAAATATTTATTGAGCAACTACTCTGTAGGTGTAGGTACTTTTATTTATTTTAAAAAGTATTTTTATTATATGAATAAGAAAGGCATTCCTTTTTAAAATATTTATTTATTGATATTGGCTGCAGCAGGCCTTAGTTGTGGGCACACAGGATTTTCAGTCTTCATTGTGGAGTGCAGGATCATTAGTCTCAGCATGCAGATTCTTAGTTGCAGCATGTGGGATCTAGTTCCCTGACCAGGGATCCAACTTGGGACCCCTGCATTGGGAACATGGAGTCTTAGCCACTGGACCACCAGGGAAGTTCCTACCAAGCACTTTCTAAAGTGCTGGATGTACAAAACTGACAAAAATCCTTGTCCTTTGTATTTTATATTTTGGTTAGAGAGACAATGAGCTGGTAACTATATAACTATTAGGAGAAGCAGTCTTCCATGAGCTTTGAGTCCCTGCAAGTTCTTGCTGGGCAAGACAAGAGAGCAAGGCCCTGAAAGCTGCCTACCCAGGCCATTTCTCAGGGCTGTGTTTATAACAAGCAATGTTGAGGGATGAGGTAACATCTCCTCCTGGAAAAAGAACAAGCATGCTTATCACTCACTATAAAAGCAGTATTAATTTCTGTGTTCCTCTCCCATAATGCCATGCACAAGGTATACAGACAAACACAATGGGTCCTTTGCAGGGCTTGGGGGACATGGGGGGAAAATGACACAAAAATAAAGTATCGGCGACTGCTTTTACCATGAGTAATAATAATGTCCCTTGTCCCTTGTCCAGGAGTTCCATGTCTCCTGCAGCATCCATGAAAAGACTATTGCTAAACAGTAATAAATAGAAACCGTTTATTAGTTTGCAAAATCTCAGATGCTGTACAGTTGTAAGCAATATGTGAAGTGCTTTTGAGAAAACTGAGCAGAAAAGATGAGAGAGAAATTATGGGAGGGCTTGCTCTCTCTCTCTCTCTCGATATATATATATATATATATATATATATATATATACTTTTTTTTTTTTCTGAGCTGAACAGCACGTGGGATCTTAGTTACCCAAGCAGGGATCAAAGCCAGGACCCCTGCATTGGAAGTTCAGAGTCTTAACCACTCGACCACCAGGGAAATCCCAGGGCTTGCTACTTTATTTTATTTTTATTTTCTACTTATTTGTGCCGGGTCTCTGTTGCAGAACACAGGATCTTCACTGAGGCATGCAGAATATTTAGTCTCGGCATGCAGGCTCTAGCTCCCTGAGCAGAGATCAAACCCAGGCCGCCTGCTTTGGGAGCCCAGTCATCATCACTGGACCACCAGGGAAGTCCCATGCTAGCTATTTTAGATGAGGTCGTTCAGAAAGCCTCCTCTGATCAAGTGACGTTGATGCAGATACATGAATAAAGTGAGGAAACAAGCCAAGTGACTATTTGGAAGTGCATTTCAGTCAGAACCACAGAGGCAAAGGTCCTGGTGAATGAAGTGAAAGTCACTCAGTCCTGTCCAACTCTGCGACCCCATGAACTATACAGTCCATGGAATTCTCTACGCCAGAATACTGGAGAGGGTGGCCTTTCCCTTCTCCAGGGGATCTTACCAACCCAAGGATAGAACCCAGGTCTTCCGCATTGCAGGTGGATTTTTTACTAGTTGAGCCAGCAGGGAAGCCCCCGGGAGCAGGTTTTAAAGAGAGAAAGGCAGAAGATGAGGCTGGGGAGTCCATCAAGGGCCAAAACACACAGAGCCTCAAGGGTCATGTAAGGCGTTCGCAATGTACTCTGAGTGAGGGGGACTACCAGTGGGTTTGGACCAGAGAAGTGGGCTGCTCTGATTTCTCCTTCAAAAGGAAGACTCTGATTGCTGTATGAGAACAGCCAGTGGCCCCGGAGATCGGTGTGGACAGAGGGAGCCTGTAAGAAGTCTATTACGGTAGACCCAGTGAGACATGCCAGCGTCTTTTCGATTGAGGGGTGGAAGTGGTGAGAAACGGTCAGCTTCTGGATGCATTTTAAGAACAGAACCAGAAATTGGCTGTGAGGTGCAGAGAAAAGGAGCCAAGAATGACCCAAGATTTTGTTCTGAGCAGCTGCAAGGAATGAGTCAACTGAGCAGGAGGCGACAAACTTAGCATATTAAAAAGCAGAGATACCACTTATCAGGAAAGGTCCATGTAGTCAAAGTTATGGTTTTTCCTGTAGTCATGTATGGATGTGAGAGTTGGAACCATAAAAAAGGCTGAGGGCTGAAGAATCAACGCTTTTGAACTGTGGTGTTGGAGAAGACTCTTGAGAGTCCCTTGGACAGCAAGGAGATCAAACCTGTCAATCCTAAAGGAAATCAACCATGAATATTCATTGGAAAGACTGAAGTTGAAGCTGAAGCTCCACTACTTTGGCCACCTGCCTCATGGGAAAAGACCCTGATGCTGGGAAAAACTGAGGGCAAGAGGAGAAGGAGGCAGCAGAGGATGAGACATTTGGATGGCATCACCAACTCAATGGACATGAGTTTGAGCAAGCTCCAAAAGACTGTGAAGGACAGGGAAGCCTGGCATGCTGCAGCCCATGGGGTCGCAAAGAGTTAAAAATGATTTAATGACTGAACAGTCCTGAATATTCATTGGAAGGACTGATGCTGAAGCTGAAACTCCAATACTTTGGCCACCTGATGTGAAGAACTGACTCATTTGAAAAGACCCTGATGCTGGGAAAGATTGAAGGTGGGAGGAGAAGGGGACGACAGAGGATGAGATGGTTGGATGGCATCACACAACTGACATGAGTTGGAGTAAACTCCGGGAGTTAGTGATGGACAGGGAGGCCTGGCGTGCTGCAGTCCATGGGGTCTCAAAGAGAGTCGGACACGACTGAGCAACTGAACTGCACTGACTGAGCGACTGAACAACAAGAGCGCCTGGAATGATCATGAGTGAAGGAAAAATGAGTAAACAAATCACTGAAGACCGTCTTTCTCCCAGGAGTAAAATTAAAGTCCTGTCTCGCAGGCAGCACCTTTGGTGCCTAGGGCCAGCCGTGGAAAACTTCCCCTTAGAAAGGACCTACTGTCTGGCACGTGGAACTCTGCTCAGTGTGAAATGGCAGCCTGGAGGGGAGCAGGGTTTGGAGGGACAGGAATGGATACGTGTGTTTGTATGGCCGAGTCCCTTCGCTGTTCACCTGAAACTACCACAACATGGTTTGTTAATTGGCTGCTGCTGCTGCTGCTAAGACGCTTCAGTCGTGTCCGACTCTGTGCAACCCCATAGACGGCAGCCCACCAGGCTCCCCCATCCCTGGGATTCTCCAGGCAAGAACACTGGAGTGGGTTGCCATTTCCTTCTCCAATGCATGAAAGTGAAAAGTGAAAGTGAAGTCACTCAGTCGTGTCCGACTCTTAGCGACCCCATGGACTGCAGCCCACCAGGCTCCTCCGTCCATGGGATTTTCCAGGCAAGAGTACTGGAGTGGGTTGCCATTGCCTTCTCCAGTTAATCGGCTATCCCCCAATAAAAGATAAAAAAAATTTTAAAAGAAAAGAAAAAGCTGTAGTGTCTCCTTTAAGAAGGCCCTGCTCGGCCCCACCCCACACGAAGCTCCGCCCAGACAGTGTCACGTCACCCGCTCTTACGCATAAGGGGCGGGCCAGAAGAAGGTTTGAAAGCCCTGCGCGCACCCAGCGAGCGGCAGTTGTCAGTTACTGGGGATGTCTGCGTTACGGCCGCTGGACAAGCTGCCAGGCCTGAACACGGCCACCATCTTGGTAGGCGTTAGCAGCCCCGATTCCCGCGCCCACCTTTCCTCCTGGGCCGCCCCTCAGCAGCCAGGCCTTCTGCGGCCCTCTCAGATTCTGGCCTGGGCTGCTCCGGCGGGAGTGTGGTGGGTGGGAGAGCGCCTCTCTGAACCAATCAGAGTTAGCTGCCCATGTCTCCACCAATAAGTGCGCGGCGGGCTCTTTCTGAGTTTCTGATTGGTGGAGCGGCTGGGCCGGGCGCCCGCGCGCAGGGTAGATGCAGGCGGTCCAAGATGTGCTTTTCCCCCTGTATCCTGGCCAGGCCTCCTGTAGAAACGAGGCTGTCCCAGGGAGGATCCTGGGTGGGCAGGTAGTGAATGGAGCCAGAGCGAGTGCAAACCTCAGACCCTCACCCGTGCCTGCCGTAGTCCTCTCGGTAAAGAGTGCCTCGCGCGCTACAGCCAGAATCCTGGGGTCGCGGCCCTCCGGGCCCAGCGACGGGGCTGCTGTATCCAGGGATGCATTGGCCGCCTTCTCTCTCTGGGCAGCTAGTGGGCACGGAGGATGCTCTTCTGCAGCAACTGGCCGATTCGATGCTCAAGGAGGACTGCACCTCGGAGCTGAAGGTGTAAGTAGCCTGCGCTGCAGATGTCCGATCGCTGGCCTGGGCTCAAGGGAGAGCGGGGAGGTGGGTAGAGTGGGTGGGGGTGGAGCGGAAGGCCAGAGAGGCCGGTGCAGGTGGGGCGAGTTTTGACCCACCGCTCGGAGTCTCCGTCCTGACCCGTTATCTGTTCCCGTGTAAAGCATCCTCTGTCACTTCTCTGTCTCGCCAGCTTTTCTGTTTCCCTCTAGCACTTGTCACTATAAAGAAATTTTCATATTATGCCATGTTGGCCAAAACTGGTATCCATCACTCCAGTGGCAATAACATTGAACTGGGCACAGCATGTGGAAAGTACTACAGAGTATGCACACTGGCTGTCATTGATCCAGGTGATTCCGATATTATTAGAAGCATGCCAGAACAGACTGGTGAAAAGTAAATCATGTACAATTTTTCTTTAATAAAACTGGCCACAGCTTGTTTTAAAAAATTCCCTTGTTCACGTGTTTGTTTTCTTGTTTCCAGTCTGCCACCCTGAGGCACCCCAAGGTTAGCCCCCTGAGGGCAGGGACTTTGACTTTTGCTGACTGGTGAAGAAGCCCCATTGCCTTGAGCAGTACTTGGCCCAGAATATTTAGTTACTCATATACTCCCCAAATTTGGAGAAAAGGTGACTAAAGTGTATTTTGCTTTCCTTTTTCTAACTGATAGGGAGTAGAAACAGCTGTTGGCAGGAGTCACGTGACTGAATATATGTGGGTGTCATTCTCCCTGATTGAAAGACAAGCTCCAGGGGTCTAAGTTGAATGATCTAAATCTAGAGTGTATTTCCTTTATGGGAACTGGAATTGCCCCTTCCTAGAGAGAACATCATCTTTCCCTCGAAATAAAGGTTGTTCATAGATCCACCTGTGCCCTACCCGTCTTACCAGGCTCTTAGGCTATAGAACACCAAACCCCATCACTGATAATCTCAATCCCGTAGCTCAGAAATAGGAAAAGATAAAAAAATAATTAATTAGCATCAGAGTAAAAGGAAAATGTGGACAAAATCGCCTTCCTTGAGCAAGATGGAAATCATTACCAAAAAAGGAAATACTATTATCCTATTTTTAGATTCCATCTATTGTATTCTAGTGTCTGAATGTGTATACATTTGTACATGGAAAGATATTTAGAAAAATGTTCTAACATTAATAGTAGTAATTTTTAGGTAACTGAACTTCTAGGAGTGTGTGTGTGTGTTTTAACTTTTGTTATGTTTTGTAAACTTTTTGGTATTCTTGAATTAGAAGCTGAAGGGTGGGGCAGATGAGTAATAGGAATAAATGGAAGTGGGCAGAAATAAAGGGTTAAAAAAAAACAAAAACCCTTCAGGTGGGTATTTAACAATCTGAGACCAAGTACACACAAGAGTGTTGAGGGTGACTTGCCCAACGTCACACAGCTGATAGTTGGCAGGCTGGAATTTAAACCCACTTCTATCTCACTCCAAAGGGCTTCGGTCTTAACCCCTAAATTCATAGTCTAACACCTTCCTCTCCCCTTCTGAGCCTGGCCTCCCTCCCAGCATTCAATGTAGATGGCTAGAAGCCATCTTATATCCAAAATCCCCTTTTGCCAAGGGAGTTACTAAACTTTCTGGCAGGGAGAGTAAAGCAGGTGTAATCTGAATAAGATCAGCTCTGCCCTGCCCCTGTGCTCACTTGAGGAGTCTTGCCCACAAAAGCTTCCTGTAGGGGCTTCCCTGGTGGTGCAGTGGCTAAGTCTCCATGCTCCTAATGCAGGGGGATCGGGTTTGATCCCTGTTGGGGGACTAGATCCCACAAGCCACAACTAAGAAAAAAAAATTCCTGCAGGTTGCAAAGATCCCACATGTAGCAACAAAGATCGAAGATCCCATGTGCCACAACTAAGACTTGGCATAGTCAAATAAATAAATATTTTTAAAACACACACACACAAAAGCTTCAGGTGAATAGGGGAGGAGCTTTTGACAGCCTCTTTCCCTACAAAGGGTAGTGTGTGAACAGTCATTATGATGTGGGTACGTGTATCTTGAATTCTGCGATCTCTTGTTTTTCAGCCACTTAGCAAGGTCCCTCCCTCTGCCCTGCAGCGTGAATCGGCCCCGAATTGACTTGATTGTGTTTGTGGTCAACCTTCACAGCAAACACAGGTGAGAGCCAGGGGATGGGGCTGTCAGTGCCCAGATGCGGTTCAGGATTGTGCTGGGACGGTGGCCTCACTTGGGAAGGAGAGGAGACAGGGAGAGGCCGCCTGGGGGCAACCTAGAGGGTGAGGAGGGAGGAGCCAGTGCCAAAGCGAAATGTTTAAAAGACACTGACAAATGCCAGCGGTGTCATCTGTCATTTATCTAATGCTCTCTGAGGCCCACTCTGCCTCCCTGACAGCAGCACAGATGTGAGTGAAACGGACCTTGTTCTCAAGGTCCATTTGGGGAGGAATCGACTTTTGAACAGACAATTAGAGTACCTGTGATGTGTACTGTCAAAGGGGAATCCTGGGGTTGTGAGAGCCCGAACAAGACCTCTGACTCTTAGGACCCAGGTCAAGCTAGACTTCCTGGCTTCCTGGAGGTGACATCTACATAGATGCCGGAAGGAATTCCCTGGTGATTCAGTGGTTAAGACGCAGCACTTTCACTGTGGGGGCCTGGGTTCAATCCCTGGTCCGGGAACTAAGAGCGCAGAAGCCACACGTGACACTCAGTCAGTTAAAATAACACACAAAACACTCGAGGGATGAGGAGGAGTTAGCCAGGCAGGGATGACGGTAAGCAGGATGTCCCAGGTGGAGGGCTGGTGTACAGACAAGAGGAGCACAGCATGTGTGGAGGACCGTCCAGGCCTGGGCAGGCTCAGAGCCCAGTCCACTCTGGGCCGGGGCAGTGGCAGCATGGGTGATGTTGATGCTGGTGGCCTGGCCTGGCCTCCCCACAGTGCTGGCTACCCTGGGGTCAGGACTGTAGCCAATCTAGGGAATACAGGTGGAAGGTCTCCCCTCTCCTTCCTGGGGACAGCTGGCTAAGAACAGGACACAGGGTCCAGCACAGAAACCAGGGCAGACACCTACCTGGTCCTGTGGTGGGGTTAAGGGAAGGCTGTGGTGGAAACGCCTGAGAACCGGGGGACGGAGACACCAGACACCGGGATCGAGTCCAGACCGCACGACCTGACCTCTGGGAACCAGTCAGCAGGGACTTAGGCCCGGGTGGGGCAAGAAAGGGCTGAGACCTGCCGCGGGCGCCCTGGCTCACAGGGCTGCTGCTCTTCGGGTGAGGTCTCTCTGTTCACCAGAAGGGACACCGACGAACCGTCTGAGCAATAGGGCCATTGGTCTCAGGCCTTGTTCATTCACGAAGCCAGACCGAGATGGCCTTTGGCCTGGAAGACAACAGAGTCTTTCAATCACTCCCTGGATACCAGTGAGTGAAGGCCTCAACCCAGCAGGTCAAGGTGCCCTTGTTTGGAGGAAGAGAGTGTTTTCATACAACTGATATGACTTAAAATCGCTGTCATCTTACTGAAAGGCAATTCAGCAATAGTTATCCACACTTTAAAAAGATACATACTTAAAAAAAAAAAAAGACACGTACTGTGACCCAGCCCTTCCACTTCTAGCATCTGTTCTACAGAAACATCTGCTTAGTAGGAGATGTAGGAAACAATATTCATGCAGCGTTCTTTGTGATGGTGAAAAACTGGAGACCATTTAAATGTCCACCACAGGGCAAGCAGTTAGTTTGGGGTATGGTGTGGTCATTCCAAAGACTGTAACAGAGACATCAAACTCAATTAGACCCAACTAGCTGCTTATACATATCACTGCCTGTATTTGCACATGAAGAAAATTCCAGAAGAATTACACCCCAAACTATTGTGGCAGTCATCTCTGGGGAGTTAAAACTAGAGGTGGTGCTGGAGACGGGGAGTTTTACTTTTTACTTATACACCACTATTTACTATTTGATCATTTCACAAACTTGACTCACTGTATAATTAGAAGAAGTTTAAAGCTACAAAAGGACAAAGTGTTCCTCCAGGGCCGTCTCCCATCACCCTTGTCTTATGCCCTGGCCTCTCTGTGATCAGAGGCGCGGGGGCTGCTTCTGCCTTCTCTGTTGTAAGGTATGTCTTCTGCTTGTTTTCTTGCCCTGGCCTGGCCGCCCCAGCCTGCAGAATGTGGAGGAGTCCCTGTGCCACCTGGACGCAGCCTTCTTCCTGGGGAAGGTAACCTTCCTCGCCACGGGAGGTGAGTGCCTCCCCTGCCTGCTGCCGTGGGTGGGCCCGTGGTGGACTCCGTGCAGAGGCAGCCTGGGTGATGGGGAGACCGTGGGCTTTGGAATTTGACTGCTGTCTGTCTCCATAAAGTAAGTCAGAGCTGATTGTTCTGCCAGGTTAATTCTGCTGAGATCATTGCCCTGGGGTGCCTGGCGGCTCATCTCCTGTTACTCTTCAGATAGTTCTCCGAGACTCTAATATTAGCAGTGGAAATAATGGTAGCTAACCTCGGGGACTTCCCTGGCATTCGAGTGGGTAAGACTTCGCCTTCCAATGCAGGGGGTAAGGCTTCAGTCCCTGGTCAGGCAGCTAAGATCCCACATGCCATCTGGCCAAAAAATCAAAACATAAGACAGGAGCAATACTGTAACAAATTCAATAGAAACTTTAAAAATGATCCACATCAAAAAGAAAAAAAAAATCTTAAAAAATAGCTAACCTATATTGAGCACTCACTATAGACCAGACTCTTTTCTAAGTTCTTTGTTTCTGTATCGCTTAATTTTCACAAGAAGTACTATTGAGGTAGGTAAGATTGTCTCTCTTTTACAGAGAAGGAAGCTGCTCATGAGGTTAGGTAACTCGTCCAAGGCCCCACAGCTAGACAGTAGTAGAGCAGAGTTCATAGTTAGCTGGTCATATTCCAGGGCCCATGCCTTTAATGATTGTACCATGTGGCTTCTCATAAATACTTTTTTCCTTTTTTATGTGGCTGACCCCAATTTTCTGCCCCCTGGGGGACACCTTCCTGACCAGCCCTGCAGTCTGGGCCCTCGGGGTGTCCATGCAGGCCTCTGTCAGACTCCTCACCCTTCTGCCGACGCTGATGATGTGTCTGCCCCCTCCACCAGCTGCATGTGAGCTCCTGACTCACATTGTTCTCAATAAGCTTTGGTGGAGAAGTGAATGCCAGGCCCCATCTGTGTATTCGTTCACTGACTGTAGTAACTCAGCGGAGAAGGTGCTGTTACGATCCTCATTTCCTAGATGAGGAAACTTCATGTGTTTAGTCCGACTCTTATCAAGTCTCTTCAGCCTGTTTTCTGATCTGATGATCTTGACTGCCCTGAAAAGAAGGTACAACAGGCCTGTCACCCAAAGAAGGTAGAAACTGTGGCCCAGAGAGGGGACGTGACCTCCTGGGCGCAGTGCTCCCTCCATCACAGCCAGGAAAGTGGAGGTGACCGGCGTGGCTTCCTTGCAGCTGGGCGGGACAGCCACTGCAGCATCCACCGGAACACCGTGGTGAGGCTGGCCCACACCTACCGGAGCCCCCTGCTCTTCTGTGACCTGGAGGTAAGGACCTGCACACGTGGGCCGCGGGCTGGCACAGTCAGAGCACAGAGGGCATGGCAGGGTGCTTCTTGGAGGATCATGAGAACCTGAGTGAAGGGGCTCCTGATGTGGAGACCAGATCCTCGCTAGAATCCTGGCTTTTCCAGTCTCTGTCCTTGGTTGGGTCATCGTAAGCCTTGGGTGCATCCCTGTAAAGTGGGGTGACACATCTTGAGTTCCATTTGTACACCGGGTGCCATCACCTCTTGCTTTGACATTTTTCTTTGTACTCATGGCTAAGTCTTGTGTGTGTGTCTATGGGTCCCTGTGAATGTCTCGCTTTTCCGCAGGGGTGTAAGTGCTGTGAGGCCAGGCATCCTGTCTGTCATTAACCAGCAGTCAGGATGCCGTCCGTTCCCTCTTAGCTGCCTGGATTGCAGACCTTGTCGGGTCCCAGCCCAGGGCAGGGGGTCCAGCAGGCAGCAAGGATGGAGGTTGGGGGGTGGATAGATGGCTGACTGGATATATGTGATGTTGGTCCTGCCCTGACTCGCTTCTCTCGGGGTTTCTCACGAGGTGAATCCTAGCTGTGAGGGCAACACACAGATTTCTGCTTTGCTGATGAGTTTTGCCCTTCAGCCTCTCTGTGCAGTGTGGCGCCTGAAGACATTTTGCTAAAGGGTTCTCAGCAAGAGCTGATTCTATCCCCTCTCTGGGGGTCTGCTAAGGGCTCCTGGGTCCTGGGCTGCCCCACCTGCACACCAAACCTGCTCAGGTGGTTTAGGGTTCTATTTTTTTGTTGTTTTTATTGTACACTGGAGTATATTGATTTACAGTGTTGTGTTCATTTCAGGTGGACAGCAAAGTGATTCAGTTATACATGTATCCATTCTTTTTCCGATTCTTTGCCCATATAGGTTATGTTTATTGGTTTTGAGGTTCATTTTAAAGATTTGTGTTTCTGTTCTGGGTCTCACGCCTGTCCCCAAAGGCCAAGTGATGTGGTGCAGAGGGAGGTGAGTCAGCGTGTGTTCCGTCATTACCATCTAGACCAGAGGTGCTGACTCTGGGGTCTATGGACCCCTCTGGTCCGAAGAGAGAAGAATTCAGGGGAGTTGTGGCTTTGGACAAGAAAAAAATTACTTTTTTTCCCACTACCCTCTAGAAGGAATTTAGCATTATGAATGTAGATGGGAGGCGACAGTAGTGTTAGCAGAGTCTCTGACTGTTAGCCACAGGAGCGCCAGACACTGGCACGTCCCATGGGGATGGGTCGGACCTCATGACTGCTGCGATTCTGCAGAAGCTGTTAGACCTCGGTCTTCTCACCCAGTGCGTCGCTTAATGCGCACACTGCTCTGTCACAGATTTGTGTTTCACCTCTGATCACGACTATTTTAAGAACCCGGACCCTAACAAGGCTCTGATCTCACAGGTAGGACCCGAGGCACCCTGAGGTACCCGGCTTTGCTCACAGTCACACGGCTGGCAAGTCAGCAGAAGAGCCAGGCTGGTGTGCCGCTGACTCTCCTGGCTGAGCAGGCTGGCTGCGTGGCGCGTGGTGGTGCAGTTCTGCGCGTGGCCAGGAGGTGGCAGGCTGTACCAGGTCCTACGTTGTCCTCTAGCCCGAGAATGTTGGTTGCTCAGTGGTGTCCGACTCTCTGCGACCCCATGGAGTGTAGCCTGCCAGGCTCCTCTGTCCATGGAATTCTCCAGGCAAGAATACTGGAGTGAATTGCCATGCCCTGCTCCAGGGGATCTTCCCAACCCAGGGGTCGAACTTGGGTCTCCTGCTTTGGCAGGCAGATTCTTTCCCATCTGAGCCACTGGAAAAAGGTCTATGGCTGACTTTCTATTTCCAGCCTGGAGCCGGCGGGCTGAGAACCTGGGCTTGGCATCCTCTCATCCAAGGCACCCAGTGTTTGGACAGCCAGCGGGCCTGGTACCTGTGCAGTCCTGTCCAGGGTCCTCTCCCCAACTTCATGAGCTGGAGCCTCATTGTGTTTTGAGGCCTTTGCATGGCGGGAAACACTGGCCCGGTTTTACAGGGCAGGAAACACGCCCAGGGAGGTGCAGGATTCGCCCGGTGCAGTTATTTCCCAGCTCCGCTACTAGGCTCTGTGCAAGTCCCTGAGGACCAGATACCTCGACATTGGCCCTGCCCCTCAGAACAGAGGGAAATAGACCGACACGTCACGCCTGCTGCGGCAGGAGGATCTGCAGGGCTTTGGAAGCCAGGCAGTGAATCCAGCCATTCTTCCCGTCGGGCGTCGGGGCAGTCACAATGGGCTCAGATGTCTGGGGGCCACGTCTCTGGAGTAGGGTGTGTGGATGGGAGGAGGCCCGGCCAGAGGCGGGAGGCCCGGGGACGAGGCTGCAGGAAGCAGGCCGTGGAGCCCTCGGGAGAGCAGCGGCAGTTTGGAGGGACCACTCAGAGGCCACAGCCGCAACACCCAGAGGACTCCTTGAATAGGAACAGGAATAGGTTATGTTTCTTAACATAACCTACGGCCTGTCCAGTGTTGTTCTAGGCTCTAGGGAGTCAGTGTAGTGCAAAGCAGTGTTAACACTCCCAATTCTGTTCTAGTGGAGGAAACATGGGAAGTAGAAAGCGTGGTGTGTTAGGGCATGGAGATGTGACATGTCAGGTGGTGGTAAAGCAACAGGATTAAATAGGGGGTGCAGGGACTCCCTGAAAATCTGACCTTTAAGTGAAGATGTGAAGGGAGGTGCCATGGAGCCTCCTGGTGGAGAAGCCCACGGGGCTGGAGAAACTGCAAGTGCAGAGGCCCTGAGTTTGGACGCTGCCTGCCATGTTCAAGGCCCACGGGGAGCCATGGCGCCTGGAGCAGAGCGCGGCACTGACGTTGGGGCCAGATCAGCAGGGCTCTGTGGGTCGCAGTAAAGGCGTGGTGGCTTTCACTCTGCTAGACTGGGGCAGCGGAGGGGTGTGGGGCCAGGGAGGGCCGCAGCCCGACTTGGGTTTTGAACGGGGCCCCTCCGCCTGTCTGGAGGAGAGTAGACTGGAGGGATGCAAGGGCAGGAATAGGGAGAGGGGCCTGGGGACTGTGTCTGGAAGAGTTCAGAGTGGTCTGGGCTCTGTGGTGGCCGGGGAAGGGGGAGCTGGGATGGTCTCTGATGCTGGGTGTTTCCAGGGTGGGGCTGACAGGTGTGCAGATGGCCTGCCTGTGAGACAGGAGAGGAAGAAGAGTCAGGGTCAACTCTGGAGTTTTCAGCCTGAGAAGCCCCGCCCCTGCCCCCCCACCCCCACCCCAGCAGTGAGGTGTTGAACAAAGGAGGGAGTGGCCTGAGAGGTGGGAGGACTAGCTGGTGGGGGTGGGTCCTGGGAGCCGGAGAAAAGGCGTGCCAGGGAGGGAGCAGCTGCCTCAAACTCCACTAAGAGTCCCCACTGAGAAGGAGGCCGGTGTGTGAGGACTGAGATGTCGCCTCTGGACTTGGAACCCAGGAGTCACAAGGTGGAATGAGAGAAGGGGTCTTCAGGCGGCCCGGCTCTAGCTTGGGTGACTGGGCGGATGGTGGCGCCCTTTCCCCAGTTAGAGAAGGAACAGGAGAAGGAGGAGGAGCTGGGAGGCCATCTGAGCATCACTGTTTATTCTTCTTCCTTTCTGGAGCATCTCACCAGCTGGGGCCTTCGCACAGTCTGATTACCTCTGCCTAATTCCACGGCTCTTCTGGGCCCACTAACCCTTCCGTGGCCCTGGTGTAGGGACCGTCTGTTGATGGCACGTCCCTGTCCTCCGTGAGGGCCACTCTCCCCACCCCTCCTTTCCAACCTGGGCGTGCTCGTCTCAGATCCCAGTGGGTGCCGCCCCAGCATTGGTTGGGACTAGACCTGGTTCAGACCCCAGCTCGACAGTCGTTCACCGGGCCTCTGGACGGCGTCCCTGACCTTGCCAGCCCCGCCTGCTGAGCCTTCGTTTCTTCTGGAGTAGGGTCAGCATCTCTGGTACCCCTGGAGGGCATCTGAAGGGTTTCCATAAGCTGAGGTGTGGCGCAGATGGGGCATGGCCCTGAGGGCAGCGGTGCCCAGAGCTGTCCCCACGTCTCAGCCCCCAGCTCCCCTCTGGCCACCGCCTCACCGTGGTCCTGTCTCCTCTGCAGATAGAAGACTTCCGCGCCACCATGGCGCAGCGCCTGGTCCGCCTGCTGCAGATCTGCGCGGGCCATGTGCCCGGCGTCTCGGCCCTGAACCTGCTGTCCCTGCTGAGGGGCTCCGAGAACCCCTCCCTGGAGGACCTGTGAGGCCCCCGGCCGCCCTCCCCCGCAGCTGGGTGCCCGGGCCAGCAGTCACTGTTGCTGGAGACCGTGCCAGGGCTTGGCAGGCCTGGGTCAGCGGGCAGTTCCCTCAGGGCCTCAAGTCCTCGAGTTTCAACAGGAAGTGCTGGGGGGCGGCGGGGAGCAGTCCAGCTGGTGGGACTCCAGCCCCCTACCCCTCTCATGCCCACCCCAGCAGAGCCCCAGGTCTTCGTTGATCTGACTTGTTACCTCTCAAGACTTCGTTTGAACAAAGGGTCCGTGGCTGAAAGTTAGAACATCACTGAACTCATCCACCACTTTGATTTTGTAGATGAGGCAACTGACTCCAAACAATTAAAGAGTCAGAGCGGGTAAGGACTTCCCTGGTGGTCCCGTGGCCAAGACTGCACTCCCAATGCTGGGGGCCCGGATTTGACCCCTGGTCAGGCAACTAGATCCCACATGTTGCAACTAAAGATCCTTCATGCCTCGACTAAGACCTGGTGCAGCCAAATAAATAAATAAATATTTTTGAAAGAGTTGGGCAGTGGGAGCTTGAACTCTATGAGTCCAGTCCGACTCCACATCCTGGCCTTGCCATTCTTACAGGACCTGCGGAGCCTCAGTTTCTCCAGGTGTTAGATGGAGATTGTTCAGCTTACCTTGCTGGCGTCGTAAGGGTTGAGTGACATGGTGGTAAAGGTGAAGTGCCTGAGGTGTATTGTATTACTCCTGTGCTTGTTTGGGTGCTCCATGTATCTCATAATAAATGTGTGAATGCTTGCATGGCACCAGATAAGCACTCCACGAACAGTTACTTGAACTATTATGTGAAATCACACAGAGCTAAGTTACAAAACTGGTGCACATCCAGGTATTACACCACGAAGTCAAGCTAGAGAACCTGACCGAAGGCTGGTTTCTGGGCTGGCCGCAAGAGACTGCGATGACGGCTGCTTTCTTTCTCCTCGGGGTCTAATTAGAATCTGTGGCCATGCTGAGATGAGGCTGCAGAATTCCTGGCAGCCAGGTATGAGCTGCAGCCGTGCCCCTGTAGCTGGCTGGACACTCCCGTGGGAGCATGGGTGAGGAGGAGGTCTGGTGGGAGAGGAAGACAGCCAGATCCTGGTTCCCTTGGAGCGTGCCAGCGCCCTCCCAGCACCCCCTCCGTCCTCAGGCCTCAGGATGGGCCCTGCTTGATGCCCTGGGCACTGCCAATGCCGCAGGGCCTCTGCTTTGACGTCACCATGGCAGCCACAGCTCACGCGCTTCACTGACGGATGGGCCAACCTGAAACTCGGTGCAGGCGTCATGAGGATGGGGCCCACCTTTCTCCTCTCCACCCCGTGCTCACTCGGTAAGGTTTGCCGAGGCCTGGCTGGTCTTCCAGGCTGCCCCCACCGAGAACCTCAGCAGTGGCGATTTCGGTTCAGGTCTCAGACGTCACCCGACCTCCGCAGAGCTTCACGCTTTACAGAGCGCTTCTCACACAGTCACTCCTGCCGCCTGCCCTCCCCGCAGACCTGTGTGAAGTTGACAGTGTTTCCCCATTTCACATTTAACGAAACCGAGAGTGCTGTCATCAGAGGCATATCCACAGTCACACAGGTAATCAGGCAGAGCCCACCCCTGGCCGCAGTTCTCTGCTTTTTCTCTCTGGTGGTTCTCTTGTGTGCCCAGTCGTTGAACAGAGGTTTGGTCATCTCCGCTGGGCAGTAAGAACCCAGAAACGATGGACACACAGGCCTTGTGCGGGAGAAAGCGGCCCGTGTGGAAAGACGGTCTCCTGAAGTGCCGTTCCCACTGGCTGGGGCCCCGTTAGCTCAGGGGCGGGCCTTGTGGAGGGGAGGGCAGGGAGCAGGGTAGGAGCCTGGGGCTTGAGCCAAGAACTCCCTCAGCATTTGGGGAGGGAGGCCCCCTTCTGTGCCGAGGTCAGGGTGGAGGTCTCTGCAGGGATGGACAGGATCAGCTGAGGCCCAGGAGGTCAGCTTCCCGGAAGGACCTGGGGTCCTAGAAACCGGCCTTGTCTGCAGCCCCTCGGAAGCCTGGGCCATAAAGGGAGGGGAGAGGAGGGCGATGGGCTGAGGTGTCCGAGCAGGAGCGAGCAGGGGCGAGGGCACGCCCTGCCTGCCACATCTGGGCTGGCGTCAGATGGGGTCCTTCTCCGAGCCCCCGCCCCGCCCCCAGTCAGCACGGGGCTCGCTCGCTCCCTCTCGTCCCTGTGCCACATTTTTTTCGCCACCTGGTGCCATTTAACAAGAGAGATGGCACCACATTTTCCAGCCGCGGGCCTGGGAGCCTTCCAAGCGCTGGGGGAGCACCGTGCTCTCACGGCTCCAGCGAGCTCAGTGGGGCCCCAGAACCCTGGAACCCCGCCTCTGCCTCACAGCGGAGCCGAGCCCCCGGACCCGGGAGCTGGTGTGACAGAGGGAAGTGACGGAAGGCCTGTCTCAACGCCCCTGTGGTGCCTGGCACAGGTGCCTGGTGCCGGGGCGGGAGATGGGAAAGGCTGCCCTTGACTGCTGACGGGTCACACGCTCGCAGGCAGGCCCCTCACGCTCGATGAGCCTGCGTTTCCTCGTCTGTAGCCTGGGGTCAGGCTAACTGACCTCTCTTCCCAGGCTAAGTGCCTCTTCCCAGCCACTCATGACGACCGAGAGGGAGAAGCTGTGATGTTAAACAAAAAAATAAAGCTAGTGGAAGACTCCTCAGGCTGGCCACAGTCATGGGGCGGTCACGTCGGAGGTGGTTACTGATGGTGGGCATCGACCCCTGGGCAGCAGGCCCAAGGCAGTGGGCAGCCCGAGGCACCATGCTCCCTGAGAGCCCAAAGGGGAGGGAGGGGGCGTCGGGGCCCCCGCCGTGTGGGTGAGACATTGAGGCTGCCAGAGGGGCAGGGCTTGCTCAGGGGCACAAATTTCTTTGGGTCTTCAGGGCACCTGGTTGCAGGCAGCCCTTGAGCCCAGGCCCGAGGGGCTCAGGCGCTCTGTAGAAGGCGGCCCAGACCCAGGCATCCCGGCCCTGGGCTGACGCTATTTCCCCTCCCCACCCAGGAGGGGGCTCCAAGCCTGGCACCTGCATCTCTGCCACCCCTCAGCGAGCAAAGAAGGCAGGGGCGGCCTGGGGCTGTGGCTGAGACAGGGCAGCCTGGCCACAGAGGGGAAGTGATGCACTGGGAAAGGACCCGGCCTTTGCGTCCCACTGCCTCAGGGTCTGCGGCCACCCTGCAGCATGACCTGGGGCAGCTCACTTCCCATCCCCGGGTCCCGCGGCCTGGCGAGGTCCTCGAGAGGCTCAGAGAAACCCAAGGGCCGGGCACAGCACCTGCCGGGGTCTGGCCCTCCACGTCCTCCGCAGATGGTGGTCTTGGGGGTGGACGGGGTGGGTGGTTGGCTGGCTGTGCCCAGGGGTGTGGAGTGCGAGGTGAGCGCAGGAGGTAACTGAACTAAAGCCCCGCCGTGGGGTGTCCCTGCCCACACACACCTGGTACCGGGCCGGACTCCAGCTCAAAGGGACCCTTTCCAGAAGACGCCTGCTCACCTAAGCCCTCCCCCACTGCCCCTGCGCCGCTCAGCCTCCCCTGGGGCTGCAAGCGTGCAAGCAGAGAATCATTGTGAAAGGACTTCTCACAGACATGGGGCAAGGCCGGGGGAGGCGGGGGCGGGGGGGCTGCAGAGCCTGCTGCACCCCAAAGCTGTGAGGCCCACTCGAGTGTGACCCTAGGGATGGGGGTGGGGTCCCTGAACAGCCACTCTGGGCGGGAGAGCGGGTGGCCATCCCTGGTGCCCGTGACCCATGTGGTGTCGGGTGGGGGGGTGCCAAAGACATCTGGGGGGCTCTGGGAGCTAACATGTAGCGGGTGCTTGGTCTGGGTAACAGCCTTCCCCGGCCAGGCTCAGAGGGGACCCCCGCACTTGGTCCTCTTCCGTGCTGGACTAGACCCCCCTCCCCCACCCACCGTCGATGTCATCAACCAACAGAAGTGGTCTGGAGGGGAGGGGGCAGGATGGCTCAGGCCCGAGGGGCTGCCTGAACTCATCCCTCCTCCTGGGCTTGCTTTGTTCTCTGCAAAGGAAGGATCTGGGTGCAGGGCCAGGCCATGGTGGGCGTGCATGCTCCCGTCTCCCTGGTTGCTGCGGCCGGTGGGTCCCTGGGCCTTGCCCACTCCTCCCCAGACATCCTCAGGGTCACTCGCACCTCTGTCCTCCTGTTCCAAGGCTGCACCGGGCCTTTCCCAAGGCTCCGGCCACCCCCTGTCGCCCTGTGCTCCTGACGTTTCCTCCCCAGCACGTCTCACCTCCCCACCTCCTCTGTGGTTTGTGTTGGGCCTACGTCTCTGGTTCCCTGCTGTCGCCCCAGAACCTAGAACACTGCCTGACCCACGGTACGTCCCCGGTGCCTCCTGGCTGGTGCTCTGAATGAGGCCTGGGGACAGCTGGCCCCTTGGGGGGAGATCCTGCTCCCCATCCACCCCATCCCCCAAGTCTCGGCACCTCTGCCCACCTTACACACCTGGAGGCCTGGCCCCAGAGGGTGGGGGACGCCTCTCACTGTGAGGCTGAGGGGCCGGGTCTCCTTTCGGACCTCACGTGGAGGGCCCACACCCCCCAGCCAGGGGCCAGGCTGAGAGATTGCTGGGGCTGCCCTGGTCAGGAAGCCCTGCAGCTGCACCTGTGTGAGCTGGTGGCGGGGGGAGGGATGGGGCCTTGAGGATAGGCTGAGGGGCCCGAGAGCCTGGGTGAGGACTTCCTAACTGCCTCCCGGACAGACATCCTCAGGGAGCACTCCCACCTCTGTCCCCCTGTTCCACGGCCTCACCTTGTGTAACTTGGATTCAAGGGGAGAGGGACTTCTGGCCTCACTAGGACTTTGAACTGACCTCCCTGCCTCTCCCAACACTTCCCTGTGTCTAGAGGCCCCACATCACACCCTTCCCACTCTTCCTGGTAGGAAAGGAGACCTTCTGGCAGTGTCCTGGATGTCAGAGCTAAAATGACATCCGTTGGCCAAAAGTTTAGTTCGGATTTTTCCATAACATCTTATGAAAAATCTGAACTAACTTTTTAGCCAACCCAATACATGAGAAAGGCAAAGGAGGGCTTCCCGTAGCACAGTGGATAGGAATCTCCCCGTCAAGGCAAGAGACATGGATTCAATCCCTGGTCCAGGAAGATTCTACCTGCGGAGCAATAACTAAGCCTGCATCCCACAAGTACTGAGCCCTCACTCCACAAAAAAGAGAAGCCGCCGCAATGAGAAGCTCACACACCGCAACTAGAGAGAGCTCTCTCACAGCAGTGAAGACGCGGTGCAGCCAAAAAATAAAGAAAAAAAGGCAAAGGGAATCTCGACTCTGGGGGCGCTGGCCGCTGTGACAAAATGAGAGAGAATTCCCTGGTGGTCCAGCGGTTAGGGCTCCACGCCTTCACTGCCAGGACCTAGATTGGAACCCTGGTCAGGGAACTAAGATCTTGTATGTCATGTGGCTTGGCCCCCAAAAAGAAGATGAGAGAGCCAACACAAGCACTCAGACCGACAGGTCAGTTCACAGCCCGTGGCCCCTCTCTATGAAACACAAAACCTGATTTTCTCAATGCGCGTAGACGAGAATGTAAAGGCATAAAAATAAGACTGGGATGAAAGACTTCAACAAAGTGAAAACGGACCCCCTCTGGGGAACGGCAGAGAAATGCCCTTCTTACTCATCCACGTCAGTATTGTGTGAGGGTTTTTTTCATGAGAACATGTTCAGATATTACTCACAAAATTACAAATAAAACTAATTTTTAGGTAAAGAACACAGGCATCCCAGGTCTCAGAGCTCTTTCACATCCAGATCTGGGGGCTGGGCCTCTCTGCCCCTGGGGCCTCTCCTCTCCACCCCCCTGACACTGAGCTTGTCCACCAGGCAGAACGTCCTCACTTCCCCACCCTGTCCTTGAGGCTTGCAGGGCACAGGACACATAACCCCAGTCAGCCCCCCCCCCCCCCCCCCCCCCCCGCCCCGGAGGTACAGGGTCATCCCTCTGCCCCTCACAGCCCCTATTTCCCCATCTGAAAAAAAATGACATCATGACAGCACCTGTGTCAGAACCATGGGGAGGGTGTTTTGGGGGGTATTTTGGGGGACACAGATCAAAGGAGACTCCGTTTTCCCTGACAGACTCAAATTAATCATATTTAAAAAACAAAACAAAACTCAGTGAATGAAAACTTGAGAACACTAATAGATTCAATTAGAAGGGTTTTTCAGCAACAAAGTCCCTAATTTTCTACTTGCGCATGCATAGAGTAATGATACAAGTTAAAGTAAAAGCTATGGAGAGCACAGGGGACATTTGCTTGAACCACATTTGATTTTAGAAACTTAACTCCACCCTCTTGGTCATATTTCACAGTTAAAAAGTGATACAGAAGGTGAATTTTAAAAAGTAATAAATTTGACTTCAGAGGATATGAAAAAATAATTGAGGAATAAACTTCTACCATATGGTCTGATGGTGAAATTTCGCTCTCTCTCCTTTCTTTTTTTTTTTTTTTTGTGGCAGTACATAGCATGTAGGATCTTAATTCCCTGAACAGAAATTCAACCCCATGCCCCCTACAGTGGAAGCTCAGAGTTTCAACCTCTGGCCCACCAGGAAAGTCCCGAAATTTCTTAACCCCTAAGTCATCCAAACAGAGATTCAAGGTCTCCCCGCTTCCCTATTTAGGAAGCACAAGTGAAAAGGTTTGGAGTCAGGCCCTCGCAGGCTCCATCTGCCTGTCCTCAGCCCCTGCCTCTGCGGGCATGCAGGAGGCACCCGGGAAGCCTGTGTGTCCAACGAGGACCTCTTTCCTTCCAGGAGGCCTGCACCACCAGGCGCCACTGTCCCCTAACGGCCCGAGGCCCTGCTGGTCACCTCCCCTGCTCTCTGCCAGGGTCAGAGCAGCCGCAGTAAGACAGAGGCCCAGGGCCATCCGTGCAGGGGAAGCTTGTGTACACGACCCCAGACCTGGGCCTCCCATCCCCTAGGCGTAGGTTCTCCCCAAGTTTCCTGAGACTCAGCTCCCTCTGCCCAATTGTCCGGCACCCAGCTTCAAAGAAGGGGCTGCCCAGGTGGCGCAGAGGTAAAGAGCAAACCTGCCAAGGCAGGAGACACAGGAGATGCAGGTTCGATCCCTGGGTCGGAAAGAGTCCCTGGATGGAGGAGGGCATGGCGACCCACTCCAGCATTCTTGCTTGGGAAATCCCAAGGACAGAGGAGCCTGGTGGGCTACAGTCCATGGGATCCCCAAGAGACGGACTGAGCGCGCGTGCGCAAACACACACACACAGGTTAGAAGACATGCCTGGTGCTACTAAGGGCTCGGCCTTCCCACGGCTAACAGGTAATAGCGGCATCAGTGGTGATGGGGTGGGGAGGGGGACCCAGTCTTCTAGTCTTGCCCCCGCCCCTCTGCCCCTAGGAGGGCTTGCCTTGCCCTGGCTCCTGTGCAGGCTCCTGGCTCCCCCACCCCTTCAACACACACCCACACTCACACCCACACCCCCGCCCCAGACCCACTTCTCCTTTGCAGTTGCCCCACCGCCTACACCTTCCTGCCACGGAGTTGCTGGCCCGTGGGCAGGGGACAGAGAGGCAGTGGGCCCCGGGCTCCTCAAGGCCGGCCATCTCAGGGTTTCCGGAGCCAGAAACCTGGGAGGGGGCTAGCCCTGCTCCCCTCATTCCATCACGTCCCTCTTTCCTCCGAAACAACTGCTGGCTCGTTCCCCAGCCCTGGGCTGTGGTGCCAGGCTCCTCACTGTGCTGCCCACCCTGGCCAGGCTGCAACTCCACAGCAGCGGGCAGAGGGTCCCTTCGAAGGCACAGCTCAGAGAATCTCACCCACTCCAACACCTCCTGGGGCTCCTCACCCCCCAGGGCCTGTGGCTCAAGGCCTGGCCCAGCCCATCCGCAGCCTTGGGCCCCCAAGGCAGCGGCCAAGCCAGTCCCCAAGGCAAGCTTCCCCTTGCCCCTCTCTTGCTTGTGAACTAGTCTGTCCCACCTTCTGTCTGAAAGATTTCCCTCCTGCTTGAGCCGCTAAAGAGCTACTCCTGGCCCTGAGCCCCCTCCCTGCCCCCCGGAAAGTTACTCTTTTCTCTGTGCACCTCCAGCCCTGAGTGCTTAGGGGTCTGGTACGGCCCACCACGAGGGCACCACGTCCATGCTCCTTCCCGAGGCTCTCTGCTGGCCCCGTTCCCCCGGCCGCTCCAGGTAGGGGGTCCAGCATCTGTCCAGGAAGGCCAAGGGGGCTGGTGTGTCTGCCTGAGACTCCGTCCGAGAGACACAGGTGAGAAACAGGAGGGGCAGCCCCAAACACTAGGGAGTAGAGTCAGACAGGAGGGGCCCTGATGAGACACAGGGGCGAGCAGGCCTGAACACACCCAGCCCTGGGGAAAAGAAGTCGATGTGGGTGGCCTGCATACTGCCTCCTGGGCCTTGGTCTGTCTATCTGTTTATCGGTTGGTCTGAGTCTCCCTCTTGCTTAAGAGCTAGAGATCGAGGTGTGCCTGGATCTACCCCATCCGCGCACTCCATTCCAGCCAGTGCTTAACAGGCAGGTCTGACTGGGACACTTCCTGCTGAAAGCCCTCCATGGCTCCCCAGTGCCCTTGCAGCCAGGGTCTTGGCTTCTCTCAGTTAAAGCCCCAGTCCCGCCCCCAGTCCCAGCATTACCTGGCCTTCGGATTTGGCCAAAGGCCTTTGTTTACACTGCCTGCTCCAGTGGATCTCACTCCATCTAGCGAACACCTGCTCGTCCTGTCCACAAAGCTTCCCTGTCCACAAAGCTTCCCTGTCCCCTCGGTGGGGATCATCTTCAGGGATGCTGTGGCCGAGAGGCACTGCCTCCCCCATCACCACCTCCCAGTGCGGGAGTCCCCAGGGGGCCTGGGACAGTATGGGCACTCCGGTTGTGTTTGATGAACTGACCAGCGCTGCCTGAGAAGGACAGGAGGGCTCCCCGGAGAAGGAGGCAGGAAGGGGAAGAGGGCCAGTGAGGATGGCCTGGGACCACAGGCTGGCCATTGGGGGGCAGGACGGAGGAGGCCACCCCAGAGCTCTGTGTCCTGCTTAAGGGGCCCATCCTCTGTGCCCCAAGATAAAGCCCTGGGTCTCAGTCCCAACCTGATTTCACTGCCCAGAAAAGGGCCCGCCCAGTGGCTGTCTAGGGGTGATGGTTGAATGGAGAAACCACAGAGAGAAGGTCTGGGGTGCTGGGCCACGGGCTAAGAGAGGTCCCACTCCAGCAGGCAGGAGGGCGGGCTGGGGCGGAGTGGGTGGCGCCCCGCCCGGTTTCCTCCCCGCGGGGCCGCAGAGGCCAGAGTCGGCCCGGAGGGCGGCGGGGTGCGCGCAGAAGGCTAGAGGCTTTGGCAGCGTGCAGCGAGGGCGGAGAAGCATGCGGGGCAAGGACCGGCCGGCACCCACGCAGTGCTTGCAGACCCAGTGCTTCGACCCGCTGGTCCGCAACTGTGTGGCCTGCAGTCTCCTCCGGACGACGGAGCCTAGACCGGGTAAGAGTCGAGCCGCGCCGACGCATGGCGCGCGCGCGGGGCAGCCCTGGAGCGGGAAGGAGGGTGATGCCAGGAGTCGCAGGCATGCCCTCCCCACCCCCCACCCGCCGCCGCCCAGGACGTGGGGAGGGGGCAGGGGCCTCGGGTTAACTGGCGAGGTGGGGTGGGGAATGTGAGCCGGGGGCCAGGAGGGGGGACCAGCCGTCGGCGCGTGGCCCTCACGGCCCCCTCTCGCCCCCTCGGCCTGCGCTGCCCCGCCCGGCCGTCCCCACCCTCCGCGGCCCAGCCTCACCTTCCTCCGGCCCTCCCCCTCTGCCTGGGACGGCGCTGCAGCCGCAGGAGTCGGCGGGCCCGGGGACCCCCGCGGAGGCCGAGGCGGCGCTGCCGCTCCCGGCGCTGCTCTTCGGAGCCCCCGCGCTGCTGGGCCTGGCGCTGGCCCTGGCCCTGCTCGGGCTGGTGACCTGGAAGCGCCGCCGGCGACGGAGGCTGGGCACGGCGATGGCCCCTGAGACTCCCGAGGCCCCGGAGGTCCCAGAGGCCCCGGACGGAGACCCAGACAGTAAGTTCCTCGTCTAGGGGACCCGAGAGGGCTGGGGGACGTCGGAGGGGAGACATGGCCCTTGAGGGGTCCAAGGGGGGCTGGGTGAAGGAGTAGGGATGGTCTGAAGGAGGTAAGGCTGAGTGGAGAGAAATAGTCCTGCCAGAGACCCCTCAGTCCAGGGCGGGGGACACAGCTCTAGCGCCCCAGACCTGTGTGAGGAAGAGACACAAGGCTGGGGAGCCCGGTTTGGGGTGAGGGGGGTGGCCTGTTCTGCCCTCTCTCTGGGACAGCCAGACCGGTTCCCACCTCTCCTTGCCCTCTGTCAGCACTGGCATTTTGCCAGCCAGCTCTAGAAACTTCCCGTCCTGAGGGCCCATCACGTGCCACCCCTCCCCATCCCACCAGTGGGGCTTTATCAACTGACTTCTCTCCCATCAGTCAGATGGCTGTCCCTCCAGGGAGGCTTCCAGAACAGGGGGTGGGGACGGCTGTGAGCCGATCCTGACCCTGCGTCCCCCCCGCCGCCTCCCCAGAGCCCCTGGACGTTGACACCACACTCTCCCCCGGAACCCTGGATGCCTTGGCACCCATCTGGCTTCCGCCCAGTGAAGACCCGGCGGCCACCCCACCTGCCCACAGCGTCCCTGTGCCAGCCACAGAGCTGGGTTCCACTGAACTGGTGACCACCAAGACAGCCGGCCCTGAGCTACAGTAGTGACTGAGGAGGGCAGCAGGTGGCCCCCGCCCTCTCTATGGGCCACCAGCCAGACTTGGAGGTTGAATTCAGTTCTTCACCCCGGTGCCCACTGTCCTTTCTGGGAGCCCACCTGCTCCCCAGCTAACCCTGCAGAGCTATAGGCACCCAGACCACAGGGCTTGGACTGCGTGGCATTGTATGGCATGTTAGCATTTGGCTTAAACTCATACTGGGCTGCCCAGGCGGCGCTAGCGGTAAAGAATCTTCCTGCCAATGCAGGAGACATTAAGAGAGGTGGGTTTGATCCCTGGGTTGGGAAGATCCCCTGGAGGAAGAAATGGCAACCCACTCCAGTACTCTTGCCTGGAGAATCCCATGGACAGAGGAGCCTGGCGGGTTACATTCCATGGGGCCGCTAAGACTCGGACATGACTGAGTGAGCACAAACACACAAAATAAATTCATACCACCTCTCGTTGTCCTTAAAGGTCATAGCTGGGTTCTGTGCTTTTTGAGTGGTTGGGAGACTCTGAGTACTGAGTTTTTCTTTAAGCTTGGGGAAACCACCATAAACCAGAATGAATCTAGGAAAGCATTGAGTAGGAGGATGCTTTATTTGTAGCTGGGTTGTATTCAATACTTGCTCTCGGAGCTGTCCCGCTTTTAAACCAATACAAATGGCAGCAGTGAGTAACCAACTGATCCTGACCGGTTTGCTTTGGGATTTAGTGCAAGATGAGTTTAAGAAATAGCCTGAATTGTGCTGGTTCGTGGGTATCTGTATCCTAGGGTCACCCCTGAGCTTGGCCCAATCTGTTAAGATCTGTGATGCTGTTTTCGCCCTGGTGGCAGCTTCCAGAGCCCCAGGCTCACACTTGGGAGGAAGTCTAGAGCCTGTGGGGCTGGACTGCAATTGCACACGATGGCATGTGGACAGCGTGTCCGCATGAGCCCAGCTGGAGTCCGAGCGGCCTCCGGGGCACCCGGAGCTATATCCAGGGCAGGGCCAGGACCAGCAGGAGGCTCCTTACTTAGGAGGCAGAGCAGGCCTGTGGCCTTGAACCAGCTGGACGCGGTGTCCTTTGAGTGCCCTTCACTCTGTGGCCTGTCCTCCCCTAGTCAGGCATCCACCACCCCAGCAGAACTGCTCCTCTGACCATGGTGCCCCCAGCCCTGGGGCCTGGAACCAAGACCCTGGCTCCCAGTTCTAGACCATGCTGTGCATTCAGTCAGCCACTGGCTTTCCTGCCCAACCTCCTGTGATCAGGAGCATTAGATCCTCCTGACCTGGATTCGACCCTGGACTGTATCCTTGGAATTTGTCACAGCTTAGCACCCTTGGAAGGGGCAAGGGACTGGGAAGTCAGAAGATGGTATGCTGAGTACCATGTTGTCCTCCTTGTATGTTCTTGACCATATTCTTTTCTCTTTTTTGGGCCATGCTGCACACCTTGTGGGATCTTAGTTCCCTGACCAGAGATGGAACCCAGGCCCTTGTCAGTGAGAGCTTGGAGTCGTAATCCCTGGACTGCCAGAGGATCCCCACCTTGACCGTGTTCTATTCTATGCATCAGTTGCTCTCTGTCCATCTGTCCCTGACCTGCCCATCAGAGCTGCCCAGTAGACACCTGCACTTCCGGCCCAGCCCTTTCCCAGCTCAGAAGATAGTCAGTGGCCAGCAACGTTTGGTGCCCCCAGAACCCGGACAGCCACTTCTGAGTCTCTTCTCTCCATCCTGAACACATCTCAGATGCCTCCCCCCATCCCCCCGGCCACCAGGTGGCTGAGGTGAGGTCAGGGTAAGGGCTGTAGGCAGGAGGGTCAGGGGCAGGCCCAGAATGGGCCCAACTTTCCATTTCTCTGCATCTCAGAGTTGGGGGAGCCTGAGCTGTTCTCGGCCACCCCCATCCCCTCCCCACCTTTGCTACCACAGCCAGGGGGGTGGGCCTTGGCGGCGACACAAGTGGGCGCAGCCCCCTGGGGCCCAGACATGCAAACCTCTGGCACCGCTGTGTCCCCACTGAACCCCTGGTCCAGTCTGTTTCCTTTTCTGAAAAATGGAGGTGGGGGTTGGGTGCAAAGCTCTCCTCCGGGCCTGTGGCCCTCCAAGGACTGGAAGGAAACCTAGAGCATCCCCACTCCTCACCTCCAGTTCACAGATGAGAACACAGACTGTTTCCTGGAAGGAGAGTTGTTGCTTTAAAAAGGCCTTGACCTTTTTTAGAGCCCTTTTGGTCAAACTGCTTTCCTGAAAATCTGGACCAGTTCTTGTCCCTGAGCAGGGATTATATGACTCATTTTGCAGATAGGAAAGAAGAGGCCCAGAGAGGTCGAGGGATCTGGCCCAAGATACAATCCGCAGTGGTGGAGCTGGGCTAGACCTGGGCACCTGCTGGCCAGAAGGTTCCAGGAGCAGACCAGGGAGCTGCAGACCCCAGGCATTGGTTCCAGGCTTTGCTCTTTATTTTCACCTCGACTCAAAGATTTCCCTCCCCAACTGATCTCTTTCTGCAGTAAGAAGGATCCAAGATAGACTGGGAAAGCTGCTTGTTGGGATCGGAACCCAGGGAAGTAGCCTTCCTCCCCCTAGCCTGTTTCTGGCCAGATTTTCCTGGTGCAAAGTCAGGTGTCCCCAAGGTCCCCAGGGCCCTGCAGGTGGGGGCGGGGCTGGCTGAAGTCTCAGTTCCTCCTGGGGCTTCCTGCAGGCACCTCTCACTTCCTGCCTGACAGCCCTGGCTCCTGGCTCAAGGTGGGGGTGGGGAGGCCCAGCTGGTGAGGCCAGGAGGAGGAACGTGACCCCTAACCTCCCTCTGTCCCGGCAGAGATGGTCCCACACAGCTCTTGCTTTTAGAAGCTGTGGCATCTCTTGGGGCCTGTTTGCCACATGCAAAATGGAACCCGAGGGGCAACCAACTGTCCAAGATTAAAGAGGCCATGTGGCAAGTAGGGGCTCCACCTCATGAATGCCTCTATTGACTTCTTTCTCTGGGATGCAGACACTTTTCTGCCCAGAGCCCCCCAACCCTCAGAAATTCATCCCCACCCCCCCAGCCCATGTGAGTTTCCCAGAGCTGGCCTGAGGCTCTGGTCTCAGGGGTTACCACTCCCATCTCCCTTTGTCATCTGTTTACTGCCCTGTTGATCCCAGTTCCCAGCAGGCCTGCATTGTGCCAGAACCATGCTGGTCAGTGCCAGGAGATCAGCCTCAGACCCCGCCGTTAGGTCCTATTCCAGTGGGAGAGAGAGAGCAGGACACGACCACAGGACAGGGTGATCCCGGCCAGAGCCAGGGAATGCCCCCAGTAGGTGCGGTGGTGGGTGGAGAGGGGTAAGGGGGGCGCGGTAAGGGGGATGCGGGTGTGTGTATGTATGTTAATTCAGCATGTAGAGTGCTTTGGAGAGTAGGAGATATGCCCCGAGGCCTGCAGAGCTGTCTTGCTGGAACATAGCAGACAAAGGGCATTCCTGGCCCAGGAAGCTGTGTGCAAAGGTGCAGAGAAGTCGGGGCAGGGGGAGGGGCTGGAGACTTGGGCTCATGGCTGCTAGGTGCCAGGTGAGGCTGTCAGAACCTTCCCTGTGGCCACTCCCACCTTGTGGCACCCAGGGGCACCCACCTCTGGGAGCACGGCGCTCCATCAGCCCCATCGCTTGGTCTCACCCTTTCTGTCACCTCCAGACCCTATAGACCTCCCCTGGGCACAAAGTGGGAGCCCACTCCCATCTTCTCTGTTGTGGATGACTCAGGCCAAATTCTCTGTTGCGCAGAACCGAAATCTGACCTTTCTCCCCTATCTGCTGGCTCCCCAGCTGTCTGATCCTAAACTGGGGGTGGGGAAGGGGGCTTGCAGGGGGATGGGTGGTAGGAACAACTGCCAAGGGTCACAAGGAGAGTCGAGAAGAAGCCAGGAGGACACAGACATCTGTGTTCTGGCCCGTACTCTTCGGGGGACTCTGCATGGGTTTCCGGGGCCCACCGGGCTTCTTGAGCATCTCTTCACTCCCCTGAGCGCAGAGAATCTGAGGACCAGCCCCGGGCGTCCTACATGGATCCAGGACGGTGCCTGCAACTCCGGCGCAGGTGAAAGTCTATGTCGGCGGCTCCTGCGGTCAGCGAGACCCGGGGCACCTGGACCGCCTGCCTTCGGGCACCGGAAGGCGGGGCTGCGGGACGGAGGGGGTGGGGCCAGGGCTAGAGGCGTGGCGAGGGCGGGGTCAAGGAGGGAGGTGGGACTGAGGAACTCCAAGCCTCGGGGTATCAGGAAGGGGGCGGGGCCAGGAGCTGGTAGAAGGGGTGGGTCCGAGGCCCACCTGCAGGGAAAAAGGCAGGTCTTGTAGGAGCAAGGTACCGAGATAATTGTAGACTCCAAACTCCGGACCGCCGCGCTCACGCGGGGTCCCCGTCCTCAAACGAGGCCCGAGGACCGCGACCCGAGCCGGGAGGGGTCCAAATGCAGGGGCTTGTCCCCGACTTTCGGAAGAGGTGGCCTACCCCGCTCGGTCCCCCTCCTCCGGCTCGGCGCTCCGCGCTCGGAGCTGACCTCGGAGCTCTGTCCTAGGAACCGGCATGCTGGCAGTGTTAGAGAGCACCTGTGCGGGGTGGACGCGCGCTATGGCCTCCGCCGAACACATGTCCTCTCTGGGCCTAAGGTCACGGTGGGCAGCTCCAGACTTGCACCTTCGTTGCGTGCACATGGGTTTGCGAAGGGAAGCTGAGCTCCAGCACCCAGCGCCAGTCCCCACCTCCAAACCCCCCGCTCCCTCGAGACCTCAGGAGCCCGGGCGCGTCCCGTCCCTCCCACAGGCAGCTGGAGCCTGAGTCACGAACTGCCTCTCAGGGACACAAAGCCTCGGGTCCTCCCCTGCAGACCTCCCCCCCAAGGTACATTCTTCAGCATCTGCACTAGCAGGGAATCCATGGTCCCCTGCAATATCTGCATCCTGGGTAACCTTCCACCATAGACGAAATGGGAGCAAGATGGGCTTGGCAATGACTCATCACGGAGGGCACCCACGGTGGAATAACCGTCTTCTTAGCACAGCTGTGGTGGGGGCTCCCAAAAGGCTGCAGACTCCGATGTTTTTCAACCGGAGACCTTGTTGGCCGCTCCCTGCAGCCCTGCGGAAGAACTAGCAGCCCATCTTGCAGATGAGAAAACTGAGGCCCAGAAATGTTGATCAGTCTTATTAGAGCCAGAATTCCAACTCATATTAGTCTGGATCCAAAGTGAAGAATAAATAGGAGTTCTCAGTGTGAGGGGCTGGAAAGGCATTCCAGGGAGAAACAACCTGTGGGAGGGCCCAGGGTTTCATGGAGGAGTTGATGTGCCAGGTGTTAGGCATTGGGGGTACTGCCGGGCCTCTGGGCCGGGGGCCTCCAGCTGCTTTCTCTGTACTGAACTGGTCAGAAGGTAGGTTTGGGGCACACAGTGCAGGTTCCAGGCCAGACTCCGGCCCTTGCAGGCTGTGTGCCAAGTCATTCCCCTTCCTGGGGTCTTGGGTTTCTCTCTAGGAAGGTTGGGCAGACTGGTTACCTACCACCTAGAATCCGGAGGCTGAGGCACAGGCCAGGTTCTTAATGTATATCCCGGATCTCTCCTCTCAGGACCCTGAGCCCTGCCCAGCCAAACCTGGGCACCAGGTGAGGACTCAACAGGGAGGGTTGTGCACAGGCACATTCACACTGCCACACACATACACACATGCCCACGTGCAGTGAAGGCCCTCACAGTCATGCCAGCCCCAGACGTGTACACTCTCACTCATGTTCTCGAGCACACTCAGACACCCACACACTCCAGATTCCAGCTCTCAGAGCTGGGGGCAGGGCAGGTGCCCTTCATGAACGGAGAGTCGGCTCCTCTGCCCGCCGCGTGGGGCTCGCTGCAGATGCCAGGGGTTATTTTAAGCCTGGATCAATGGATGACTTTTGGTGATACAGGCTTGGGGGCGGCGGGCAGTGGAGATGAGGGGCCGGTGCTCTGGTGCCTTGTCATGGAGAGATATCCCAGGGTCCAGGGAGGGCAGCTTGGACAAGGGGGTCCCCCCTTAACTGGACTGCTCCATTTCTAGATCCCCTTGCCCAGCACATGGCTGGGCACCTGGGGGATGGTGTCAGCTGAGTGGACGGTCAGACCCCAGGCTCCGCCGGTCAGCTGTGGTCTCTCTTTGCATTTGCCCTCTCTGGGTCATCCTCCATCCCAAGGCTGAATGTTCACATGGAGAGGGCATTGAGTGCCTGGCACGGACCCAGTAGATGTGGGCATCTATGGTTCCTCGCTGACCCCTAAGCCAGACTGAGATGGGGAGGAAACCATGGGTGTGGGGAGGAGTTGGAGGTTGGACATCAGTCCCTTGAGGCTATGGTAGCGGGGTGCCTGGAATCCAGCTCCTTCATTGGATAAATGGAGACATATATCCTGATTGCAGTCAATTTGGGGTGGAAGCTGAGCAGGGCATCCAATGATGCCAAGAGAGTAGGTGCAGGAGAGGGGCCCAGGGAGGAGCAGAGCATTGGAAGACTTGCTCTGGGTCCAACAGGGTCATGTTACTCAGGAAGAGGTCACAGTCCCGGGGAGCAGTGACAAGCCTCTTGAAATCTAGTGCCCAGCAATAGGGCGGGAAAGAGGGCAGACGCAGTCACCCACCGAGACTCAGTGACCCAGAGGGCTGCTTGGCAGTGTGTGCTGGGGGCATAGATACAAACTAGGCAGTCTGTGCCATGGATTCCATTTCTAGGAATACCAGCTAAGAAAGCAGCAAAGGATGCACCAGAAAACACGAAGTCCTAAAGCAGAATAATATACGGAAGGTTTGACAGCAAAGAGTAAATGAAAAACCAGTTACAAAGCAGTTTGTAAAGCATCAGTTTTCCCTGGTAATGGGACTAAGGCAATTTCATTTTATTCCTTTGTTCATCTATTTCCTTTTTTCTCTAAAATTGTAATAAACCCTTTTAGTAGGGTAGGGTCTTCTGGGCTGGATCCAAAGCATGTTTGTGGGTGGAGGAGAAAGGAACAGTCTGTTTTTGGCCAGGGCATAAGGAATGGGGGAGGGCTTTGTAGGGAGGTCACCCTCCTTCCTGTCTTAGCCCTGAAATTAGCCTGTCAGCCCCTCATCTCATCAACAGAAAACCTGATCCTCCTTTAAATGTAAATCTGTCTCCTTCCTGCCTCCACCTCCTCCATTTTTATAAGCTGATCCCAGTTACTGAGTGAAGACAGGATGCAAGGGGGAGCAGGAAGGACCCAAGGAGCTCAAATTCTTCATCTGAAACTCGAGGCTAGAGTCACTTCATTCATTCAGCAGATGTAGCAGAAGTCTGTACTGCTGGGACACCAGGGAACTGGCCCACTCAGTCGGTGCTCTCATCTAGACAGTGGGAGGCCCCATATTGACCCCTCCCTGCCAGAAGAGACAGTTTCTGATGTTAAAATGAGAAACTGAGGCAGGGAAAAGCAAGGCACCTCAGCTGGGTTGCTCGGATCACATTCTGCAGTTAAAACCAACTTCAAAATCATAACTGAGTAGTGCTTTGAGTAGGTTCCCTCCCGGGCCCTACCCCTACCCCCCAGGCTTGAGAAAGGACCTGAGGGTCCAGTGGGGACCAGGGCGAAGGGTCTGACCAGGGCTCTGCCCCAAGTGGAGTCCCTGCGGCTAAACCAATCTCCTCCCTTTCTCACCTGGAATGGCAGGAGAGATCCAGGGAGCGCCGGACTAGGCCATGTCCATCGCTCATAGGCGTGTGGTCACCGCAGGACTTCAGTCCAGCTTCCAGGAAGTTCTGGGACCCAGGTTCGTGTCCCAGGGTTAACACTGAATCCGAGGCGGCCTGGAGGGAACCTAAACTTGGCCCTCTGCTGCGGCTCTGCTGGAAGTTTCCTTCCCATTTAACAGCCAGAAAATCGAGGCGCGCAGAAGGGAATGGCCCTGCCTCAAGCCACACTTGTGTCTGGATCGGAACTGGCGGAGGGCACGGGGAGGATGGGGTACAACAGCGACCCGCCAGGGCTGCCCGGTTCCTTCAGTCCCCGCACCTGTAAACACAAGCGCTCCCGCGGCGGGCCTAGAGTCCGAAGAAACAGTACCGAGAGCCTTGAGCTGAGTGCCCTGGAGCGCCCGTTTCGAGGACCGCTCGCGGCGGGCCTTCGGGGAGGGTCTCGGTGGGGCGCTCCGCCGGTGCGGGGCCCGCCGCGCCCCCGCCCTCCCGCCGCCGCGGCCGTGCTCCTCCCCCAGCCCTGCCTCTCTCCCGCCTGCCCTCCTTCCCCCGCTCCCTCCCTCCCCCGCCCGCCCGAGCCCGCGCGGAGCCGGAGCCGCAGCCAGAGCGCGGGCAGCGCGGAGCGGGCGGCGGGAAGGCAGTGGTATCCGGCGGCCCGCCGCCCCCGCTAGGCCCGGGACCCGCACACCCGCCGGACGGGACCGCGCGCAGGCGAGGACCCGCCGCCCGGCCCGGGGTGGGGGCAGTCCCAGGGCGCCGACTGGCCGGCTCGGGTCCGAGGTGAGCCTCCGAAGAGTACGCGCCCACCGGAGACGCGGCCCCGCGAGGCCCAGACCGAACCCCGCCCCAGGACCTGGGGTCCTCGCGGGAGGCTGACGACACAGACGGTGTCCTCCAGGAGCCAGCGGCAGGGCGGCGAGGCGGGTGCGATCCCAGCGGGCGCGGACCAGCGGGCCCGGAGCGCGGCGGGACGGAGCCGCGGCGCGCCGTCGGCTCCGGGCACAGCGGCCCCAGCCGGGGGCGACCGCTGCCGCGGCTACTACGACGTGATGGGCCAGTGGGACCCGCCCTTCAACTGCAGCTCGGGCGCCTACAACTTCTGCTGCGGCACGTGCGGCTACCGCTTCTGCTGCCACGACGGGCCGCGGCGCCTGGACCAGAGCCGCTGCTCCAACTACGACACGCCTGCCTGGGTGCAGACTGGCCGGCCGCCCGCGCGCGCCCGCGACGCCGCCGCGCCCCGGGACCCGAGCCGCGAACGCAGCCACACGGCCGTCTACGCGGTGTGCGGCGTCGCCGCGCTGCTGGTGCTAGCGGGCATCGGGGCGCGCCTGGGCCTGGAGAGGGCGCACAGCCCCCGCGCGCGGCGCACCGTGACCAGGTGAGCGCGCGCGGCCCGGGGCCGAGGCCCGGGACCCCCTCCTCACCCCCTGGACGGCCAGCCTGCCGGGTGGGCTCCCCATTGCGATCCGTCGTTCTTCCTGACCCTCTGGGACCTCCGGTCCTCTCAACAGCCCCCTCCTCCAGGTTTTGCCTCCCCGCTTCTGACTGTCTCCAGGTCTGTTTCTCCCCCCATCCCCCCTTCACGGAGGGAGACAGCTGATACCGCGCCGTCTCCCCTTGACCTTCCTGCGGGAGCTGGGTGCTGAGCCGCCTTCCCCCACGGCTCCCGCCTCCTCCGGAGTTGGGGGGAGGGCAGATCGTTCGACAGAGGGCACAAAATCCGTGCTTAGGGGAGGGGGCCTGGGGCCCGAGCCCAACTAGCGCTGGGGTTGGGCGTTGTGCACTGACGTAGCATCGGGCATCTCAGGTCCCCAGGGAAGGGACATTTTCTGTGGCTCCCTTGAATCTCTCCCCTCCTGCTTCCCTTCCCACTCCCCACCCCTCACCCCACCCCCAAAGCTGTGACTCAGGCCTGACCTTATTTCCCTAGTGTTCTTAGAAGACCTCCCCATCTCACCCCACTCAGTGCCCCCTGGCTAGAAGGGGATCCGAATTGGGAGCGGTACAGGTTCATTTTGGCTGCGGTCTGGACAGGTGCTGAGTTCTGAGTTTTGTGTTAAGTGGGGGTCACAGGACCCAGGTTCCCTACCTCAGCTGGGAAAGGGACTCTGGGATTCCGTGTCCCAAACCTGAAACCCTCACCCACACCCCACACCCCAACACACACTCACATGCCCCCAGTCACCCCATGTCCTGGGGCCTGTGCCCTCCTCTCTCACTCATCCAGGCCCGGCTTCCTTGGGTGTGTGGGCTGTGGACACAGTGTGCGACAGGCTGGTACTTAGAAGTGATCGCAGAGAGAGGCCCCTGTGCCTGGGCGGGCTAGGTGTTAATGCCGCCCCGCTCCTAGACTTCCCTCAGAGACAGGAGGGCTTCCTTGGCACTCTGTGGGACCCCTCACCTCCAGACCACACAGCCCACCTGCTGTAAGGCAGCTGTAGGCTGGAACCGGGACTGGAACCCTGGCTTCAGCCCTGTGCCGCGTGCGATGTGGTGCCTCTCACCCTGGGTGCTGGATGCTTCCGGAGCAGGGCCTGGGCCTCCTGAGCTTGGAGCCTCCTGGAGCTGGGTGAGGGGGAGAGGACAGGGCCTGTCCTTGGTCCGAGCGGGGCAGCAGGACCTGGGGGCCATGATGGTGGAGGGGAACAGCTGTGGCAGCCTAGGGACACAGTCACCCGGGACCCACTTTGTCCTCAGGGGACCAGGAAGCAGGTCTAGTGATGCTTTGGGAAGAGCCGGGCCACCCCTGATGTGCTGTGTCACGTGGGCCAGTGCCTTTTTCTGTCTGGGCTTTAGGCTCCTATGTGCCCTGACTCCATTTCTTTTTTGGGGAGACCTGGAGCTTGTGTGTGGGTGTGCTCTGAGCCCCTGCCTTCCTCCCCTCGTCACACACTTAATTCTGCTTTGTTGAGCTTGCTGGTCAGGGAAGGTTTCTCAGACGGCTTGGTGGGGAGTCTGAGTCTGTCTCTGGAGAAAGTTTGTGCAAAGGCTCAGAGGCATGAAAATCGCTCAGGTATTTGGGAGAGCTGGCTGGTGGGTGCTCAGAGGTGAGACCACAGGGGTGAGCAGCCAAGGAGGAGCAGGGCACGCGGACCAGCTCGGGCAGCCGCTAGGAGACCTTCAGCTCCTGCCACATTGCAGCCAACTGCGCCCAGCCCAGGTGTCCCATCTCCATAGGCTTCAGCATGAATCTGTCATTTGAGGCCCCAGCGAGGAGAAAATCATGGGTTCTGGACTCTGAAGGCAGCTGGGCTGAAGGCTGGGTTTGGCTGTCTGTGGGGAAGGCTCAGTCAGATCCCGTCACAGCTGGGTGGGGGCTGGGTGTCCCGGTACCAAGGTCACACAGCCTTTGGTGCCGGGCTGGCACTGCGGGGTCTCCTGGCTCCTCCTTCCCCGCACTGTCCATCCTCCCTGCTTGTGCTGGCAGCTAAGTCCTGGAACACAGCAGAAACCTCTGCGGCAAGAGGGGAGGAAGGCAGGCAGGTGAAAAAAAAAGGCTTCCTGGTAGAGGAAGGATTCTGGTGGGCTTTGAAGAATGAGTAGGAGTTTTCCCAGAGGAGACGGAGAAGGAGTAGCACAAAGTCCAGGAACCAGAGACGCCCAGATGCTTGTGTTGAGAGAGGGGGCGCAACATGAAGGGTCTTGGGGAGTAGACTCCAGAAAGGGGAGGGGGGGAGCCTTTGGAAAATAAAGTGGTCCTGATTACACATGACCACATTAGTTTCCTGACCTGCTCTGAGAGTCGGCTATGTTGGGGTTACAGGGTCATGCCTGGGAGGGGAAACTAGGTGTTTGAGGTTAATCACTGGGGAGAAGGGAGGCCAGAGGGGTTGAAAGAGCTGCCCAGGGCCACACAGTGAGAAGTCATGGCGGGGGCTGCCTCTGATGGGCCAGACCTGGCTGACGGGGAAACAGGCTGCCTGTCACCACTCTCTCCCCACAGGACACTGACAGAACTCCTGAAGCAGCCCGGCCCCCAGGAGCCACTGCCTCCACCTCTGGGCCCACCTCTGGGTAGCTGTGTCCAGGTGCAGATGGGTGATGGCCTTCCCCGGGGCTCCCCCCACAACAGCACAGGTGAGGCGGCTGGTGGACCGGCCTTTGTTGATCCACAGCACAGAGCTGTCTTGTCAGGAGGGCCTGGGAGCAGGGGACCCAGGCGCTGAGGCTGTGCGCCATTTCCCAGATGGAAGTGAGCTTCCCGCCTCTGTGAGGGGACTAGTCAGCTTCTGTGAGGCAACTAGTCAGCTCCTTGTGGTGCACAGCGTCCCTCCCGGGGTCCTGCAACCTCCAGCCTCTAGGACTCTGTGAAGAAGAGTCCAGATTCAGGGATGCCCAGTTCAGACTCTGGCTCTGCCTGGTCCTGGGCTCTGGCTCAGAGCCCTGGGGTCTGACTGGCCTGTGTCTGTGGCCTCTCATGGGCCTTTTTCCAGCTGGTGCCTCCTTCTTGGACTCCTGCTGGTGACACAGGCTTGACAGCACCTCCCCTCCCCCCACTAGGGGTTCCAATCCTCAAACATTCTATTCCTCTCTGGGAGAAGTGATTCTGAGCCCCAGCGCCACGCTCCGATCGAACAAGCTGGCAAGTCATCCGTTAGATGAGCACCCCCTCAGGGCTGGGTGCTATTATTCACGTTTATTCTGAGCCAGGCCCTGTCCGAGGTACTGTAGATTCTGCCGTCAGGAGACAGAGGAGGAATAAGTTCCTAAGTCATCTCACAAGTTATCATTAATTGCCCTTGGGGAGTGGGCTGCAAAGAGGTGCGGGATGTCTTACAGTCAGCGAGCCGAGTCTCATCTCCTCCTTCCAGATAAGAAACGCCCCAACAACGTGCCCCTGGGTTCGGTGACTGCGGGGCCCCCACGCGCACCCCGGCTGCAGGGCGGCGGCAACTTGACGCTGCAGCCCGACTTCGCCAAGTACGCCACCCTCAAGGCAGCCGCGCTCAAGGCCGCAGGTGAGAGGCCGGGTTTGTGCGGGGAGCGCCGGGCCCACTGCACCCGCGGAGGTGCAAGCGTCTGGATTGCATAGTTCGGCGTCCCAGTTCTAAAGTTCCCGGCGCTCCAGCCAGCGACCGCATCGCCCCCTCGCCGATCGGTTGCCGCGCCGCCGCAGCACCGCACCCCTCTCTGATCAGGCCGCGGGTCTGGGGCGGGAGCGTAGCCTGAGTGGATCTGAGCCGGGAGGCGCTGAGGCCCCGCCCCCGGGGACCTGGTCACGCCCCTAGTCCTGACCCCGCCCCTGGGCCCTGGCCACGCCCCGAGGTCTAGGTCGGCCCCGACCCCGACTCAAGGCTCTCTGGACCCGCAGAGGCCTCCGCGCCAGACTTCTACCAGCGTTTTCCCGCCACGGAACCCGCCCCGCTGACCCTCCCGGTGCGAGCCCGGAGGCCTCCCGAGGACTTGCCTGAGCTGCTCGACGCCTGCCCCTGGGCCCCCCCGGGCTACGCGCCCCCTGCCGGCTCCACCCCATCGGGCCACTACAAGGCCTGGACCGCCGGCCGCCCCGTCCGGGCAGCTACCCGCGGCCACCTGGCGGTTCATGCTTCCCCCGCGCCGCGACGGCCGGGCCACGCGCCCCGGAGCCAGTTCAGCGTGGAGAAGCTGCCCGAGGCCTTCAGCCCGCAGGCCCCTGGCCTTTACGGCAGCGCGGTCCGCGGACCCCGGCACCTGAGCACCAACAGCAAAGCTGAGGTCACCGTGTGAAGAAGGGGCTGCCGATTCTCTCGGAGGCGTTGCAGCGCCGGGAGCCCTCTTCTGCCTGGGAGACTTGCCACGGGCCTGATCGGGTGGGCCCAGTCCGTAGAAGGAAGGGTGCCAGCCTTGAAGTCCAGCCCTTCTGCCTGCCCAGACTGAACCAGGAGAAGCCTTGGAGTCTTGCAGGGCTGAGGTCCACTGGGTAAGGCCAGTGGTTCTGTCCTGGGGGCTCCTTGTGTAAGTAAACCCTTTTCTGTGACTCCCATCCCTGAGAATAAAGGGGCCCCAGCTTGGCTCTGAGAGGCACTGATGGTGGAGGTGTTGGTCATTGACTGGACAGACGGCAGTGCCAGCAGAGGGCACAGCATGTGCAAGGGCAGAGGACTGAGAGCTGGTGGGCAAGCGCTCTGGGAGCTGGGGAGCAGTAGCTGGTGAGGGTGGTCAGGGCTGAAAGCCAGCTGGAATGTCCACACCAGGAGCCGCCATGGGAGAGGGGGCAGCTAGGCCCCAGCCATCTTGGAGGTTGGCACAGGAGAGAGAGCTGGTGGGCCCCCGAGGGTCCATGCCCCTGGACGGAGGAGAGCCCCTCCAGCCAGTCACCTGCTTGACTTTGCTGAGCCTGGCTGATCCTCACTGACATTGTCTGGCCCTGGGCCGGCCCCTGGGCTGCAGGCCACTTGGCCAGCTTGGCCCAGGGCCACCCCCCTGATGGGCGTGGGCAGTGGGCCGGGAGACAGCTGGTACTCAGGATGGGGGAGCCTGCTCCCAGTGGCTGTTCTGGGGGAAACGGGGATAGGGCTGCTGGACCCAGAGCCTTGGCAGTGCCCCCACCAGGGTGCTTGCCCCCCCTCAGGCTTGGCACTGCCAGCTCTCCCCCCTTTTCTTGGCTGTGGCCCAGGGCACTGCCAACACCCTGCGTGCATTAAGTTCCTCTGTGCCAGGCACTAGTGGAAGGTTGAGGGCTGGGTTATGCCCCTCACTGGATATCTTAGGCATGGTGTACTGTTTTAATAACAATGGCTGCCATTTGCTATTTCTTCTATTTAATCCTCACTAAAGCCCCATGAGCATGTGGCTGGACAGATGAGGAAACTGAGGTCCTGAGACCTCAGTACCATGCCAAGGTCACCCAACTGACGGCAGTTTAGGACTCTTCCGTATTCTGCCGGCACGTGGATCTGGTGGTGGAATGGCAGTGTGTGTTGGCAGAGGCGCCCCATGCTCCCAGCCAGTCTCCGGCCTTCCTCCTGCTGGCTGGGCTGCCCTGAGGCCCCCAAACCCTCCAGCTCTTCACCTGTAGGAGGGTCCACCTTGCCCTTTCTTACATTCTCTTGAGAAAACCAAAGCCCAGAAGCGCCAGGTCAGAACAGAGCCCAGGGTCCATGGTTACGCCTGCAGTGGGGACCCCCATGGCTCACAGGGAAGGTGGCTCTCACACCCTCAACCCAGGGCGGGGGTGGGGTGCCCCCAAGAGGATCCTGCAGCTGTATGGAGCTGGGGGAGGGGGGTGGGTGCTGAGTCACGGATCCCGTAGAGACTCACAAGAGGATTGGGTTCCTGGGCACACATCAGCCACCCACAGCCACCCACCCTGGTGACACAGGCCCTGGAGACTCTGGGCTGGGAGGTGGGCATGCCCTCGTTGCTTGTTCAGTCCCAAGGGGCCCTGGATCTCCATCCTAGGAGGCCAGGCCTCCACTGGAAATGCTACTCTAGTAACTGTGGACAAGGACCAACTACAGCAGCCCCCCCCACCCCTCACCCCCACAGGCTGTTCTGGCCTTTGGGACAGTGGCCTTCTGTATGTCCTTCAGAGAAGGGAGTGGCTTAGATGGCTCAAGGGCCCTGGCCCATTTCTCAGCCAGGGGCTGGGTTATGGACCACGCACTTCGGCCCCCAGACTCATCCCCATGGGCCTTGCTGACCCGCCTGCCCACACAGCCCCTGCACTCCTTGCGGCCTGGCCCCTCCCCAGCCCTCCCTACAAACTGGTACTTCATGTGCGCCACAGGCAGGGGTTGGCTGTCTGCACACAGGCTCATGAGGCTGAAGGGACGCCCCCCGACCCCTGCCACCCGCACTTCCAAGGGGACCTGGCTGGGAAGCACAGGAGCTGGACTCAGATGTGACCTGCAAGCCACATCTCAGAAGCTCTCTGCCTCCAAGGAGATGGGGAAACCCAACTGAGGAGAGGCTTCTCAGGGGTGAACCCAGGAGGGCTTAGCACCCCAAATCCCAAAGAACTGCTGCCGTCTGCTAAGCTGCCAGCACTGTGTCCTGCATTCGGTGACCTCTGACCCCAGCAACACCACCACCAACACCCCTTTTCGCCCAGGTCTGTCCCAGTCCTGCAGTGTGAGCCAGAGAGCTGGCGCTGGGAGGACGGGGCCAGGAGCATGGGCAGGCAAGGAAGGTCTGTCAGCCCAAAGCCCCTGGGACCTCTTGGCAAAGGGGGAGAGACGACCCCTGGTTCCGGACCCACTGGAGGCCGAGCCATGCAGCCGCCTGGCCGGTCACCCCAGCAGTCACGCCACAGACCCCACACGCTTCACGCCGGGTGGTACCAATCTGTTTATTCAATAACCTACATCCAGGACACAGTGAATGATTCCATATCAAGGAAGCCACAGGCATCGCCCACTTTTCAGTGAAAAACCCACCCCCTCCCCCCCTGAAACCATCATGAGAAAAGGCACGATATATACACATGACACAAAGGCTGGCTCACCCAGGGGGCAGGGGCCATAAATTAAGGTGGGGGCAGAAGAGAAAAATTGGGTGAGGTCCGAGCTCGTGGGTGAAGCCTGCTCTCGGCATGAGGGGAGCCCTTGCTGTATGTACCCTCAGTCTGTGCTGGGGCCCCTGCCCACTTTCTGCCCCAACCAGCCCAAGGGGGTGAGAGGCACAGGGAGGGAGGAGGGCAGCCCCTCTTGGCCTCCCCGCAGGCCCCGGGTGCCAGGCAGCCCTCAGGCCCCAGGAGAAATGGCCTCAGGTAGATGCCAAGCCTGGGCATCCGGAAAAGTGGGGCCACTCTTCCTCACAGGACCCCCCCTCAAGGAAGGGGGCTTTGATCCTAGTACCCACCGTGGGCAACACTGTGCCCATCTCAAAAAGGGGCTTGTCTGGGGACGGGTTGGGGTCTGGTCCCCGCCAGCCTGGCTTATGTTCAGGTCAAGAATTAGGGATAAAAATAGACCGTGGAGGTAGGAGTTGGGGTGGGAGGGAGCCCAAGAGAGCGGAGAACCCACACTGAAGGCTCCTGGTCCTCAGTCCTGGTGGGTGACTTTCTCTCTCCCAGCCCCCCTGGGGGCATACCCTGAGACTGGGCTGACATCCCAGGGAGTGGGAAGGAACAGGACAATTAAGTAAGACCATTTATTTTTTAAAAAAATTAAAAAATAATGCCAACACAATTTCACCCATCCCCAAGCCTGCCCCCTGCCTCCCACCCACCTCCCCAGGGCTGGGCTTGCTCCTCCCCTGGCTGTCCTGTGTAATGAGGAGAAAACAATGAACTCGCTTTGTCAGATACAGGGAGGGGACGCGGACTCAGGGAGAGAAATAAAGATGCCACAGCAACTCAGCCTTGCATCACGGCAACTCCAAGCACACAGATATAAAAACATTCATATAAAAGGGGGGCGTACTGGGCACAGTGCCACGGGTGGAGCGCATGGTGCCCAGAGACCTATGTCCCGCAGAGGGAAAGCCTGATAAAAAAAAAAAAAAACAAGGAAGCAGGAAAAGGGAGTGGGGAGATTTTCAGAAGAAAGAAGAGTCCTGGGAGGGCTAGAGGTGGGACTGGGCAGCCTGGGAGCTCCCCCTGCCACTTTCAAGTCAGGGAACCCCCATTTCCTGCCTGCCCTATCTTTCCCTGCTCTGGCCCACTGGGGCCTGGGCTGGGGGCCTCTCTCCGCAGCAGCTCCCAGGGGCCCACTAGCCAGAGGTGGTCCAGAAGCCTCGGCAGGTGACCACTCCAAAGCCAAGGTTTGTCCCTCAGCTCCCACAGGGAAGGGGAGAGAGACACAAGAGACAGAGGATGAGGCAGAGACTGAGAGACAAAGAGGGAGAGACAGAGGGAGGAGGGAGAGACTCAGAGACAGAGGAGAGAGAGAGAGAGAGGGAGGAGGGAGAGAGACAGAGGGAGGAAGGAGAGACAGAGGAGGGAGAGACTGAGAGAGCAGGAGGGGGAGAGAGGGAGGAGGGGGAGAGAGAGAGAGGGAGGAGGGAGAGACTCAGAGACAGAGGAGACTCAGAGACAGAAGGAGCTGGAGAGTGACCAAGGGAGGCGGTAGCCGAGGTGGGCAGAGCCCCGTGGTCAGGAGGCGGCAATGGCGGTGCCGCCTCCCAGCTTGACAATCATCTGCTGGCAGTCGTTGCATGAGCGCCGGTCGCCCACCTTCTCCAGGGTGCGGGCAGCCTCGGCCAGCAGCACGGCCCGCTGGCCCGGGGAGGACAAGAAGGAGAGGGGGAGGTGGCGGCAGGCTAGGAGGATGGCAGTGGCCCGCTCTCGCTGCCCGGGCCAGGCGTCCGCCTCTCCTGTGGGAACCAGGAGACACACATACCTGCTGAGAGCCCGCTACAACGCGGTGCTGTCCCCAGGGCTCGGTGAGAACTTGTGTATCTAAGTCCCCCACCCCCAGGCAGGGGAGGTTCAGCTCAACAGACAGATGAGCTGGCCCTGGCGGGCGCCACACACATTACTCTATCATCCTGTGATGGGGCTGAGATGGGGCCCAGCTCCCACGCTGGGACAACACCCCCACCATCCCCTTCTCACTCTGGAGAGGCTGGACCCACAACAACCTGACCAAGGCCAGTCCAGCCCCACAACGCCTCTCGGAGCCGCCCTGGCTCCCCACCAAATCAAGCCTCGGGTGCTCACCGTGCTTGGCGTTCTGAGCCGTGCGCCGGCGCAGACTGTGCTCCAGCAGCCGGTGGGTGCGGGTAGGGCTGGCTCCGGCCATCAGGCGCACGGTGGCTTCATGCAGGAACACCTGGCGGGCCCAGGGACACAAGCCCGGCGTCCTCACCTGTCTGTGTCCTTGGGGGCATCCCTCCCTGCAGCATCACATCTGCCCCCTGACCACACCCCTTCTCCTCTTCACGATACCCTGCCCTGCTCACCCTTTGAAAACAACCTCTCCCGTCCTCACTCTGACCCCGGACACACGCCTGGCAGGAAAGGGGAACAGCACAGGCCAGCTGGTGGGGCTGGAGCGAGAGCGCACACCGAGAGGGAGGCTAAGGGCCACCTCTGCGGACGGTGACGGAGAGCACCGATGTGCGCTCCGGGGTGTGAGGACAAGTAGGCGGGGTGGACCCTCACGATGCTGGAGGCTGCCTCCAGCCTGAAAACAGGACAGAGGAGAGGCAGGGGAACAGCTCGAGGCGGCTTGGGGCCCTGTGTCCTTTGGTTTCTTCAGAAACGATCTCTTCTTCAGAGTTCAGAAGGTCTCCAGGAGGAAGACCTGCGGCTCTTCTGTCAACAGGAGTCACCGACGAGGACGGGGAGGGCAGAAGGGGTCTCCCTAGGTCTCTAGTTTCTTTTACACCCCAACACCTCAGGGTGTGAGGAGGGTGGTGCTGCCCTGGAAGGCCAGGGTGGAGGCGGGGAAGGGAGAGGCAGGTTTTCTGAGGAGGCCTGTGGGGAGGCCGCCGCCCCTGGGTGCACTTCCTCTTTTCCACCGTGAAGGGGGTGGTTCTCACATGACTATTTCGTCTGCAGTGTCTGTCCTGGCTCGCTGCACACAGGGGGCACGGTGCAACCCCATGAGGGTCCCAGAGCACTTGAGGGTGAGGGCAGCTGTACCCCAAACCCTTCTTTTTTGCACGTTTTCAAATACAGCCCTTCCCCACCCCTAACACTGGCCTTCTCACTTGAATTTTTGGAAAACAATTCAGGGAAAATATGTTGAGTTGTATTACTCCTGATTAGCAATAAAGGTAAACATGGGAACAATTTGAGTCCACTAAGTGGGTTATACAACTGCCCTCATTGCCAAGGGGATGTTACGTGGTGAGTTCTCAAGCACAGAACTAAAGCCCCAGTGGCCCAGAAAAAGCATTAAACACATTTCTAGGGGATCCTGACACCCACCACGCTCCCTCGTGGCCGTCCCACCCCTCCTCACACAGACTAGGGGCCCCTTCTCGCTCCCTCGTGTTAACTGGTAAGGCGAGCTCTCTGCTGGCCTGTCTGTGCCATGTGGACTGCTCACTGCCACGCTCCAGGGTTGGGCACACATAGCACGAGCCAAAGGGATGAACGGCACCCAGCCCAGGACCTGACATGTCAGCCGAATCCACGACCCCACGCCAGAGCTGGGCTGGGTTCTGGCGCTTCGATCCACCCTCCCTGGCAGCAGGCTGGGCCTTACCTTGCGGTAGGCCGGGCGGAAGCTGTGTGCCAGCCTGCGCAGGCTGCCCAGGTCCCGCTGGAAGCCAGCCAGCTCGGCGCCTGATGCATGGTAGGTCTCCCCCAGGGCCTGGCTGGCTCCGGCCTGCTTCTGCCACAGCGCTGTCCGCAGCGACAGGAGCAGGTCACAGGTCAGCAGCTGGACCACCTGCGGGGTGGGCCATGAGGAAGGAGAAGGTGACTGGCTGGTCATCAGGGCAAGGGTCCCTGCACCCACCAGGTCTTCCCCAACCAGACACCTGGCAGCTCTGGGATGAAAGGGGAGCCCCAGAAAATCAGGGAGCAAGAGAACCGCCAGGATGTGAGCTTCAGTTCATGTCATCTAGTTCCTCCCATGGCCCCTGTAGGGAGATCTGCTCTTCTATCGAGCGGGTGAGGAAGCCGAGGCTCAGAAAGGGGCAGCGCCTCATGGAGGAGACAGTGGGGAGGGCAGGAATAAAACCGGGGTGGTTCTGACATGAAGTCGCCGGCCTCTCCCACCTCTGGGAGCCCCTCCCACCTCCGGGAGCCCCTCCCACCTCCGGGAGCCCATGGGTAGTCTAGAGGCCCTGTCCTTGCAGGGCAATCAGACAGAGCCTGGAGATGGAGGAGCAGGGATCAGAGGCTCGCTTCCACAGATGGGGCCCAGGTCTGGTCCTAGTGGCCTCTGTGGTGGGCGGGGGAGACAGGAACCCAAGAAGGCAGACCTGCAGAGAAGCTCAATGCTGGGGTTTGGATCTACTGGTCTAGTCTTTCACGGATTCCTGTCCATAGCTACGTGGCCCTGACACATGACCTCACCTCTGAGCCTGTTTCCCCACCCACAAAATGGGGACCACACAGGGCTGCAGGGTCACAAAGGAGAGTCACAAAGGAGCACTGGCCTCAGCCCAAGCTGGCGTGGCCCAGCTCACCCTCAGTGCCAGGGAAAGTGATTCTCAAGGTGGCTCATGTGCCGCCCTCAGGCGCCGATGGACCCCTCCAGGCCGTTCCCATCTCATCCAGCCTGGCGTCCCCTTCTCCAGGGTGCTGCCCCACACCCCCCACCCCTGACCCTGCCTCACACCTGTATGTTGCCTGACCCTCGGCTACAGTGGTTTTTTGGCTGCTGACAGCACTGGTGGACAACATGGATGAGACCCTTCTCCTCGACCAAAGGTAGCATTTCTGAGAGGTGAGGTAGCAGCCTGGGGCTGAATTCTGCCCTCTGAGGGACGCTAGCCTCTGTGGGGGCCCCTTCTTCCAGGCGCACTTTCCCACACAGGTGTCTGCAGCCTCTCTCTCCTCCTCACACTCATCTGCATCTCCATGAAGACAAACACTACTGGGCCCAGCAGAGGAACCACCCAGAGCGAGCCTCGGGCCCTGTGGGCGCACCTGTCCTGCAGGGCTGGCATGTCATCTCGGGTTCACCGCGGGGTCCAGGTCCAGGGACGACCTCAGCCAAAGGTGCCAGACCAACCCTAGTGAGGGCCTCGGAGTCCGACCCTCAGGACACACCTCCGGCCTCCCTTTCCGGAGTGAACCAGGCTCCTCCTGGTGAGCAGACGACGCCTCCCCTCCCCTGCCCCGGACCCCGGACAGCCCTGCCTCGTGCCCCAGCAGTGACACAGTCCCTCTAACAAGGCACGGGGGAGTCTCTCGAGGGCCGGGCAGGCCTCTGTGATGCACTGTGGAAACATTGCACGGGTACCACCAGAACATGCAATGCAACTACAATGCACCACAGCCGCCCGCTCCAGGGTGTGCACGCGAGGGGTGGGGGCCGGAGCAGATGCGTGCCCTGGCCAGCTGAGGGCCACCTGGGGCTGACCGAGCTGAGGGGCCGCAGGACCCGGGACCCAGATGGGAACATGCTGGTCCCAAGTACTGAAAGGAAAACCCCGGGACCACCGGGCCAGGCTCTGGGGGAGGGGCTGCTACCTGGCCTGCCTTTCGCGCAGCCCCACAGGCCGGGTGGGCTCACGGCAGGTCAGAGTGCTCTCTCCCAGCAGAGATGAGCACCATCCCCGGGGCCAGATACGCCCCCACTCACATGGTTGAGGTCGGGGTCACAGGTGGCCCCACTGACGTTGAGGCTGCTCCACAAGTGGCCACTGGCCCTCTCGCAGTGGCAGAAGGAACTCTGCTGCCCATCTGCCTTCCCGGAGAGCGAGGCGTGCATGGCTCTGCAGGTGTGGAAGATGGCCTTCACCAGGGGGCTCCTGGGTGGTGACAGAGGTGAGAGGCAAGAGGTCAGCACACATCACCTGGGCAGAATGAAGGCTGGGAGCCCAAGCCAGTCACTGCCATCCCCACATTGTTGTGACATGTGGGTCTGCTGGACCAAAGGCCGCCATAATGGTTCTAGGTCCCAGCTCCAGACTGGAAATGCCGGCCCTAAGTGAGGGAGGCTCCCTGGCCCTAAGCATCTTCTTCACTCCAGAAATGTGCACACTCCTAGTGAGGGAGTCGGATGATCAACACATTAGATACTGACTGTGTAAAGCCAGGCGCTGCGAGGGCCATGAAGGAAAGTCACCTAGAGCCAGGGCATGGAATTTTATAAAGGATGATCAAGGACGTTCTCACGGAAAAGGTGACACTGGTGCAAAAGGAACCCGAGGGAAGCAGGCGTGTGGATTTCTAGGGAGGAGGGTTCTGGAAAGAGGCAAGGCAGGTGCAAAGGCCCTGAGTGTCTGACACATGTGAGAGCATCCAGGCGGGAGCATGGCTGCAGGAGGAAGTGAGGGGAGTGGAGGAGAGCAGGCGCTGAACGAGGCTCTTCTCAGCCTCTGACCCAGCTCCAGGCTCCAGGGAACCGGAGCTCATCTCTGCTCCCTTCCTCACTCCTCACCTCTGCTGACGCGGCTGCCTTTGCCTGGAATACCCATTCCCCACTTGTTCCCAAGACCTGTTTCACCCGCTGGCCCTCTGGTCCGCCTTCTCCTGCCCGGCCCCCTGCAAGCCTCCTCTTGCTGCCCCCTGACTCAGGCCCCCTGCTCCCCCGACACCGGCTGTCGGTTTGTGAGCCTCCTGCCCTCAACAGGAGCTGTGTGAACTCCTGCAGACTGACCTGCCTCTGGCCCAGAACGCCTTCCCATGATGGGCTGCCTGCTTCCTGGGAGCCGAGACTGGCCCCCGGCACAGGCCACAGCTCCCAGAGTGGAGAGCTGAGTGGGGCGGGCCACTATCTATTTGCTCATGGCCATAACTCACTGTCTCATTCACTGTGGCCTCCCAGAACCTAGAACTCAACCGACACCAAGTACGCCCTCAGCTAAGCACTTGTTGAGTGGATGATGGAATCGTGGAGGGGTGCAGGAGACCCCCAAATGTGGCATGTGACCAAGGGGAAGGGATCAGAGACCCCGGCCCCACCACCAGCAGTCACCCAAGATGGTCACTTAAATAATCTGTGCCTCAGGGGGAAGATGGTACATGTCTGTGTCCCTCTGCTGTTCACCTGAAACTATCATAACATTGTTAATCTGCTATACTCCAACACAAGATAAAAAGTTAAAAAAAAAAGTAGAAGAGCACTAAGTTAAAAAACAAAAACAAACAAACAAAAAAAAAAAACAATCCGTGCGTCAGTTTACTCATCTCTACAGAGCCACAGTACCACTCGCCGCTCCCTGTGGGGACATATGATATCGGCCCTGTTATCTGCACCCACTCGCTAAGGTGCACAGGCCGCGTGCTAAACTCTGGAGAAACAGCCTCATTTCATGGAGCAGATCAAGGAGAGAGTGGGGAGGCTGGGGTGGGGGGGCATCCCACAGCATCACCACAACCAAAGAGCAAAGGGGCCCCAGGGTGGCTGAATTTGGGGGGGAGGGAATGCCTGCAGGGGTTTTAGCTGCACCCCAGGGCCTGTTCTTAGAAGTGAGATGACTTTAGACGGTTTCCTGCTGGGCCTCAGTCTGCTTGGGTGCGTCAGCTGGAAGACAACACACCCTGGGTAGGCGTTCACTGGTCAGAGTTTAAAAGGGGGTTACTTAAATGAAATTGGGAGTGGTGAAGCTGCCTAAACCTGCTTTCCTCGGCTCCCTCCTGCTCTCCCGGGTAAGTGCCCGCTTGGCGGGAAATGCGACAGCCTTGGCTCTAAGGAAAGCCCCAGTGAGGCCTTCCTGCCTTGGGCCATTTCACAATTTCTTCAAGCGGCAGAAGATGTCAGGGACACTCAGATCCAGTCAGAAGCAGCCAGGGTGTTGGCAGGCTGCCTGCCACTACAGGCCAAATGCCCCCAAGAGGCAGGCGTGAGTCCCCAAGAGGAATGTCAAAAGCTCTCTGGTGATGCCTTGTGCTAAAGGCCTTTTTAGTGATATGGCTGGTGGGTGGAGGGTGGTCAAGAGGAAATGGGACTCAGTGCTGGCATATGAGAGGATCCCCGGGCCTCAGAAGCCAGCGCTGGCCTGCCGGGCTCCACCAGGACCTTCTGTAGTAGAAGGAGCCACCAGCTCTCCCTGCCCATCAGCCCATGTGAGGAGCCCTGGGAGCATGGGGAAAGACAGATAGACAGAAAGACACACACACACACCTCGCCACGTCTGAAGACACACACACACACCTCGCCACGTCTGAAGACACACACACACACCTCGCCACGTCTGGAGACACACACACACACCCCTCGCCATGTCTGGAGACACACACACACCTCACCACGTCTGAAGACACAGACACAGACAGACAGACAGACACACACACACACACACACCTCGCCACGTCTGGAGACACACACACACCTCGCCACGTCTGAAGACACAGACACAGACACACACACACACCTCGCCACGTCTGGAGACACACACACAGACACACACACACACACCTCGCCATGTCTGGAGACACAGACACACACACCTCACCACGTCTGGAGACAGACACAGACACACACACACACACCTCGCCATGTCTGGAGACACAGACACAGACACACACACACACATACCTCACCATGTCTGGAGACACACACACACACACACACATACCTCGCCATGTTTGGAGACACACACACACACTCACACACCTCGCCACATCTGGAGACACAGACACACACACAGACACACACACACACCGCCATGTCTGGAGTCTCCGCGGCGCCCTTGCCCCCTCGCTTCATCTCTCCATCTGTCATGCTGTCCCCAGGCTGCCTGACCTTTCACGCTGATGGCCACACAGACCCGCTCCCTGCCCCCACTAACCCAGGGAGCCTGGCACCGCTGGCACCGGGGGCTCCCCTGGAGAGAAGCGGGCAAGAGGTCAAGGAGGGCTACGCACTCTGTCACTTCCAGGGCCTGGGGGACTCGCTCCACTTCAGTAAAGTGAGCGCGCACAGCGGCGTCATCTCCCTGGAGCCAGCTGACGGCCATGGTGATGGCGGATGTCCACCACCGACAGACGACGTCTGGGCCTAGAGGCAAATAGAACCAAACACCGCTCGAGCACTGCAGAAACTACAGCCCCCGTTCCTGTCGCCCCCTCCCGACGACAGGCTGGGGCCTGTGGGCTGCCCTCTCACACCCACCAGCCCCATCTCAGAACATGTTTGGCAATCTGCCTTAACAGCCTTAAAAATGTTCATTCCTATTAACCTAGGAATCTCATTTTTGAAAATCCATCACAAAGAAATGAGCCTAAATGGAGAAAAAAAAGACATTCACTGTGGTGTTATTTTTTAAGGAAGAAACTGGAAACAACCCAAACTTCCAACAGTTGTGAAAAACAGTGTTTCCAGAATATGTATAGTAACGATGCGGGTAAAATCTTTCTAGTGTTTTCCTCTCTCAGGCCTAGTTTCTCAGTGAACCTGCACATGAAATGCCTAAGAGCGCACTGTTTTCTCAACTTGGAAATGAGACACGCCATGAGGTCAGAGGTTGTGATGGGGAGGCTGCTTCCCTGGGATCCTGCCCTCCGTGGGGAGAGCCGTCAGAGGGAGCTCCACGCTCTCTCCTGCAGCCTCAGCCACACAAGAGGCGGCAGCTCTCGTGTTGTCATCTGAATGGCAGTTTAGAGACGGAAGCAAAGAATGTCCTGCTGCCAGTTCAGTCAGCAGTTGTGTGGCCACCCGAGGCAGTGGGTGCCGGAGCAGTACGGACACCGGATGAAAGGCCTCTCTGGCAGAGAGTGTCGGACCCAAGAGCAGCCCCAGGGACCACTGTGTACTGAAAGGTGAGTCCCCCCATCAGCCCCCGGGCCTGGACCACTTGCTGCCCATTCCGAGCATCTGGGAGCATTCCTGACCTGTCCTGGCCAGCCAGGGCCCAGGCAGCATCACAGACTCACTCATCGTCCCACTTCTAGTAGCATCGTGATTTCCTGTCCCCAAAACACAGCCCAGCGAGGGGAACTGTGGATGGGGGTGATGTGGGGACTGCAGATACACACCTCAGAGCCAGGGAAGGTTCTTGAATGGCAGACTCATAACTAACCCTGGACCCCCCAGACACAAGGGCTGTGAAGAACTAAATCAAGCAACCTGAGGCCCGTGGAGCTGCCTGCAAGGTGCTTACCAAGGGCCGACTTGAGCACGGAGCTGCTGGAGAAGGGGGGGGTCACAATCCCCACGGAGTCCACAAAAGAGTTAAGTAATTTCAGGTACTCGAGAGCACTGGAGAATTCACTGCAAAGAAAAGAAAGGGTCCCACGCACATCAGAATGTATACAAGGACCTCACTCATGGCCTGGCTGGTCAGCCCCTAGCTCTGAGACCCACAGGGCCAGGCACACCCCGAACACTGCCCCACCAACCACTCCGGCTCACCCCAGGCTACCCTGACATTGTTTCTGACACTGCAGGAAGAGCAAGGTTTCTCTTTCATCCCTTGCCTTTCAAGACCCAATTCAACCATGGTCTCTGCCCAGAAGTTTTCTGATCCCCCAGGCAGGAGATCACCTCTCTGCCCAGGTGGACTCTCGTCAGGACCTGGGCCTTGAATGAGAGTGATGCTGGCACCTGTCTGCCTCTCAGGTCTGACTCTGTGAAGGAGACTGTGCTCGGTGACTCCATAAGAATAAGATACCACCTGACCTCTCAGTACAAGTCTGGGTCCCCAAGATGTTTGGGCCAGAGGTGTCTGCCTTCTGCTGAGCTTCCCATGCTTCATTCTACAGGCCACCCTCCCCCTGCCAAAGGGCAAAGCAAAAAAAATCAAATCCCCAACCTGCTCCAAAAACTGACTCCACTCAGTGAAGAGACAGGTAGAAAGGAGAAAAGGGGGAAGTGATATACTTGGTGGGGCAGCAAGAAGCAAAGAAGCCAGCTCTGAGCCCACAGAGGGCTCTCATGGGGCTGCCAGGCTTGAGACATCAACATCAAAGAGTCACTGGATTTCCCTGCAGTGGCCACACTGGGGCTCGTTTCCTTAAGGGAGGTGGATCTCAGAGCTCCATCTGTGCTACCCAGGGGGGTAGCCTGAGGCAGGGGCGGGGTGGGGGGGTGCATATCCAAGGTCCGTACCAGCTCTCCTCTTCCTGGTCTGCAGCTTTCTTCTTGGCCTGAGGTTTTACCAAGGACTCTACAGCTCGCTCTAGCAGGTTCTTACAGAAGGCCTGGTGCACCTGGGCGATGGGGTCGGCTAAGAGAGGAGAAAGCCAGGAGAGGGGTGAGTGGGGCTCACGTATGAGCTCAGTTTGTCCTACAGAGAAAACAGAGTGTGGGGGAGGGACCCACTGAATGGGGCCAAACCTCCCCAACCAAACCCCAGAACTGCTTGCTGAACAGTCAGAAGCGGGGGGGTGGGCAGGGGGAGGGTGGTCAAGTCCAAGACTACATGAGTCCTGGACTGGCTCCAGCTGGGGGCAGGAGGGGTGCTGTGTCTCCTGGCACAAGAGTCAGTCCTTTCATTCAAGGCTGGGAGCAGTAAGGTGGTGGCCACGACCCTCGTCAGCAAACAGAAACCGGGAAGATGGACAGCCACCCCAAGTCTCAGAGGCCACCCCTTCTCCCACGGCTCAGGAGCACGGCCACCGAGGCCCCTACCTGACAGGCTGAGGAAGAGCCAGCTCCCGCTTACAGCTTTCACACAAGACCTGTGGCCAGAAGTTGTCTGGCCAAGCTGATTAAACAAGAGGCCTGGCAATGCTTGGCAATGACAGCTGCCTGTCACCAAGTCCCCCGACTGGCAGGCCCCAAACAGGGTGTCACCAGGCCCTTCCCCTCATGCATACACCACAGACGTGTGGGTTTCAACTTGACAAGGACGGGGAGGCAGGACACTTGGGAATATATTCTGGGTGACAAGGCCTAGAACCAGAGCCACCAGAGGCGTGAGGGCCAGGGGCAGCCTCCGCTGCGGACACAGCAGCCTGGCCATGCATCCGAGACTGATGATGGCTTCTGCTTTTGCCCTTCCTCTCTGGGGTCGTGCGTCATTTTTACTTTGAACAACAGAATTACTGAGAAGAAACGACAGTGGACCCTGCCTTCTTCACAAGATGCTTGACACATACCCCTGAACCTGCCGACCACGTCTGACTCCCCACACTCCCAGTTCAGAGAGAGGGAAAGTGCAGGCAGCACAAAGCCGCTGGCTGCTCAAGCCTGGGGCAACCTGACCGGCCTCTCCCGCCCGCTCCGAGGCTGGGCTAGTCGACTCTGATCACTGTCAGAAACCGAGGGCCAGCCAGCCAGCCTCTTCCCCTGCCGCCCGGAGCGCTGTCTCTGCCACCACCCTGAGCACTTGACAACCGTCTGTCGCCTGTTGTTCCCTAACTGCTCCGTCTATGTCTGTCTGTTTTCTGCGGGGGAGCGGGAGACCAGGGCCAGTGAGCAGCTCCTCCACACCCGCTGAGTCTCCACAGCGCCCGGCACAAGGGCAAGATTCCGGCTGGCGCTCAGTCACCCTTGGAGATGTGTGGCGGGGTGACTGATGTCAGGATCAAAGGCTGAGTGGCCCAGTGGCGAGCTGCAAACCCAGCTTCGCTGGCGACCAGGCTCACAGCCTCCTGAGTGTAAGGAACTCACGGCCGAGGCACCCTGTGTCTCCACATGTCTGGGGGCAGCACCGGGGGCCCCCCGGGGCCAAGGCATTCTCACCTGGGTTCCTCTGTGCACAGTACAGACTCTCCTTGGCAGCCGACTTCACTGACCAGCTCCGTTCCATGAAAAACTTCTGGCCCAGGGGATGGCAGAGCCAGCGCAGCGAGTCGGGGACGGCGCTGCGCTCGGGGCCACACAGGCTTTGGGCGCGGCTGAGGAAGTAGCTCTGTGGAAGGACAAGGACCACTGTGACACTGGGCTGGTGGACACCAGCTGCGGCCAGCCAGAGGCCATCAGAAAGTGCCACCGCGGTGGAGGCAGGCTAGGGAAGGGTGGCCAGCAGGAGGGCTGGGACCCTTCATGCCTGCAAGTAGACACCCCCACAGAAACCAGGGCGACGGCTCCAGGGGAACCTGCCAGGCTCAATGACAAACCCCAGAGGGAAGGGGTTAGGGGCTCAAGGCACCCTTGGGGACTCGGCTGTACCCTGTCCTGCTGGGTCTGCCCAACCCGACCTGAATCTTGTTCTTGGCCGTGCTGGCATCCAACCTGCTGAGCTGAGCCAGGCTCTCCCAGGCCCCCCTGCCCCCCCACAGCACGCCCGCCCTCAACCCTGTCCAACCCTGCATTCCAGCCAGGCGGCCCCCTGGGTCCTGAGACTTTTTCTCATCTACCATTTTAATTACATATCTTCAGAGTATTTTTAGGTAAAACTGTGTTCTGCTTTGACTCATTTTCATCTCTTTCACCTCCAAGTGTGAAGAGTTTAGAACAGGCACCCGGCAAGTGGCCGGCGACTGTCATTTACGGTCGCTATCAGTCTAGGAAGCACCAGAGTGAGAGGGCCGCCCTGAGGCTTGTCCAGGACACAAGCAGGCCTGCGTGATGCCCCTCCCTCAAGGCTGGTCCGGCAAGGGCTTTGTCCACCCTCCAGAGAACCCCCTAGGGTCCTCCCTGGTGGTCCAGTGGTTAAGAAGCCGCCTTACAGTGCAGGTGGACGTGGGTTTGATCCCTGTTTGGGGAACTAAGATCCCATATTCTGTGCAGCAACTGAGCTCATGTGCTGCCAACTACTGAGCCTGCACGCTGCAACTAGAGAGTCCACGTGCAGTGATGAAGATCCTATGTGCCACAACTGAGACCCAACACAGCCAAGCACATAAATGAATGAATATTGAAAAAAAAGAGAGAGAGACCCCCCCCCCCCCACTGCCATCCCTGGGTGAGCCCTTGATGAGAACATTGGTCTCGTGAGGAAAAGACTCTGAAAGCCTCTTTACTAGAGAGCTCCTGCTTCCGAAGCCCCTCTTCTGCCCATAAGATAACATCACTCCAGTGCCCAGGGATAAACCTGCAGGGACAATGATGTCCATCCATGTTTTCAGAAATTGTGTCATTTTTTTTGACTGCAAGGAGATCCAACCAGTCAATCCTAAAGGAAATCACCCCTAAATATTCACTGGAAGGACTGATGCTGAAGCTCCAATACTTTGGCCACCTGTTGTGAAGAGCTGACTCACTGGAAAAGACCTTGATGCTGGGAAAGGCTGAGGGCAAAAGGAGAAGGGGGACAGCAGAAGATAAGATAGTTAGCACTGCTGATTCAATGGACATGAATTTGAGCAAATCCCGGTAGACAGTGGAGGACAGAGGAGCCTGGCATGCTACAGTCCACGGGGTCACAAAGAGTTGGATACAACATAGTGAGTGAACAACAACAAATCTTTATTCTAAAACCCACTAAAACCACTTGATAGAGTACAATCTGAATGAGAAACTCAGCAGAGAAAGATGGAGGGGAGAGAGAAGAGCACAGTGCAGGGAGCCTAGAGGAGGAGCGGCTGCTGGGCTGGGCCTCACCCGTCACACGGCAGCCTTGCCTTCACAACCCAGGAGGCTGCTTCCTCTGCTGGTTCAGCCTGACAGTTCTGACCTTTACTGGGCTCTGAGCACCATCAGCTAACGTGACGGTCTCAGAAGATTTGAATGCCAGGGTCAGAAATAGCCCTGCCAAAGTGCCACTCAAAGGACATGGACCAAGGAGGCTGGCTCTCTCAGGGGAACCTGGAGATGGTTACCTGAAACCAAAAGAAAAGGATGCGTGGTACAGTCCAGAAGAAAAGAGAAAAACAAAAACATAAGATCCCACATGCTGTGCTGTGTGGCAAAAAAAACAAAACAACAGTGGTAACAAAAAACTGCTCACTGCTTGTTAGGCACACACAATGTTTTCGGGGAGGTGGGGCACTCACTGGGGGACCATCTCCCCCATCCTCAGCTGCTACACACATGCCTTCCTCAAACGGACAAATCCCTCTCACAGAGCAGCTGCATCTTAGCAACAAGGACAATCAAAACCCCGCTGGGATTTCCGGGCTGATGGAAATGATCCTAAAATGTTTACGGGAAGGTAAACAGCAGACACTAGTCACTAGAGCCGGAGGACCAACACTTTCAGATGTATTAGATATATGGTCACCAGGGTTGTGTGATATTGGTGGTGCACAACAGAACTGACCGGAGGGTCCAGAAGCAGAGTCCTCACACGCAGACATTTAATTTATGCAAAAGGGGCCACTGAGCGCAGCGGTGAGCAGCCAGTCATTTTAACAACAGATTGTGAGACAGGGAGACAGACATGTGAAAAAGAAAGTAGATAGCATCTCTGCCTCCAACTCATAGAAAAACCAGTTCCAAGTGGATTATGGACCCATGTGTGACATTTAAAACTAACGGGTCTATCAGACACCTAGTAGAGTATTTTCATGACACTGAGGTAGGATAAAGGAATATTAAAGAGGACATGATATATCTGTTAAGGAAAAGAACAGACTAGATTTCATGAACATTAAGAACTTGTGCTTATGAGAGAACAAGCAAGCTACAGAGTGGGAGGAGACACACGCAAAGCACACCTCCAACAGAGGATCCGAGCAGAGAGCTCCTCGAACCAACAGAAAGACGGACATCACAAATGAAAAACAGGTAGAAGACTTGAACAGGGTGTTCACAATGGAGACCATACAGATGGCCCATGAAAGGGGCTCACAGCGTTAACCACCTGGGAGCTGTGAATGAAAACTATGAGATACCACCAGAAGGACTAGAAACACAAAACTATCCTGTGTCTGCTGAGGGTACAGAACTGAAGCTCTCTACACTGCTGGTGAAGTGAAAACTGGTTCATCCACTTTGGAAAACCACCAGGCTGTGGATACTGAAGCTGAGCATATGAAAACCTCTGAGCTAGCAGCGCCAGACCAGAGATGCAGGCACACGCCCACTGAGAGGAACAGGAATGGTCACAGCAGCACTATTCACAGTAACCAAAACAGGAGACAGCCCCCAAGTCCACTGGAAGTGTTCAGTCATACAGTGGACTCCCATGGCAGTGACGAGAACGGGCAATCTGTAACCACACAACATAAATGAACCTCACACATGGCACTGAGCGGAAGAGGACAGACAGCTACAGGACACACGTGTGGCTCTCCTCATATGAAGTTTACAGACGCAAAACATCTGAGGTCATCAAGATGGCGGTTACCTGGCTGGGGGGCTTGGGGTGGGGAGTGGCAGTTTGCTGATGGCAAGGGCCCCAAGAAAGGCTTCTGGGGTCTGGGTCATGTTCTGTTTCCAGATCTGTCTGTTGGTTATAAGGGTGTGTTCATTTTGTGAAGTCACTGACCTGTGTATTTATAATTTGCATCCTTTTCTACAGGCATATTGTACTTTAATAAAAAGCTTCCAGGAACAACAAACAGCAGGGAGGTTAAACTACAGTGAGGGAATCCAGAACGACGGTCACCTCTGGGGCAGGCAGCATGGGTGAAGGCCTCTGGGGGTGGCAGGAACACACAACTTCTTGATCTGGGTGGCTGTTAAGTGGATAAGTTCACTGTGTGAAAATGTATCAAGTTGCTAAGTTAAAATGGACACATTTTTCTGTGTGTATGTTGTATTTTGATTATGCCTTCAAAACTTCTTGAGGGGCAGAGAAGTGACAAATGTGCTGAAGCTGTCCAAGGCACTAGGACGGCTCCCAGCCCAGAGAGGCCTTGACTTCCTCTAAGACAGGGTCGGGAGCTCAGCATGCTCTCCAGGCAGCCATCCAGACCCCACCTCATCTTGCTGACCCAAAGACCTGGGCCTGATCTGGGTTCCTGTCCAACTGTGAGCACCCCTGGCAGGGCGAGAGTCCTGCTTGCCACTGCACGTCCTCCCCGGGGAGTGCCTGGCCTCAGCAACCTTTGCTGAATGAACAGGTCTTGGAAACACGGTCTTCCTCTCCCGTGTCCTCTGTCACCCAGATTATGGTGACACACTTCAAGCACATCAGTGTCAGCACAGGGTACATTCCTGCTCATTCTTAGCGCATCAGTGCTATTAAAAGATATGGACATGGATGGGGGGATAAGATCATTCTATGCTGAACACAGCTGATGTGCTAGGCAGCCAACCCAAAGCCGACACTGAATAAGACATGCTTGTGTCTGCTAGAGGAAGAGAAAGCCTGAGGTCAGCAGAGGCTGTGAACGAGTTGGCAACACAGTCTGTGATTTATCCAGTTGAGAGTGCCCGAGGCTGGCCCTGTGCCAGGCACACTGGAGGAAACCATGGTCTCCACCCGGAGTCTGACGCAAGCCCCTCACAAGACATACAGTGTTTTCCACTTCTAGACCCACAGAGCTGTGATCAACACAAGGTACCAAACAGAATGCTTCTCAGTTAATAACAGAATCAGGAGACAGGACCAGCAGATTCTAAGCAGAAGAGTCACATATTAGCCTCTTGAATACAAGGTCACTCTTATCACTGAAGCAACACTCAGGGCACTAGAATGCCTCGTTCCACTTAAAATGGCTCGGGGGTGGGGGGGGGAATTCTTGTCTATTTTATTTACTGCCAAGTATCTGTGGAATGACCCACTGAGTGTACATCTACCCCTGAAGGTGGCCAGCAACTGAGGGCAGGGCCCACACCAAGTTTTACATCTTGGCTCCTGGCTGGGAAGGGCTTGCCTGGTGGCTCAGACAGTAAAGAATCGGCCTGCAATGCAGGAGATGCAGGACCAATCCCTGGGTCAGGAAGATCCCCTGAAGAAGAGAGTGGCAACCCACTCCAGAAGTCTTGCCTGAAGAATTTCAGGGACAGAGGAGCCTGGAGGGTTACTGTCCATGGGGTCGCAAAGAATTGGACATGACTGAGCAACTTTCACTCACTCACTCACTTGGCTGGGAAGGGTGCTCTGAGAAGGTCCAAGGGAGGGAAATGAAGGACACTCACCGCCAGGAAGCCCAGCTTGCCTCCACACCTGGTCTTGAGCCCCATGGCAGCGGTCAGGTGGATCTCCACCAGTGTGCTCGGCGGGATCTTCTCCTCGGCACATTCAGCCAGGTTCACCGCACACAAGGCCATGTGTACGTCAGAACAGGCAGATCCCACGGGAAGCTTGCCTATGGCGGCAGAAACGGGATGATGATGTTGACAGAGGCCCTCAACCCATGCTTTCTCCTGCCTCCTCCAGCACCATCAGAACAAGGACAGAACCATGGCAAGGAAGCTGGTGGACTCTGTGATCAGGCAGCCCTGGATGGGGCGCCAGCCCTGCGACCCAGTAGCTCTGTGCTCCCTTCTACCTCACAGGTGGTTGAGGACAAGAGAAAGCACAGGTCAAACGCCTGGCCCGCGGCCCCAGCCCTGGGTAACAGAAGTGGTCAGGACTGCGGGTGAGTGGACAGGATCCTGGGGGGCTGGATGCAGCATTTTCCCAAACAGTGTCAACAGCATGGCCGTGTTCCGCTAATACAGTCCCACGTTTCCAAATGGTGCAAGAAAGGTTAAAAAAGTAAAAGCTGAATCTGAATTTATCTTGCTTCAGTAAGATCCCAGTCTATAAACACACACCCTTTTGAGGGAAGGAAGTTACACAAAACTGAGCCATGACGGCTGGACACATCTTGGCAGGGAGGTGGAAAGCCAGGAGATGCTTACTGCACTCTCCCGTGAGAGCCATACGGCTCACCCGCGGTGACCCTGAGGTTGGGACCAGACCCCAGGACACTGTCAAGGCTCTGAGGCTCTCATACTGACACCTGCCTTGGTCCTCACTACAGCAAGGGAAGGTGGCCAGCACAAGCAGTTGCCTTGTTTTTTTTTTGGGGGCGGGGAGCAGGTTGACCCTTGTGGGGGTGGCCAGCCAGGCCTCCCAACACCACCCAACCTCTCTGGTCTCATATCAGGCCCCAGAATTCATTTGGCACAGACATTTAGGTACTGTGGTCTTCCCAGGAGGAACCACCAACTGGGCTTTCTCCTTTGCGGGGAAGGCAGTGTGGGGACCATGTAGTCTCTCGGTCACTCTGTCCTCTCGGGGCCCTGCTCGGGGCCAGGCCTGCCGAGTGCTGGGTTGAGTGTGGGGGATGAGCGGTGTGAAATATCCCAGCTGGAATTCTCCTCAACAGATGCAGCTTCCGGATCAGAGACCTGGATGGAGCCTGTTCCATCCCCAGGGGCTCAGGATGGACAGGGAAGCAGGGAAGGTCTGCACATGGGGCCCCACTGTGAGAGCTCTACAAGGCCACAGGTGTTCCAGCCCCACGGCTGCCCCAGTGTCTCACCTCCATCCCCCTGGGGCCTGGGAGCGCCCCACCCCCGGGTGAAGCTCCCCCAGCCACCAGGCTGCTTATGGCCTTCCTGTCACTGCACCCACGGCTGCTCTCTGCCCTCGTCTTACCCACATCCCAGCAGCAACCTCGCTTCTTGAACCCTTTCCTCCCCACACACCAAGCCTCTCGGCCTCTCCTGCCTGATCACCTCTTAGGTCAGCCTCTGCCCCACTCCCTGTCCTTTCTGTGTGGGTCTCCTCCCACATGCCCTGGAGGGGCCCTTTCATCACAAGCCCTCTCATCAGCACCCATGGCTTTCATCTTCACCCGCAAACCAGAGACCTAGCTCCTTTCCGTGGATGGCAGATCTGGTGCGGCCCCCAACCACTGAAGAGCCCTCCTCAGTGTCTCGTGGGCAAGGGTCCCGAGATGGATGTCTCACCTCCTCCAGAGAAAGCTGTGTGTCTCCTGTTCTCCCCACCTTTATTGGTGGCAACATGATTCACCCCAACTCTCAAGCAAGAAACCAGGGAAGCCCCTTACCCTTCCCAGGCAATGAGTCCCCAAGGCCTGTCAACCCCACCTGCTCCTTCCTCTCTGTGTGTCCTCTCAGCACCTGCACCGGCTCCCACAACGCCTCCCAAAGATAGCCTCTTCATTGGAGCGAATCTTCTCGGCTTCAGAGCACAGGCCTGACAATGCTGTTGCCCCCACTGCGCTGGCTCCTGTCACCCTCCCCTCACACAGCGGAGCCTCTCCTTGGGAACACATCCCCCGGCCCGGAAGGCATATCCCCTCTGCAGAGCTGGTGAGCTCCAACGCCTCCTTCCATGCAAAGCCAAGATTTGACATGAAGCCTTCCAGGGCCCTACCTAACAGGGACCCCTCCCCTCCCAGCTGAAACCCAACTCTCCTGTGACCCCTAAACCACACTGAACTGTAATCCACCTGCTGACCAATCTGCTTCTCTATTACAGCAGGACTTCATGGAATGAAATAAAGGATCATGTTTCACTGATTCTAAGACGCCATCAATTTTAAGTTTCTCCATTAACTTAAGCACCACCAAGGAGAAAGCACTGCCAACTCAACCATGACACTCAATGTGTAAAGGACAGAGCCTGGTGCAGAGATGTTAAAGTGAAAAAAACACGTGTCTTATAATGATGAAAGACTTCCCTGGTGGCTCAGATGGTAAAAAATTTGCCTGCAATGCGGGAGATCAGGGTTCGATCCCACAGTTGGGAAGATCCCCTGGAGGAGGGTATGGCAACTCACTCCAGTATTCTTGCCTGCAGAATCCCATGGACAGAGGAGCCTGGTGGGCTACAGTCCATGGGGTCGCTAAGAGTCAGACACGACTGAGTGACTAAGCACGCACAATGATGAACTGCAATCTTCACAGCCATGGCCGTGGGTGGAAGGTTGGTCTAACCATCCTCAACAAGTGTTGTAAAGAGGACTTTGTTCATCTGGGGCAGAAAACTGCCAAACTGAGCCCAGGTGGGGCAATGGCGCAGGGCACTGGGAGGCAGGCCAGGCCGCGGCTGCCAGCCCTCACCTGTGATGTGCAGCTGGTGCAGCCTGTGGTAGGCCAGGGCTGCGTCCCGGGCGCTGGTCTTCGCTTCCTCCTCGAAGCCCGCAGCAGTGGCTGGGGCAGCCCGCCGGTGCTGGAAGACCTTCTTGAGCAGCCAGCGCACCAGGCGCAGCTTCTGCAGGCTGTAGCGGATCACGTTCCAGGAGAGGCTACAGGCCAGGTCCAGGCGGGAGGTGGGCAGGGCCCGGCCCAGCACCGACAGGCAGGTCTGCAGATTGGCCGCAGCCGCCGCAAAGTCCCCCTGGCAGGAAGTGAGAAGGTGTAATGTTCGCCGGCCTTGGGGCAGCCGTTTAGTTTAGCTTTAGTGAAAACTCTTACTTTCTCTTCAGACCCCCAGGTTATCAGAGTAATGCATGCTTAGTGAAGAAAAATCTGGGAAACTCAGAAAGCTACAGAAAAGTACAAAGAAATCACCTGGAATCTTATCCCCTAGAATGACTGCTCCCATTCTGATATACTTCCTCCCAGCCTTTTTGCTAAATTGGGATTGTACCGCATTCTATCTTTAAGCAAATATTCTATGCAGAATTTCCCACAGTACCTTTCATACATAAGATGATAACATGGATGGAGACGATGAACCATGTGATCTTTTAGGCTTTTCGGTTCTCAAAGTGTGGTCTCCAGAGACCAGGAGCATCATCAGTCCCTGGGATCTTGTTAGAAATGTGAATTCCTGGTTTTCCATCCCATCCCTTACCCGCTACCGACTCAGAACCTCTGGGGTGGGCCCTCAGGGTGGTCCTGATGACCCTGAAGTTTGAGAACCACAGTTTAAGACAAATATGCAGTCAAATTACTCTGACCGAGGATCTGAACATGTCTCTGCCAATCTGAGAGGGCCTAGTGGATAGTCTACTGCCCTGTATTGAAGACCCTGTCTGTGTTTTTCTCATTCCTGGAGGCCACACTTGGGAAACTGGGGTCAACACTCTTCTTTCCCATCATGCAATGGGTATGACACCTGAACCTTCCCTCCTGTACCTTTGAGAAGAGAGGACCCTAAAGAAGAGGGACAGAGGATGCCCACGCTCTGAGCATGACAGTCTCTGAGCTGGTGCGCAGACTCACCCGGGCAAGGTCCAGGTCTGCCTGCTTCCGGTGCCTCCAGAAGGTGACTGAGGAGCGCGAGTGCGGCCGGATCACTGGCTCCCCGTGAACCAGCAGCTTCACAAAGACGCTCAGTACGATCACACCGTTCACCAGCCACAGGAGGAGCGTCGGCATCATCCAGTCGAGCCAGCCCCTGGAGCCTAAGGAGGAGCGGCTCAGCTGAGCCCAGAAGGGAGGGCCCCCCCACGGAGGGCAGCCCTGGGGGAACTACGGGGCACCTGACCCACCGCTCGGGGTGACAGGAAGCAGCCTCCTCCCTCAAGTTTGGAACAAATGTGATTGTTTCATTTAGTAACAATGTCTAAGTGCCTAGGGCACGAATAAATACATGCAATTAATCCACGCCTAGAAAATCTGGGACAATTCCACAGCCTCAATAGGAGCCCTGGAGCCCTTGTCACCGTGGGGCAGGATGCCACACAAATCTTTGTTGGCCAAGGCAGGGCTCGGCAGCTGGTTTAAAGACTCTGGCAGTAGACCACATCCTCCTCCAAACAGGCATACCTCCAAAACCCCAATTACAGCCAAGCAGGGTCCTGATTTGTTTTGCTATTTCTGACTGAACTTAGGTTTGCCCTGTTACTTGTGCATGCAACTGATGCCAGTTGCTATCAGAAGCAAGCAGGCAGAGGCCCCCTTTGAAAGCCTTTTGGGACCTGGTGACAAGCCGAGCGGGTTGCGGGCAGGGCCTTCTCCTGCCACAGCAGCCCACTCGTGCACAGGTGGCAGGAGGCGCCCTCCACCTACCTGACTCAAGCGACAGCATGCTGCGGCCAGGGCCTGAGTGCGGGTGCTGGTCTGCCTCGTGGGCCCCTCCCCACTGCAGCAGAGCGGTCAGGGGGTTAAAGGAGAGGCAGAGGAAGGTGAGGACACACAGCAGGATGCGAGAGCGGTCCACCATGCCCAGCGAGACGGGAGGAGAGTCTGGCTCATCTTTGACCTTCAAAACAGGGGGCGGCGAGGTGAGAAGGAAGACTTGTGTGGGTTTTTATAGCATTTTACTTTATATATATCGGAATCGGGACTCTGAGATTTCAATTCAAGACCATGAAGCTGGATGGGAATAGACTCAGGCTGGAACTAAGAGGTTCATGCCTCTCCCACTGCTGCTCAGGCACGGGGAGCCTTTGCCCCCTTGCCACCTGGGAGAAGAACACGTTCTACATACCGGAGCACCACAGTGCTCCGACACAAAAGAGAACACCCTGAGGGATTCTGCTTCTGTGTAATTCCACAACAGGCAAGCTGATCTAAAGCAACCAAAGGCAACATCAGAAGTTAAATCTGAGCCTGGAGAGACATGGGTGAACTTCCTGCAAAGGTGTACGTTCACAGGAGATAAATATGTTCTGTATCATTTTTTTTAAACTATAAAGGACTTATTCATTTATTATTATTTTTTAATTAAAGTATAACTGACCTACAAATACTATGTTGGCTCCAGGTGCACAACACAGAGCCTGGATTATTTTCATACATGACACTATCTCTACAATAAATCTAGCTGCCATCTGTCACCAGACAAAATTATCACAACATTACTGACTATTTTCCCCATGTTGTAAAGCTCCTCCCTCTGACTCATTTATTTTTTATCTGAAAGTCTGTATCTCTAAGTCTCCTCCTCTTCCAAAACCCTCCACTCTGGCAATTACCCATTTGTTAAGCATCTGCTTCTGTTTTGCCCTTTTTTTTTTTTTTAAGATTCCACATACAAGTGAAATTATGTGTGGTTAGCTTTCTCTGTCTGACTCATTTCACTTAGCATAATAGCCTCTAGGATCATATGGGTTGTCACAAAATTTCATTCTTTTTTATGGCTTTTTCTTCAGAAAAACAGCCAGAAGAGGAACTGCTGAATTGGATGGTAGTTCTCTTTTAAACTTTTTGAGGAACCTCCATATTACTTTCCATAGTGGCTGCACCAACTACATTCCCACAACAGCTGGGTGAGGGTTCCCTTTTCTCCATATCCTCGCCAACACTTGTCATTCTCTGTCTGACTGATTTCACTTTAGTATAATACCCTCTAGGTCCATCCACAGTGTCACAAATGGTAAGATTTTATTCTTTTTAATGGCTAATATTTCATTGCATATATACCACATCTTCTTTACCCAACCATCTATTTATAGGCACTTAGGTGGCTTTCATAACTTAACTATTGTGAATAAGGCTGCAATAAACACAAGGGTACATATATCTTTTCAAATTGGTATTTCTGTTTTCTTCAGAAAATACCCAGAAGGGGAACTGCTAAATTGGGTGGTAGTTCTACTTTAAACCTTTTTTTAAGGAACCTCCCTCCATACTGCTTTCCATGGTGTGTGTGTTAGTCACTCAGTGGTGTCCAACTCTTTTCGGGCCCATGGCTTGTAGCCCACCAGGCTCCTCTGTCCATGGGATTCTCCAAGCAAGAACACTGGAGTGGGTTGCCATTTCCTTCTCCAGGGATGAACCCGGGTCTCCCACACTGCAGGCAGATTCTTCACTGTCTGAGCCACCACGGAAGCTTTCCATAGTGGCTGCACCAGTTTACATTCCCACCAACACACTAGGGTTCTCTTCTCCACATTCTCACCAACACTTATTTGTTGTCTTTTTGGTAATAGCCATTCTGACAGATGCGAGGTGGTACCTCACTGTGGTTCTGATTTGCATTTTCCTGGTGATTACTGATGCTGAACACCTTTTCATGTGCCTGTTGGCCATTTGTATGTCTTCTCTGGAAAAATGTTCATGTCCTAGGTTTATTCTTAAATTGTTTATTCTTCTGATTTTGAGTCCTATAAGTTCTTTGCATATTTTGGATATTAACTCCTCATCAGACAAATACCATCTTCCATTCAGTAGGTGGCCCTTTTATCTTGCTGATATTTTCTTTTGCTGGAAAAGCTTTTTAGTTTGCTGTAGTCCCATTTGTTTACTTTTGCTTTTGTTTCCCTTGCCTGAGGAGACATACTCAAAAAAACCTTGCTGAGATGAGTAACAAAGAGCATACTGCGTGTTTTCTTCTAGGAGTTTTATGGTTTCAGGTCTTACATTTAAGTCCTTAATCTGTTCTGAGTTTATTTTTGTAGATGGTGTGAGAAAGTAGTACATCTGATTCTCTTGCATGGAGCTGTCCTGTTTTCCCAGCGGCACTTACTAATGAAGCTGTCATTTCCCCCCTTTATATATCCTTGCTTCCTTTGTCACGGATTGACTGAACACCTAAGTAGGTTTATTTCTGGGCTTTTTATTCTGCTCCATGGATCTAAGTGTCTGTTTTGTGCCAATATCATAGTGTTTTGATTACTGAAATCAGGGAACCTGCTACCTCCAGCTCTACTGTTCTTTCTCAAGCCTGTTTTGGCTACTTGGGGTCCTGTGTGTTGCCATATAAATTTTAGGATTCTTTTTCCTAGTTCTGTGAAAAATGTCATTGGTATTTTGATAGTGATTGCACTGAATCTGCAGACCGTCCTGAGGAGTATGGTCATTTTAGCAGTATGAATTCTTCCAGTCCACGAGCACGGTATATCGTTCCGTCTGTGTCCATCACCATTATAGGTTTCTTTCATCAGTGTCTTACAGTTTTTTTTAGTAAAGGTCTTTTAGCTACTTACTCAGATTTATTCCTAGATACGTTATTCTTTTCGATGCAACTGCAAATGAGATCGTTTTCTTAATTTCTCTTTCTGGTACTTTGTTAGTACAGAAATTCAACCAATTTCTGTATATTAATTTTATATCCTGCAATCTTGCTAAACTTATTAATCTAGTAGTTTTTTGGTGGCATCTTTAGAATTTTCATAGTATCATGTCATCTGCAAACAGTGACAGTTTTACTTCTTCCTTTTCAATTTGGATTCCTTTTAATTTCTTTTTTAGGATTTCCAATTCTATGTTGAATAAAGTGGCAAGAGCGGGCATCTTTGTCTTTTTTTTTTTGGCCATGCAGTGCTGCTTATGGTATCTTAGTTCATCGACCAGTGACCAAACCTGGGCCACTGGCAGTGAAAGCGTCGAGTCCTAGTTACTGGACCACCAGGGAATTCCTCTGGGCATTCTTGTCTTCCACTTGATCTTAGAAAAAATACTTTCAGTTCTTTCCTCTATATCATGATTATTGTGAGTTACATAAGTGTATATATTTATGAAAGCACATATTGTACAATACAGTAAAACAGGTGTATTTTATCACATATAACTTATACCTCCAAGTTGATTAAAGACCATACTTTAGTATGAATCTATTTTCAGAAGCTTACCTATTCTAAACCCACAACATTGTTTTCTCCCCATTTTACAGAAGAACTGGAGGCAGACGCTCTGCCGGCCTGGGGAACCAGACTAGAGTCGGATCTCCCCTGACTCCCACTGTATTACATACCACGTCATTCCTCTTCAATATTTTTAAGCCACTTGAAAATTTCTTCTGACGATTCAGACACTTATCCAATTTAAGGTATATGTCATATGGATTTGTGTTTCCAAACAGAACCACACTTATAAAATATTTCAAAAATACAGCTTCCTTAATAAAATTAAGCAGATGCTGCACTGCAATAAATAGTCTGATCAACAACTTATGGTAGAAGGAAACTTTGTGCTTTTGAAGCCAGAAACTGCCAGTGTCAAAATACAGTACAAAACCCAGTGGTCTCCACAGGGTCCTAGGAAAATCATTAGGCTTAATTCTCTTCTAACTAACTCCATTAAACAACAATTGCCAGGGGCTTTCTTCCACAATTAAAGGCCCTTGGTAGGAATGTTATCTGTTAAGGCTGCAAATTGTAATCATCTCCTGAAGAGGACCCAGAGGCAGCTTCATCCTAACCCAACTGATCAACCTCACAAAGCGGTCTTGCCAGGCTCATTACAAGCAAGGAAAGCAATGAGGCGCCTCCAGCAACTCCTAGGTCCGCGTGACAGCTGCTGTGTGTCCCCATTCTGGATTCAGCCTTTATTCCTCTCTGATGGGCCCATTCAGCAAAGACCAATAAAATCAGGGGCTGTCTCCCCACACAGAGTCAGTCTTCTTTTTCTTTAGTTTTCAGCATGTGCCTAATTTCACAGAATTCTTGCTCCTCTCCAGCCCGAGGCCTCTGAACACCTGGCCTGGACCTCTGTCTGCAATCTCCCCACTATTAACTTACAGGAGATGGGAGAGATTCCCAGAGTCAGGGGATTTCAAAAGCTCATTACCTTTGCATCATCCAATAGAGGGCTTCCTGGCTCTGAGTCGATGGAGTAGGGGGAGAAGCCGGCCTGGGACCCTGAGTCGGAGGCCGGAGGTGACATCAGAAGGACATTCTGATTAAAGTCATCGATCTTCAGGTCCACGTCATTGTCCACCAGGCTGCCCAGGTTGATGCCCTTGAGGAGCTCTGTAAAGAAAACGCTACCTGGCAAACGGTCCATTTTACAACACTTGACCTGGGCCAGGGCGGGGCTAGGAGGGACACACAGCCCCTGCTCCTACTTCACCCATGAAGCACACACACCCATGGACCCTCCCCAGTGCCCAACACAGGACTTCTGCTATAAGGAGCACACTCACTGTTCTTCTGATTTGCCAGTTTCAGCACCATGTTCTCCTGGCGCAGTTTATGATTGACCTGCTGCAAGTATTTGATGTAGTCGATGGCCTTCCTCAGAACGCCAGACTTGTGCATCTGGGAAGGAAGACGGGTGAGAAACACAGGAGCATCAGACCAGCCTGCACAGTGAAGGCAGCAGAGGCCCAGAGCTCAGGCTCTGGAGTGGGAGGTCCTTGCTGGGTTCAGACCCTGATTCTTCCACTAACTAGCTGTGCAACCCAGGGTAAGTTACTCAACATCTCTGAACCTCACTTTTCCTCCTCTGTGAAATAGGGATAATGACAGTATATGAGTCATAGGCTTGCCATGAGGGTTAAAAGAGATAATATGTATAAAGGGCTTAGTCTCTGGCCTGGCACATAGTAGCATTAAATATTAGCTGTTATTCCTACTTCCTATAATAATCCTTGCACCAAAACAAACTTTAAGGAAAATAAACAACAAACAAAAAACCAGAGCACTGTTGGATGGTTATCTTAAATAAAAGTATATCAGTACCTTTCAGATTTGTAAGCTACCAAGAAAACTGTATTTTCTTTGTAAATAGAGGTAAAGATAAACAGATAATAGATTTTAAAATCTACATGCCAAAGCCAAAAGATACATTAATTGAAACACCAGAAGTACATGAAAAATCAATTTCCTCTTATTTGTTCTTGGTCAAAGACCCAATCTACATTTTATCTCCTCCCTAAAAGGTTAAAATATTGCTAGTCATCCCTGAATATGATTAAACACTTGCCAAAACTGCCATCAGCTGACTAAGAGGTGCACGCGGTCCTGTGCTTGGCCATCAGTGAGCAGCAGGAGCTTGTGGCGTGGTGGTGGTGCTTGTGGGGGGCAGTGAGTAGCCACCACTGCAGAGCAGAGTCAAAGGGCCACACAAGCTGCTGCCTGACCAACTCCCAACAGCTAAACGGTATAGAATTTCAAAACATCAAGATGCTTTAATAAGAAAGCACCTTTATCTATTCCTGCATTCACTCACTTGGGCCTGGGTCTTCCCTAAATTCCCAGAGCAAAGACAGACAGAGGGGAGATGATGGGGCATGAGACAACATTCTGCTTGGCACCCACCTTGGCATCAGTCCCCATGACCAAGTCCTTTAACTCAATGATTTTGTCATTGATGGAGGAGCGATACCGCTTCTCGATGATGTTGTGTGTCGTCCGCCTTTCTCCTTCCTTGGGAGGCTCGAGCTGCTTGACTCCCCCGGGGACCTGCTTAATGGGCACTTTCTCTTGTCCCATCATCACAGGCATTGTGGTCAGAATGGTCCCATTGCTGCCCACCAGGGTCTAGAACAGACACAAGGTCAGAATGACTGCCTGGTTAGCATTAAGGAAAGCAACCTCAGGTCACGAACCCACTGGCCCTGGCCATGTGGCATCACTTGAAAATGCTTTGTGTGGTCTGACGCCTTGCTTGGGATAATCAAGTCTGGAAGCCCTGGAGCCACAGTATCTTGGTCACTGTGCCCTTTCAGAGTCACTGCTGATTAGCCTGTGCCACAACAGCATTAGTGTGGATCAATGCCAACCTTTGGTTTAAGGATGCCAGAAAATGTCTACAGTTTCTGCTTCGCTTTCAACCCATCAGCTGCTTCTGAGCTCGTGTACAATGCTGCACCAACCACAAAACTTTCTCCTGTGTGTGACACATGTTTTCTTCTCACATGACAGAGAACTAACTTATTGGGTTTCCTTATACAATTTGACCATCAAAAACCTCAAGGGCAGAAGTGACAATCAGAGCCATTATATTAAATAAACACACCAACTATGGAGGCATCCCCCTGTTTTCCCCTCAGATCTGCTTTTCCTCCTCTGTTTCTATTGTCACTAATTTTAGTTTTACTTTCTTCAACAAACGGCTTCAATATCCAAATGGCCAATGAGCAGATAAAACGCTTCTCAAATGTATGAGTCATCAAGAAATAATTTGCACACGGTCAAAAGCACACATTTCAAGTGTACAACTTAATGGAACAGTGTATGTAACCAACGTAACCCTGACGAAGACACAGACCCTTTCTATTTCCCAAGAAAGTTCCCGTACGCTCCTTCCCTGTCTTCGTAATCACTGCTCTGACTTCTATCACTGTCTTCTTAAACTTCATACACTGGAAACATGAGCATGAATTCTTTGCGATCAGCATCTTTTGCTAAGCATACTATTTCTGAAGGTCAGCCACGTAGCTGTATGTATCAATAGTTCTTTTTGGATGGATAGCTGGGTTGTTTCTGATTCTTGGCTTTTATGAATAATGCTTACTTTTGATTTCTGATCACTTTTTTCTGTCAGACTCTCTGGTCACAAGATGCAGACAGTGACCAAGACCCTACACCTTAAGTGAGGGATATTCCATGCCCCACCTTGAAGCCCTTCCCTGCCTAGGGTCCTTCAGAAGCTAAACCTCCATCAGCAGGACCTAAGAGGCAGATGGTCCTGGGTGGACCTGCAGCTCCTCTGCGGTCCCTCCCTTGCTCCTCATAAACCCTAGGACTCCCACATAACACTCAGTGCTGGTACTTCTCAAGGGGAAAAAAAAAACTAAAAAGAGGTGATTTTGCAATTTGACTGACACATTCCATAGAGTTTCTGCATCCATTCAGTGTCTGGAGGTTTTGTTAACATCTCTGAGGCCTAATACCCCCAAGAAAGAGGGGGCACAGCTCTTACCGGAACTTGCAGGGCAGCTGTCTGGATGGGGGTGGTGAGGGCAGTGAGGGCGGGGTTCTGGACCGCGGCCATCACAGGGCTGCCATCTGTCTTCAGTGTGGTCAGGACAAGGGAGTCTGTCTTGATGATCTGAGGCTGTACCAGGACCTGCATGGAAAACGAAGAAAAGGAAAAGGAAGGTAGCACTGTATTTCTTTTTTTCCCTCTTTTGGCTGCACCATCCAGCATATGAGATCTTAAGTTCTCAGACCAGGGATGGAACCCACACCCCTTGCAGTGGACGTGTAAAGTCCTAACCATTGGACCACCAAGGAAGTCCTGGCAGTGCTATTTTTCTATTTTGCGTTACTTCTTGCTGCAAAGACCCTCCAGACAAGAATGATAAAATTTTCATAAAACTGAGAATGTAGCTTGACTACTGGGTTGAGGGAGAGAAAGAGCACAGCTAAAGAGGGTTTGGGGCTTCGCTTCTCAAGTGGCTCAGTGGTAAAGGATCTGCCTGCCAAGCAGAAGACGTGGCTAGATCCCTGGGTCGGGAAGATCCCACTGAGAAAGAAATGGCAACCCACTCCAGTATTCTTGCCTGGGAAATCCCATGGACAGAGGAGGCTGGCAGGCCACGGTCCATGGGGGTCACAAGAGTCGGCTACCACTCAGCGACTAACTAACAACAACAAAGAGGGTGTTGGGATGGAAGGCTGAAAGGCTTCAATGCGAGCAGTGCCAGGAGCCTAGCTAGTGAGAAGAAGACGTGGTGCGGAGGGACTGTGGAGGGGAAAGAGATCTGATTATGGACAAACTTAGGAATGCCAGGAACATGGCTGAGAAGCAAAAATGGTAAACCTGGATTTTTTTTTTTTAAGATAAATTACTTCATTAGTTAGAAATACAGTCCACCTTGTTGCATGTCTTAAAAACATTTTAGCACATCTGTTTTCAGTTTTATACTCACTACATGTGCAAATAAGTTAATACACCAGCATTTACTGAGTTTATATGAGTGCCAGTGTCCACCTACATATGTTATCTCTGCTGGGTCTCACGGGTGCTTCGTAAGGTTCAGTGGCCCCAACCTGCCCCCACCAGTGGCTCCCTCACACCCTGCTGGCCCTGCTTGGTATGTAGACCCCATCCTCCATCACAGACTGGCTGAGAGCCCCTACCATGGCCTCCCAGAACTCCTGCCAGCCACCTACCGGGACCTGCTGCACCTGGGGCGCAGCCACTGTCTGCACCGTGGCCGGGGCCAGGGTCTGCAGCGTGCCATTGGCCGTCTGCGTCAGCACCCGCTGGGCCTGCACCGTCTGCACCTGCTGCTGGATGGTGACTGGCTGCACCTGGGAGGAGGTCACTAGGCTCTGAACTTGCGGCTGAAGGACTTGGAAAGAGAGAAGAAAAGTCACATAGACAAGGAATGCATTCTGTCACTGTAGCTGCGCTGTAACCGAGTGCCTCAGAAGGACCCCAGCTTCCTGCCTGCTTCTGGAGAGGATATGGAAAGCCGTCCACAAGCTGGTCAAGTGGACAAGAAGATCCCGTGAGGGCTGCCTCAATTTCTGAGCTAATGAGTAGAAGCTATTTCATTACTCCAGGTGCTGGAGTGGAGGTAAGGGGGGCTAAACAGCAAATGGCTGCCCCCAGTGAGCGAGTTAACAGATGTTAGAACCAACTCCCAGGGCTTCATTGGCTCCCAGGAAATGGATGGAAAGTGTACCTTAGGATGACTGTTTTGGATTTTGCTCTGTCACCTTTCCCCAGACCCGAAATCCCTGAAGCCCGCTGAAGAGCTGGCAGATCCTGTGAAATAAATTAGTACAGCAGGACTAATCCCACCCTGGGCTCCCCAGAGGGTCAGAGAAAAATCCCAAGAAAAGGGGCTGGGACACTGCAAGCGCAGACACAGCGCAGAAAGTTGCTGGTTCACTCCGCACACAGCCGAGGCCCACCACTTCGAGAGACAGGGTGCCTACGTCAAAGGTGCGTGCCTCTCCGTGGTGGATGCTCAGATGTTGGCTGGATACCGGGTTCTCAACCTACAGGAGCTGTGATCCTCCTGGGGCCTGGGTTAAGTTTCAAGACCCATTTCATGCAAATCTCCACCTCTAGTTCTCAGGATACCCCTGAGCCTACTGTGCCTGTCAGGAGTCTCTGACCACGAATCCTTGAAGCAGGCCCAACAGACATTAAGGTATCTGAAGAGCGGGAACCTGATCCTGCACCACGAGGCTCAGTTAACCAAAACCTCATTCAGACTGGGCCAGATCAGGAAGATTCTGTCATCCCCAGGGAGGCAGAACTCTTCACGATCTGCCTCCGCAGTGCCTGCAGACTGGCCAGAAAACTTTTGAACCCACTAAAGGCTATGGCATCTGAGTTCTCGAGTCACCTTGAAAGCTGGTAGCTGCATTCTGGTAGATGACGGGCTGCTGGATGATCCTCGTCTGCGGAGCGGTGCTGAAGGACGGGGTGATCATGACAGTCTGAGGCGGCAACGGGGCAGGGGGCGGGGGCTGCGGCTGGGGGCGGGGCTGAAGAACCGGGGCCGCCCTTGGCTGGGTGGGACCCGAGGCGGCGGGCGCCTTGACCTGGAGGGTCGCAGCCTGCGGGGAGGTGGCCGAGGGGGAGAAGGCCGGCAGCGGGACCTGACTGAAAGGCCGCTGCCCGGAGGGGTCCCCGCTCCCAACTCCACCACCGCTGCTGCTGCCCCCGCCGCCGCCGCCGCCGCCACCGCCACTGCCACTGCCACTGCCACTGCCACCGCCGGGGAAGGAGCCGCAGAGCGGCTCTGAGAACAAGTCAGGGAATTCGCCCACTTGATTGCTGACAAACTGCAGCATCTCTGTGAACACACGGAGAGGGGGAATTTTACTGACGTCCAAAACGTCTAGTGGGTAAACGTGTGATAAAATGTCTAGGTTGTACCTGTTTGTGTATAGCTTTGGATCTAAAAAATTAAAGAAACTTGAAAAGTATTTGGCATCATAAACAAACAAGATGTTGATTAACTTTTAAATTTGCTTAAGAACCTGAGGCATGAGAACTTGGGCAAACTCCAGGCGATGGGAAGGAACAGGGAGGCCTGGCGTGCTGCAGTCCTCGGGGTCACAAAGACTGGGACATGACTTAGCAGCTGAACAACAACTGAGGCGTGAGAAAATCCAACAGCTTTCCCAAGACCAGGGCAGAGACGGGTGACCTCTCTCTCGCGTGGGGACTCAACGGGGCCAACATGGCCGACCATGGGCTAGCGCTACAGGACTTCACTTGGCTCCTGTTCTTCTCCCTCCTCACCACCTCCAGGCTCACCCTGCCCCCTTTCCTCATTGTCTGCATCAGGTCTAATAGGAGCCGCCTCTGTGCTGGGTGAGTGCTGCCTTTGGAGGGGACTGCTGGCCCCATTTTACAGCTGGGGGAGTCGCCGCCCTAAGTCTTTGGGGCTCAGCAGCCTTGCACTGGGAGGCCACCTTCAGTCCCGGCCAGCACTGCTCCCCACAGCAGAGCAGGAGTTGGCCAGACCTGACTCTCCTCACCACAGGCAGGCTCTAGGCCTTCCCGCCATCCTGGGCAATGGAACCTGCAAGGACGACAAAGGTGATGGCCCTGAAGGAATGATCTTACACTAGGTCGAGAACAAGGAAATCACTCGGCCAAGGTCACATAGCACATCAGGGCACAGCAAGGATTAGAACCAGTTCTTGGCCTCCCACCTTCAAGTTTCTTCCACTGTACCATCAGAAGGTCAGGGCAGAACAACCCGGGCCCTGGACTTCTCTGGCTGTGCCCCTTCCCTTTGGGCAAGGAGTCTGTGGGGCTAAGGGCATGTGTCCAATAGAGACCATGCCCCCCTTCTAGATCATGCTCTTAAGTACCTGGTACCCTAAATTCCCAGCCCTGAGGGCTCAAGCTTGCTTCCAGGGCCTCTTCCTCTGGTTCATCCTCCCAAAGGTTTACCCAAACCGAATTTAATCCACGACCAGCAACTCGTCTCTCATGACTCCTTCCCACCCCATAGGGCTGCTTCCCAATGGGAGTCTGGAGCCTCAACAGTGTCCGAGGTATTTTCAGATCTACAGTCCTCTACCCGGTCCACATCCTCTCCCTTTTCCTTTCCAATATATTCCCAAGAAACTACTGCTTGTTCCTAAACTGTGGCATCCTCCTCTCAAACTCTCAAGGTGGCAGGAGGCTCTGATCTGGTCACACAAAGAAAAAAGAAAAACAAACAAAAGCCCTTAAGCACTATCTCCAACCATTCTCCAAACCTCCACCAGCAAGCCCTTCCCAGGTCTCTAACTGTGTGTGTGCATGTGCTCATCATGCGTGTGAGAATTTAGGCTATGAAGAGTCTATGATAGGCAAGCAGAAAGCTACCCAGGGATTTCTAGTGTGACCTAGCAGTTCAGCACATTTAGTGTTCAGTCAGTTCAACCTGCTGGCAAAACAGCACCTCACAAGATTAAATGACTACACAGTGGTGTTATTTACCAACACCTCAAAACTCGGCTCCGTCCCCACTCAGCCCGTCACCTGTGGGAGGGAGGAGTGGGCAGAATACCACAGATAACTAACTTGCACCAACTAATTCCAATTTCTCATACATGATTATTGAAATATCCCCAAATTCAGCACAAAATTTAAACAAAATGATTCAGTGCTGACACGTTCCAAGCACAATTTCTTAAAATGCTTTAAGAAAGTGATTAAGAGAAACCTAATAATTTGTTGACCCTTCCCATAATATCTGGGGAATCAACAGAGGACTACTTTGTGAGCCATAAGACTCTTACTCCTCCACTAACTGTCCTAATCCATGGAAAGTGAAGGAGGGCTAAAGAGGCCAGAGGGCAGATGGGCACAGGCTTTGACACCAGGTGGATCTCCAATCTAATCTGCTGTGTGATCATGGGCAAGTCACTTCTTTCCACATCCCCGTTTCCTCACAAGAGGCTGCCACAAGAAGACTTGGCTTCTTTGTGGTAAGGATTAATAAGATAATGTATGCAAAGTGCTTGGTGAGAGGCTGATCCTTACAAAGATCGCTATCAGTGGGATCAGAAGCCCTAGTACACAGGTGCTTGGCTCCCTGTCGAGTGCTCTCCAGAAACTTTTGTGGGGGGACACTTGGGCTGGCTGGGGAAAAGTAACGTGCAGAGGTCACACAGCTTAGCTCACAAAGCAGGGTGTGTGTAGGCAGATGGAATGTGACTGCTTAAATTAAAAAAAAAAAATCCTTCTCAACCCACATATGATGAGCTCCAGCAGAGCTATTTCCAGCCAGGCAGACGGGCACTGGGCTGAGGGGCACAGAGGGGCTGTTGAGACTAAGCACTTGAAGAAAGAAGTAAGGAAAAGGCTTTGGGAGCCACTGCCGCAGCAGGCGCGCTGGGCCTCCCCAGACCCAGCTGGCTGCAGGGACAGAAGGGGAGGCCGCGCAGGTGCAGATCTGCTCCGTACCCCGGGGCTACCCCCTGGGAGCGCCCCGCAGCTCCTGGCGCCTCCCTGCTCCCATCACTCGTGTGCCACGTCACGCAGGCTCCCATGTCCACAAAGAGCCACAAAACCTGGAAAAGAGAGGCCTAAGAGAAGGCAGTTTGTTGTTTTCTGTATAAATAATCTTCTCTCTTTTTGGCCGTGCTGGGTCTTCTTTGCTGTGAGGCTTTTCTCTAGTGGCAGTGCATGGGCTTCTCACAGCAGTGGCTTCTCTTGTTGCGGAGCACAGGCTCAATAGCTGTGGCTCACGGGCTTAGTGGGATCTTCCCAGGCTGGGGATCAAATCCGTGTCTCCTGCATTGGCAGGTGGATTCTTTCCCACTGAGCCACTGGGAAGTCTGGGTATTTTTATGGAGCTTTGAAAATGCAGCTGGGCAAGACATGGAGGACCAGACACGGGCTTCCTTGGAGCTGGGCCACCGCCTGAGGCGTGCAAACCCCAGCTCACTGAGTAGGGTGCAGGGGCGCTCCTGTCAGTCACCTTCCCCACCAAGCTACCCTCCTGTGTTTAGCTGCTTCATAAACTAAGATTCAAGTTGCCTGATAAAGTAAGCTGGGCCCCAAGAAACGACATGTGGGTTCTGATCATGTAACCAAAATTAGAGGCCTCGGCTGTCACCTGTGCCTGACAGTCCCAGGTTTCATCTGAAGAGACCCCAAGTTCACATGTACTTTACAGGGCCTGGGACCTGGAGGTAACATAAGCCACTGTGTCTGGCTCGATCCAATGGCATCTACCTGAGAATGAGGTAACCTGAAATCCAATCAGATTTATTTCAGTCAGAAATAAAGAATCTGAAGTTCCAAATGGGGTAACATCATTTCCAATACTGCAGCTGGTCAAAAATCCTTTCTGCGGGTGTTTGTTACTGAGCCCTGTTAGGTGCTAGAACTGTTTTACAAAGGTCATTCTTTTTTTTTTTTAAAGGTCATTTATTCTTATATTTTGTATTTATTATGGATCTTGGATTAGACAATGTTTTCTTAAAGATTTTTTTTTAGATGTGGACAACTTTTAAAGTCTTTACTGAATTTGTTACAATGTTGCTTCTGCTTTATGTTTTGGTTTTTTGGCCATGAGGCATGTGGGATCTTAGCTCTCTGACCAGGAGTGGAACTTGCAACCCCTGCATGGGACAGCAAAGTCTTAACCCCTGGGTGGCCAGGGAAGTCCCTAGACAATGTTTTAAAATAATTTTCTTAAAAATAAATAAATAAAATAATTTTCTTTTTTAAACCATAAAAGTAACATATTCACTACAGAGAAATTTAGAAAAAAATTAAATGAAAAAAAAAAAATCATCCAGCAATTCCATCACCCAGAGACATCTACCATCAATGTTTTGATGTGTATCTTTCTAGGCTTCTTCCCATTCAAGGTTTGCTTGCAAACACAAGCATGCACACATGTGGGATGGTTTTACAAAAATGGGATCACACTGGGAAGATGCTATTTTGTCCCTGTTTCTTTTGCTTAATAAAACACAAAGAGTATGTAGTGTCAACCATTACGGACAGAATATCATCCTTTTTGAGAGTCCTACATTCATACTGCATTGTGTTGTGCTGTGCTGAATTGTATTATATTGTATTAATGTACCAGGATTTAACCACTTGGTTAATCACTTGGTGATGATGAATGAATGCTTTCATCTTTTTGGCATGATGAACAACTCTTACAAAAATCTTGAACAAGGATCTTTTCCCACTTATCTGATTATTTATTTTCTTAAGATAAAGTTCTAGAAATTAGATGGCTGAGTCAAAAGACAGCTATTCTATATATACTTCAGAAAGGTTATAACAATCTATATTCCTACCAGTGTTTTCCCACATTTATTTCTGTCCATTTGATAGTGGGAAAAAAACAACTAATTGTTCTGATTGACAAGAATGAGTATTAAATGAGGTTAAATGTCATTCCCCCATTTCACTGGCCATTTGTATTCCTTCTTTGCAAACTGCCTGCTCTTGACCTTTGTTCATTTTTCTACTGGGCTATTTGTCTCTTTTTACTGATTTGAAAAACTTTTACATATTATGGATTTTGCTCTTCCTTAAATATTTGCCCCGCTTTGTTGGTTTATTTGTTTTTGCTCAGGAAAAGAGAATGGCACAGTCAGGAGAGTCACCTTGTCCTAGCCCTGTAACCTGGGGTAAGTTTTACCTCTCTGAGTCACAGTCTTCTCACCTATAGAATGTGGCTAACAAGTATACTGAGCTCATCATGTTGTTGAGAGATAATCCACAGAATCTATAGCACAGTGCCTGGCACTTAGTATTCGCTAGTACATGTACACATAGTGGTTTCTGATAGTTTTGCTTTGACTTTATTTTATTTTTGGAAAA